ACCCATTTGCTAGGCCACTTGCCTTGCTAAGTAAGATACCTTAGTCTTGGCATGACCACCCTAGAGTGGCTTACGGTGCGCATGTATACACTATTATGTTGAAGGAAGAAACGACAACTGTAAAATTTTGAGCAGCGTCTCCTCTTTTGCTTTTCTCCCTCCTTCCAGAGACAACGCCTCATCTAGTTAGAGTGCTTAGTTGGATGTTGTGCCACTGTCCTTTGCATTATAGCCTTGAGAAAGTTTGACAGCAATCGAGACCAGCCACTCACTTCACATAGCACAGCGCAAAATGCATTTTCATGCCTTGAGTCGGGAGCTGTTATCACGCAATGACCTGTTTCCTATGACGAGGAAAGATACAACAGGTGGAAGGCCCAGCTGCATAGTTGAGAGTCTTCGTTGAGCAGGAAGACTTACAACGGAAGGAGCAATAGAAGTGCTATTAGAATCTGGAGCCATGCAGTTTGCACTTGAGGAAAGACCATTCATATCGCTAAGCCATGCCCTTGTGCTCAAACTTTTACCAGTAATGGATGATACTGCCGAAACTGCACGAATTGGACAATAAGACCTGTTTGTCCCTCCAGTAGCGTCAACCACGTAATACGGTACTGTGATGGCTTGGCGGCTCTCGAAATAACTTCAATCAACCGAGGCCAGCGTCTCTGTGGCTATACCGCTTCGCTTCTATTGTTCATTAACCATACTTCGTATCACCATCTTCCGCTGTTCAGCCGTCACTAAAGCTGCATACTGATGGATACTACACACAACCCGCGTTTTGGCAGCAATGGTTCACTGCGAAATGTTTCCATGTCCAACGGTCGGTCTCCTGCGGGCCAGGCGCTTCTTCGCCGACCTTTAAGAAGCGTCAACGAAAACACCACCTTGCTTGCATCCCCAGGCCCTCTTGAGGGAATGCTCAAGACCACCACGGAGACAGGTGACATAGGCATTTTTACGATCAAACCAGTTGCACCCTCAGTTACGACTCATCAGTGCGCCAGATCAAGGTCTAGTCTTGATGTTAGGTCCATATTTAGGCCAGAGCCCTCTGGCTGTGCCGGAAACGAAAACCGACTCTGTCACAGGAGGCGCGGCTCTGGACGAGATACAATATCAGAGGCCATTTCGATGTATGGCTCCAGAAGTGACCTTTTGTCTAGACCTAGCTCGTCATCTCCTCACCAGGAGTCTTCGTACCGGCGGTCATACTCCTTAACTACAAGCAACTCACAACATCTGTCTCGCCGACGGTCAAACCGCACACTTCGGAGTCAACCAAGTAGCCGTATGTTGCAACGCCCGCGCTCTCCATTCCCCTATCCCACTCGATTGAAGCGCCCCGGTGTACGGCCCTCTTCACCCGCTCTCGCAGTAAACGGGCGTGTTGACTACAGTAAAATGGTCGAAATAGATCGAACCTCCTTTGTAAGTCCCCACATTCAGGATCCAGATTTCATCGGCGTGCTAAATATCGAAAAGAGGACTGTCCACGGATCATACAAGCCAACTTACCCCAAGACACACCGTGCACCTCCCCTTTCGTTTCGCTCCGACACTAACCAGTCGATGCCGTCTTTGCGCCACCCCAGCACGATGGTAGCATGCATCAGTCAAGATGGGCGTAGCCAGAGCCAAGCCGCATTGTCAAGCATCCACTGGAACAATGCCCAAACTGGCACGATACCTTGGCTTCCTGCCGACCAACTATCAAGGTCTTCGAGTCTAACGTCAGTCATCGAGTTGTACTGCCGATCTACCTCAGCATCCGGATCAGTTTACACACGTCCACTGCGCTCAGAGGGTTCTTTCTACTACGATTACACCGAGGCATTTGATTGTCCAGAGAGAAGGACTGTCACTCCTGGCTCAACGACGGAACCTCCTTTAGCCCCTATACCCAAACGAATTCCGAGCCTTATCAAGGCTTTGGTGCTTCGAGATGAGACAAAAGCTTACCTGGATACAGTGGGGGACACATCCGTGAAAAACCTCAGAAATACCTCCAGAGAAGATAGTCGAAATCCAAACAAAGACAATCCTGGACAAATTCAATCTAGAAACATTGACTGCAAGAGAATTCCAGTTACTTTGCCTTCGTTTGATTTCAAGGTTGATGAGAACTTGAAATCTTCGCTGGCTACCATTAACAGCCAAGAGAGGCCTGTCGACTCATGCTCGTTTCCAGCAGATGGTAGAGAAATGGGACTATCAGTTCTTTCAGGCAATACGCCATGCCTTGCCTATCAGCATTCTAGAAGTGTTGGCAAGCCTATGCGTAGTTGCGCTCAGATTACTACCAAAGATTTAGCAAACAATAACCAGAACGCCCTGTGCGCAGATGACCAAAGCCTAGGAGAAAACTCCGTTAATAACCCTTCACAAGCAACAGATGAGAAGAGTTTTGGTTCAGGTCCTGACGCATTGCGTAAGCTTCCTAGTGCCCCAGCTCCTAGCAACCCGATGCCTCGACGAGCCTCTTCCAAGGGCGGACTCGCATCAATGATTCGATCAAGCTTGCGACAATCTATCAGTCCCAGTCTTTCCGACCTAGCTGATCTGGTTTCATCTTTTGATCTCATTATTAACAAATCGAACTTCATGGGGAAAAGCAATGAAGGCCCGGAAATGAGGACCAACCCAACATACCACGGCTTGAACAAGGCCAACGACTTGCGAGTGGAAGAAAATGCGGAAGAAGTTGAAGTTGTGGATATCCAAGATATTATTCAAACCGGAAGCAACATGATGATGCGCAAGAAGTCCTTTTCCAAAGGCCATCGAAGAAACTGGGCAGTTGCGCGCATCAGTACAAGGTGCCTTCGGTCCGCAAGCTCGACGACCGTCGACAGTGCCGACGCCTCTATACTTTGCCCTGAACCTGTCTCACCAGCTCATGCATTGAAGGTCAGAAATAGCATCCCTCAACTAATGAAAGAATTACCATCCCTCCCTGGCGAGGGGATGTACCAATCACAGCAAATTACAGTTCCGTCATTGGAAGACCTCAGATATTCAATGACGTTCTCGCCTTTCCAGTTTGAGATTCTCGCAACTCCTCGATCAAGCCCTAGGATTACTTCAAAAAACCATGCAGAAGATCATGAATCTTTCAGAGCAAGTATTGAGTCCCAAATGGTACAATCAGATCCCAAGCCTCGTACCTCGGACCAGAAGTCGGTATATAATGACTCCCGAGCGGAAGCTAGTATAGGTGAAAACCAGAACGAAACTATACCTTGGGAATCGGATGCAAATAATCAAGATAAAAATCACGAAAAAGGAGCGCAGCGTCCGATAAAGCCAAAACTTCGATTGAGAGCACCCCGTCATGTACAGAGTACTCATGAATGCCTTCAAAATGAAGTAAACGGGACAGTGAAACACTATATCGGTGTCTCGAGGCTGAAAATTTTGGAAGATTTGGTGAATAACCCGTCTAATGACCTATTTACATCTACGCAACGCAGATATCTCAAGAGAGAACCCGTCTACCAGCGTCAAGATAGACAGTTGCTTTCCGTTACTCCGAACAGAAGAGGTGCGTGGGAAGCTCACCACCGGTGCCATTCCCCTGCAGACATAAACTCTAGCGGAAGTTATTTGCATGAGCGTGAAATCCCCCTGGCACATCCAGTCGATGCAAACTTGTTGCAACAAGTCAGCTCTGTTGAGGCTTGCGACCTGGACGATACACGCAGCTTCAGCTCAGACCTAACTTTCCTTCGGCCAAAATTTCTCCGAAAGAAACTATCAAATTTTAGAATCCGCATGAAAAAGTCCCGGCTTAATCTCAGAGGCCGAGAGAACAATAACATGGGACGGCACTCGCAACCAGCTGAGAGTATTGGCTCAATCAACCCTACCGCAGTTGGAGTGCGAAGTTATCGAGCCACACCATTGGACAACCGACCCAAAAGAATGAGAAGAATGAAAGTGTGGCTGACACGCGCAATTCATATTGTGATGAAGAAAAATTGAGAGGCATCAGTCTGGTAGTTGGTGAACTTGAAAAGCGAAGTATCACAGCTGCGCCAGTTGAACTTTTCTACTACTGCCAATTATATTTTCATGCATGACTCGGAAAAACTCGAGCGTTTTAAGAAGCTTCAAGTACTGAATGGTCATAGGAGTATCAAAGGGCTGACTGCTTGTGTTAGACCATTTAAAGTTGCGTGCTCGTAGTCTAGGGAGCTGCTAAGCGTGGACCATAGAAGACCGAGGCTGTGAACATCATTGACTAGCACAAGAAGATTATATTTACCATTGTATGTAATAATTCAACCAGATAAAGGTGGATACCGGTGAAGCTTTGGGGATGACCTGCGCCAGCAAGGTGAGACGTGGTTATGTTCCCAGTTTTTTAAAGTTAAGAACGAACTCGATAAGGATACATGATGGCTTGAAGTGGCGTGGCCATGGAGGTTCTCTCGTCAGTGTCTCTAGCCAGTGTTGCTACGCATACCTGATCTTGTTGGGAAGGGCTAGATGGTTTGCCCAACCTCTTAAGTAGCATAATCCCACAGAACCCTCTCTTTGTGGCTTTCGTTTTTATCCTTCCCGTCATCACGCGACACTCGTTTAGTACAACCTCCCTCGTTCCGCGAAGTCCATCGCGTCCTCTCGTTACCACACGATCGTTTATCAGACTAATGTGCTTGGAGGCAACAGACTTTCGTCGACTAGTCTAATATATGTCCATATGAGGTCCTGGTCTCTTGTAATAGGGAAGTCCAGCAAGCGTGTTTCAGCAGTCGAAGGGAGTAGAGTTGGTCAGATCATCGGAGAAAACATCGTCTGCAAAATCCAACAAGAGAGACGAACCGGAAACCCTCCGATTTCCAAACAGCCGAGAACTATCGACATCTCCTAGTCCAGTATCAACTAATTTAGCAAAAGAAGCCAACGTGTAGGATTGCGAATACAACATCTCAGGATTGCTAAACCGGGACAAAGATTATCGAGAGCATCCAAAGTCCCAAGCTCAGAGCAGCATGACGCCTCCGTCACCGTGCTTCGGCTCATCAGCCCGAAAGCCCTGGCCCCAATTCGATGAAATCGGCGAGAGTAGCCGCGTGGGCGAGGACCGCGGTCTAACCCCTAGTCCGACCCCGAACCACAACCAAAGCCTAAGGGGAGGGCTAAGACATAGGCACAGCCGGTTCATAGAGGAGATCGACGGCCCGCGGAGGGGAAGCGGCACCACGATGATCGGGATCGAGATCTGGGACTCGAGGAGCACACTGTCGACTGTCAACCGGAGAAGTCATGATGGCACTGCCGTTAGAGGAAATTGCAGTGTCACCCGAGGGGGAAGAGGGGGGTTGCGCCGTCCCGGACAGCAACCGCCGCCTGTTCTGAGATCTACGAGACATGGCGGGCATGAAGATGAGATTGGCCGGGGAAATGAATGGGACATGGAAGTCGAGGACGGAAGCCAGACGGATGACAGGTCGCAACGGAGAATCAAGAGATTCGTAGGGGATTTTGTTGCCATGGTGCGCAAGGTAGTTGGCAAGAAGAAGAAGCGGAAGGACAAGGGGAAAGGAAAAGAGGTTGAGAGCGACGACGGAGATTGTTGTCAGAGACGACGGCAACATTCTTCGAGCAGCACATTCACGGAGGTGCCAGAGGCGTGGTGGACAGCTTAGGTGATCTGGCCTGTGGTGGCCTTCATTCGAGTTGTTTATATTCATTGAACGGATACCCAATGTGGAGGATCCGGCATTGTTGCTGGAGGAAGGGTAATTGGAAACCCCTTTAATATCTAATGTCAAGCGACGGATTTCTGAGGAGAAAGTCTGCCTTGAGGGAACTGTCTGAGTGAATTCGTCTGGAAAGACAAAATTTAGAATACACCTCCCCCGATAATGAAGATCCGTTCCTCCTCACGACGAGCCCACTGGATGACCTTGTTGGCACCTTGAGTAACGACGGCGCGGCTAACGTTGGGGCCTGCAACGCAGTAGAATTCGAAGATGGGTGTGATCCATGCTAGGGAGGTGGCGCCCTCGGAGACGGAGTGCAAGACGCGCATGTGGGAGTGCTTCGCATGCACGGCGGCGTGGAGCTGGTGATATAATGTCATGAGGCGGCGACGGGCTATGAGGGAGGAGAAGACGGGGTCGAGGGCGGACATGCTGAACTGGACGTTTGCGCGGGATTTGTAGAGGAAGTGGGATATCTGGCCACCTGGGGCGATGTCGATAGCATTAGGTCGACCGGCGCGGGCGGCGGCTTGTATGATGGCGAGGTGGCCAGACTGGGCGAGGGATGCGGCGACAGCGTCGCGCATTTGTTTAAGTTCGAAGAAGGATTCCTTATCTGGGCTGATGAGGATAATCGCCAGCTCCTCGTCTTTATCTGCGGTGGGGTCTTGTGTAGTGGCTTGTTCGCCATCGACGCCATCGAAGAAGCTGACGTACATGTAGAGGTAACCGCGGTTATTGAAAGCGGGCAGACACAAGGGGATCCAGTTCTCGCCGCCACCTGCCTTGATACCGCTGGACTGGAAGAGCATGTTGAAGATGAGCTGAAGGTCGCTGGGGTGTAGGGAGTGACGGCGTGGGCGGATGACGCTTACAAGCTTGCCGCCAGCTACAATGAGACCATACAGCAGCTTGTCGGTCCTCTGTTTGAGAAACGCGTTGTTGATCGCATGTCTTTGGGACTTGCGTAGTTTGAGGCACTCTAATGCCCCGAGTAAGGCGGATGGTGAACCCTTGGTGAAATTGTCCGCAAGTGATGAGATGAGTGGTTCGGTGCCCTCAAGGGGTTTGCGAAGATCAGTGGACGGACGATGAACAAATATGTTCGTCAGAACTGGTAGAGTAAGCGTTGAGAGAATTTGCATATATAGAGCTTCGAGCTGCGCCCTGAGCTGAGAGTCACTCTCCCCGAGCCGACTGATAGCGACGAAATATAAAGGTCCCTGGGTCGCTATGACAAATCGCGTATGACCGGCTGTGAAGCCGGTCAAGGGGTCCTTAGCCCCTTCGTAGAAAGAGATAATCGTCTGAATGACGCCCATGTATGAGTTAATGAGCCCCAAGTCACCATGCCGGCTGTAGATGGGCTTTCCCGCCGACGAGAGGATCATGTAATGTTTCAACTTCGACTTCCAAATCGTCACTCGTTCCTCGTCTGTAAAGTTCGGATCGGATTCATCGGGAATATCTTCAAACTCGTTCTCGAACCCGGCCAGGTTGCGTGTCGTATCATCCATCCTTAGACTTTCAAAGGGTGGTACCGTTGCCGACTGTGATCTGAGCAGGTTCCACGCAGGGCTCCTCTTGTTAAACTCCCCCACTAGTAGGCTTGCAATGTCGCCGGCGGGCCGCAGCGTCGGCGCAAAGCTTGTGATGCTCATCGAGTCCTCCCCCTCATTCAGTGTTCTCGTCGGTGTACCCTGGCCGCTTTTGGACGACTGTGTCGGCGTCGAGACAGCCCTTGTGCCTGGTGTCGAGAAAGTGCCGCGGGAGCCATCTGGAAAGGAGAGAGTTTGGATGTCGAGAGGCGTGACGGCGGTGGTGGCAGCTGCCATTGCCATTCTGGCATCTACCGAATGGTTCGAGTCGAGCGAAGGGCGTGGAGGCAGAGGAGGAGGCTGCTCCTCGCTGGGACTGTGGCCGTTGTCCTCACCCATGGTCGTGATCGCTGCGGAGACGAGGGCATTTCAGCTAGGTTGTAAAGGTAATGCAAAGCGACACGCCGACGCGTACAGCATGTATCGGTCAGTTACTCGTAAGTCAACGATAGAACTTCATGATTGTATGGGGGTCGTAAGGGTTGTTTCGCGGTCTAGGTGGTAAGGTGGTTGCAGAGCTGAAGTAGGAGTCCAGTCCGGAAAAATGGTCCCAGAAACAAGCCTGGTGGTGGGTGTAATGATGTATTAGAGGGGCGCCGAGATTTAGTGGTGCAGCAGCCCTGATTAGTGGGAACGTTCCGCTAATGGAGCGACTCAGGTCCACCCCCTCACCGGAGCTTGAACCTGAAGTGCTCTGTCGTGGGGAGCTTGTTGGCTAGCTAGATGGGAATCCCCAAATCCCATGGGAAATTGACCAGGCACCTAACCCTTATCGTTCACCACATCAAGCTGTTGTTATAATAGCAAATCTGATTAAGGAGCTGAACCGATGCGACGTTACAGCATTCAAATGAGTTTAGAAGGGCCATGCAAGGAGAACGAGTCCACCCACACGTCGGTTACACCATTGATTGTGACCAGTGCGCTATAAATACTAAACATGCCATCGGTGTATGCGCCCAGGTTTTTGGATCCCCCAGACTCATTGGAGTGTACTCCGTACATGGAATGATGGCGATCATGAGAGTGCCGATCATGGCGAAAAAAGGCTGAGCTAGCGTGGCCAACGGATGACCTTTAAGTACAACACTTAAATTTGTAGAACGTTTGCGACGTTTATCCAAAAAAAAAAAAAAAAAAAAAAAAAAAAAAAAAAAAAAGTAGGTGCTAATTAAACACAGTCCAAAGCCTAGAAGCGTGACTGCGTGGATACCAGAAACAGACGCCTGATGACGTTGTAGTTAGTCCTTTCTCGGAGCTCGATAGTCAGGGTTAGGCCAGCCTCGCCAAGTGGAACGGCCACTAATTATATATGTCCAATGGGAAGCTTGGGAGCTTACAGGGTATACCCCACTATGCGCATGCCCTTGGAAAGAGACATGGTAGCCTTTCGAGCTCACCATTCTGTCCCTGTCGACCTAAGTGATGAGAGCAGGGAGACAACAGACGTTACGGGCTAGGAAGCGATGAGCCCTCAAACCTTCTATCTCAAACGAAACAGAACAACCTGATGTTCCTCTGGTCTCAACGGACTCCCAGTACCCGCAATCATGGCTCTTGAGCCTGGCTCTGGCCGGCGCTCTGTCTCTCCTGAGAGCTCAGGTCGGACCTCTCCCCTCCCGCGCCAATGGAGGAACCAACTTGGCACTGGTAAGAAGCTCGGTGATGGTTTGATAAGATATAAACCCTAACAATTATACAGAGGAGGCCCCATCAAAGGACAAGAACTATCGAAAATACGCATCCGGCGTCGAGCGAGCCCTGACCCTCTTCGAAACGGCCCTGCAGGAATGGGCAGATTACATTTCGTTTCTGAATCGCTTGTTGAAGGTAAGTAGTTCCCTCAGATAGGCGTTAAATAATACACAAGACTGATTCAGGGAACAGGCATTGCAAGCCCGACACCCCTCGACCACGACTGTACCCTCGAAATCCACCGTTGCGAAGCGCTTGTCACAGTGCCTCAACCCCTCCCTACCATCGGGAGTACACCAGAAGGCTCTTGAGGTCTACAATTACATATTTTCAACAATCGGAACAGATGGATTGTCTCAAGACCTGCCACTCTACCTCCCAGGCTTGGCCTCGACGCTCTCATTTGCATCTCTGTCTGTCAGGACCCCCTTCCTTGATCTTCTAGAGCATCATTTCCTTGACCTTGATCCTCGATCTCTACGGCCAGCAATGAAGTCTATCGTTCTAGCTCTTCTACCAGGTTTGGAAGATGAAACTAGTGAGGACTTTGACCGGACACTGCGCCTGATGGAGAGCTTCAAGAAATCGATACGCCCTCCAGGAAGCGAAGACCTTGAAGGACCACACTCCACTGGAGATGACTTCTTTTGGCAATGCTTCTTTCTGGCCTCTATTACGGGGTCCAGTCGCAGGGCGGGAGCGTTGGCCTACCTCGTAAGGAATCTGCCCAAGCTGGGTGAGCCTATTGTACAAGGGAAAGTGGTAAAGAATGGCGTTCAGGTTGAGGAGCAGTCCACACAACTGGCGCAGATGGTCACTTCTCCTGAACCAGGACTTCTTCTACGTTCCTTTGCAGCCGGTCTAGCTGACGAGCAACTGCTAATTCAACGTGGATTTTTGGACCTCCTCGTCACACATCTTCCATTGCACTCCAAGGTGCTTCAGACTAGTGTCAAGGCAGGCGACTTGGAGTTGCTTCTACGTGCTGCAGCAGGCGTTGTCATCCGTAGAGATATGAGTCTCAACCGCAGGTTATGGGCATGGTTTCTTGGGCCAGAACCTGCCCCGACAGAGAGCGAGAGCGGCATGGATTCGCCTTCTTCTACCGACCCACACCACTCATATCTTGCTTCTAAGACAAGTTATTTCGAGGACCATGGTCTCCGGCCATTGACGCGAGCCCTTTTGAGCATGATTCATACCGACCGAGATTCGAGTCCAGCGGAGAGAGCGAGACCTTACAGAATATGCTTGTCGCTAATGGATCGATGGGAGATCGGCGGATTAGTTGTCCCAGAATTATTCCTACCCATCGTCAACAGTGTTCGGCAATACAGAAATCAGTCGCCAGCCAAGGCAGACTTCAACGAGGTGTTCCGTAGTGCGAGCGTGTTTTTCGATGGCGTTGAAAGTGGACTCATATATGGCGAGATTGTCAGCCTACTTGCACAGGCCATTGGACCAGGAAATCTGCCGGATAAAGAGCGGCTGGACAAGCTTGATTTAGTGAACTTCATCCTGGCTAATTTCAACGTCCGCGAGGAGGAAATGATAACCATACACGCGCCACTGACAGCCTTATCTATTCTCAGCATGCTGGAGGACACGAGAGAAAGGCAGAAACCATCCAATGCTTCGCCGAGAGGTTCTGGGAAAATCATAGAAGGGGCACTGGGCATTTCATTGATCCTTTTGGACCTGGTACCAGATCGAGCCTTGCCTCCAGCGAATGAAAAGTCCAAGAGAACGATAGAATCCGGTGTCTTGGCAAACATCTCTGCGGTTGAACTTTTGAAAAAAATCAAGTCATTTTACGTTGACGAGCAGGGCAACCTTGACGCCAATATTCCTCTTGCGCCAATCGAAGTTGGTGAACTTCTCCTGCGAAAGTCGGGCCAACTTGTCTGCGATGGGTTGAAGAGTTCCGACGCAGACTCCAATTTAGGTGCAAAGGGAAGGATTCTTACCTCCCTCTTGTTGAAAGCGCCATCGTCCTACCAGCTCGACGCTACCTATCTTCTCAAATGTCTTCATGAGCGTCTGGAACATACTGGAAAACTATCATTTCTTTCCTTTAACTCAATCCTCTATTTGTCTGCTCACCTATACTCTGCGGAGCGCATAGAATTGACAGACCTGTCTGGGCTGGTTACTCCCTTGGTCCAACACGCTTGGGAGTTTCTATCGGCGTCGGAGCCGAAGTACCATGTTGAAACGGTTAGGGCCTTGTGGCAGCTTCAGACTGCTCTTACAGTTCAGAACCGGGATATTGAAGCCGCTTTAGCAAGCCTCATCATCAAGAACGATGTTCAAGGATCTTTTGCGTCGCGCCCGGCTGATGCTGGTCGCCGTTTCTCTGTCTTGTGGTCTCACACATTGCAAGATTCCCACTCGGACAGACGAGGGTCAAAAACACCAATGATTGAGAAGCCGCCGCAGCTCCGACTGGCTGGGTCAGAAAACTATGATGCCATGTTGACACGGCCGCTGTTCTTGATGCTGGATGCGCTCCTGGATGAACGAACACAGCTGTTTATGACCGTCAAGGGGTGGCTGAACAGCTTGATCGGCATAGATAAGTAAGTCGATTCCTATCTTAACCATTTCAACTTGGACACTGACCAAAAATAGGTTGTTCTTGATCTTTGTCCGAAAGTTTTCGGCCCTTCCTTTTCTCAGAGCTAGCAATGACGCTGGGTCCGCTGCGGCATCAACAGGGTCAACAACATTTACAGCCAATGACGATTTAGATCTCTGCCTTTATTATCTAAGGACGTTGTCAAATGTTCTTAGATGGGCTCCTGATATTATATGGGATGTTTTGGCATCAACATCGCTTACAGTCGATTCAGAACATCCAGAGATCGCGCATATGAGTACGCCGATTGAACCTACGTGAGGGCATGGTAAGCTAACCAGAGACAGTTGGACATGAAGGTGAAATATCGATGCAGGAAATATTTATCCATGTCTGCCTGCGTTGCATTGCTGGAAATAACGAACCAGAAGAAAACATTCGAGTTCGGTCCGCCCAGCTTCACCGATACGCCCTGACTGTGATGCACCAAATTCTTCTTAATCCTTACGCCGAGCCTCTCGCAAGCCTTCACCTGGAGAACGTCCTCATTGAGCGTCTCCTACAATCGCTTAGTGGAACTGATCCATATGTTCAAGTCCTCCTACTTGATGTCGTCTTCGATGCGTTAAAGCTTCGAGACATCATAATTGCCGACATTCCTCCTTCCCCGACTTCTGAAAGGAGGACAATGAGCCTGGATCCTTCAAAAAGCATCAGAGTATCGACACAGTCAGAATCAAAACCGACAGCACCGCCACCAAATCTACTCAAATCTCTTCAGGCTGGGCTGAGCTCTCCCAGTAGTCGCAGTGTTCTCGACAGTTGGGTCAGCTTCCTCACAGAATGTCTACCGTTTTACTCCGATACCATCTTTCAAGTTCTCATTCCTCTCGTCGAGACACTTTGTCGCCAGATCTCCAACACTTTCCAAGATTTGCAATCCATGTTCAGGGACAATGGCGGCTCAAGGCAGGATGCGTGGAATGCTCCAGAGTCCACTCTTATCTCATTATTGAATGCTCTGGAGCAGGTTCTAGCGCGAGGGCACGAGCGACTTCTAGTCGAAGAGGCTAGAACGCAGGTTGTCAAGGGCCCAGACCAGCAACCAGGCTTCTTTGGAAACATGGTATCTGGTGTCTTCAACTCCGATGCCCCGCAAACGCGGAGTGCTACTGCAAATGACAGACTCACGGTTCATCTTGCATTCCAGGACGCTGTACGCATCTGTTTTACAATATGGTCATGGGGCCAAGGGAACGATGCGAATGAACAGGATACAACTTCGGTAGCGTCTTTCAACTACACGTCTCTTCGTATGAGAAACCGGGCAAGACGGTTGCTTGAGCATCTTTTTGCTGCGGAGACCTTGGAGTGTCTTGAAACGGTCATTGATATCTGGCGAAGCTCCATTAACATCACGACACCAGTACCTCAGTCAGAGGTCTTCAATCTGCTACCAGCACTAGATGGTTCTCGGCCAAAGCACACTGTTCCTGCCATATTCAATGCTATCTACAGCAGAACCAACCCTGCTGCTTTGGATGCGTCTCGGAAGTCTACTCTGACAACGTCACTTCAAGACATCGACCTCGTAACGTTTCTGGTTGAGTATGCTCGTACGCTAGAGGACGATGCAATGGATGAGATTTGGCTCGACTGTATGGCCTTCCTGCGCGATTTGTTGACGAATCCTTTCCCACACCGACAAACACTACCCAGTCTACTAGAGTTTGCAGCCGTTTTGGGCGAAAAGGTTGACAACACTAACTTCGGGGAACAACGAAAAATGAGGCGTGAACTGGGAGTAAGTAGAACACGCTGAAGGCTGTGGCACTTCACTAACCATGATTAGGACCTCTTCCTGCGGCTATTGACCGCGATATTTACCACTAAGCCTATGACCTTTGCAGACACATCACCATCTTACGAAAAGGCGGAAAAGAATCGTGACGGTATTCGCCGTACTGCAACGATCGCGTTGGTCAGCGTTCTCGATCGAGCCGAGGATGTGGTGGCCATCCTTGCATCCATCGTCCCGAACCTCCCCAAGATCTTGGTAGAAACAGACCGTGTCTTGTCTGCAGCAGGTACTATATCGACCAATGTTATTGGACCGGCGTTCAGGGCAAAGGCTTTTCCTGAGACTGTTTCCAAAAACACATTGGACCTGCTTCAGGAGTTGTCTCGACTGCCAAACAATCAGAAATCGTGGAAGAAGGACGTCAGCGATGCTTTCAATGATGCTAGGTTCTTCAGCTCAAGCATTGACCTAGTGCGTAGTGATTGGTTGCCACTGCTGAGGCAGTGGACCGTCAGTGATAAGGAACGAATGCCCGAACTTTTGAGTCGTATGAGTCCCCCAACAACAGCCGGTATTGTGTTTGGCGTCGGTGCTACTTCTGCCCGCCTCGAAGCAGACCGAAAGACGCAGCTTAACCTTCGTCGGACGGCTACCTTAGTTCTGGCCTCAAACGAAGATGCCTACGTCACAGAACTGCCTCTTATACTGGACAAGGTGGTGGAGCTTCTTGCTGCCACAGCAACGTCATCGCCATCTTCTACAACACGGGCAGAGATTTATATGCTCGTTCGTGCGCTGGTACTGAAAACCAGCGCTGTTCACCTGGCTATGATATGGCCGGTCATCAACGCCGAACTTCATGCCGCCATTGCCTCCGTTGTTGCTCCGGACCACAGCACTGCATCCGATACATACAATAACCTGTCGATTTTGCAAGCTTGTAAATTGCTTGATCTTCTTATTTGTGTTGCGCCGGATGATTTCCAGCTTCATGAATGGCTCTTTGTCACCGATACAATTGACGCGGTATACCGGTCCACTAACTACCAGCCGGTTGCTCTGGTAGATGAACTCTCAGAGGAGCTTGGTGCCATGGGTGTCAGCTCATCTCTGCAAAGCACGCCGGCTGCTCACCTTGCTGCAAGCAGCTCCCACAGACGGCCACTCCTGGGACACGGCGGCATCAACGACGAGATCAGTATTGACAGAAAAGACGAGCTGGTCGGTAAGATTTTGCGTCCCTTCTTCGGCCAGCTCAGCATCTTTGCATTCGAGTCAACCTACGCAATGGCGTCTCTGGATCGAGAATTCTGCGTTCACGGGCTATTGAAGGATTTGTTTGACGAACGTAGCGTGGTAAAGGCGTTGTAAAAATGAGTTGCTATCTATCACCATTATGTCATGAAAAAGAGCTCAGCCGGAATGAATACTAGTTTTTACGTAGACTTCTTCGTATTTAATGTCCCTGGTATGTACGCCACCATGGCCTTACTCGCGCCCTCCATGCAGTACTGCACAACCTCGAGCTTCTCCCCTTCTGGTGCCAGCTTTGCAATCTGTCTTAGATCGCTGGTTCGTGGCAAGAACAATGCGTGGTCCATTGGGCTACAAGCATCATACAGCTGCTGCAGGTTGTAGGGCTCCATCTTGCTCAGATCAAACACCTCTGCTGACCTATACCCAGGGCCTCCCCAAGGTGGCGAGGCAAAAATAACAGTCTCAGCCATAGGTAAGCGGAGCTCCTCACTCAGCTCATCGGGCGAGTTCTTGAGTTTCTCAAGATACTCGAAACAGTCACCATGAACCCAGGTAATGTACTCGCTAACCTCGTACAACTCGGCGTTGTGCTGAGCACAGGCCAGAGTGGCGGCATCGCGCTCGATGGAGATGATGCGGTCCCAACGACCTGAAAGGGCAAAAGCGATGGTGTTGCCACCAGCGCCGCCAAAAATATCGACGAGGAAGTGTTTAGACTCGTCAGTGTGGGACATGTCGTTCGCAACGGTGTTGGCTACAGGCTCGGGGGTCACGCCAAACCAGGCAGCATCGGTTAGGTAGACGCCTTCGTCATACCAGGAGAATATCGAGTATCGCTGAGAAAAATACCTAGAGATCCAGGTTATTCCTACTACTTTTACAAAGGCGACATGGAATTAAACAACTTACTTTTGAAGATCCCAAGGTACTTCGGCCTTGGAGTTATAATGGTGGCACTCATCCGTTAGGGGAAGTTTGGCGGCTGCTTTCATTTTGCAGGCAGTGATGCATGAAACACGAGTATGTACCAACCTTTTTCCTTGGTTATGAAGTTAAGAACCAAGTGAGATTTAAGATATCTCGGTTTTAGTAACCGGAGATAAGTCGCATGCTGGACTTTGTAACTTTCAGCGTTCTGATGTTGATGAAAATGAGATGAGCGAGGCTGAAGCAGAAAGCTTGAACCACAATCATCGATCCACTCAAAGTGCCCCACTAAAGCGGGAAGAGCTTGGACCATATGCAAGGCTGAAGATTCCGGCCAGGTGCCTTGGATGACAGCTTGCTTCAAGGGGGGCGGATACGTAGCTGTAGCTTTAAACATCTTGGCTCGGCGAACTTCGACAACTGCGCAAAGGTGAAATTTTCCGAACCGATACCACCATAACCAAACAAAACCATAGTTCAGCTCGAGTGCTTGGCGCGACACCATGTTCAATGCGCTGAACCGCTTCATGTCCCGCTTGGACGGGCAGCAACCTACCCAACAGAACAACCGCGAGGGGTCTTTTGGATTCCAGGTCCTGAGAAATACGAACCTCGAGCTCCACGTTGATCCCTGGTTTGACTTCATTATCGGAATAAACGGCCGGCCTATTGTATGTTGAATCTCTAATCTTATGAACTTTTCCATTTCCGCCCCGGAACCGAAGGGACTAACACGACACTTATAGGACAACCCTGACCCAAGACTCTTCGCCCAAGAAGTCCGCAACTGTGCAGGCGGTACCGTTCTTCTTGGCCTATGGAGCGCTAAAGGTCAGCGTACCCGCGAACTACATGCTCCTGTGCCTCACGACACCGCCTCCCTCGGCCTCTCCCTGCAATGGACACCCCTCGCAGTAGCCGCTAATATCTGGCATGTTCTTGATGTTGCCTCCAACTCCCCTGCTGATACTGCGGGGCTTCTTCCCTACGGTGATTATATCCTAGGCAGCCCCGAGGGCGCGCTGCATGGCGAGGGCGGACTCAGTGAGCTAGTGGAAGATCACATCGGCCGTCCCCTGCGGCTGTATGTCTACAACAACGAGTACGATGTCACACGCGAAGTGACGATTCAACCAACCCGTGAATGGGGTGGGGAGGGCGCTCTAGGGTGCGTGTTGGGATACGGAGCTCTGCATCGACTGCCCCCACCGCTTAATGAGCCTGTCTCTGCACCAGGCGAGATGATGTTTGATGGGGAGAAGGACTCGGGGGCGGTGTATGGAGTTGCGCCTGGTGCGGAGGCGTCGCAGGATCTCTTTGTGCCGGCAGCTGCTCCTGGTCTTGGAGCTGGAGGGCCTCCTCCTTCAGGAGGGGAGTTTCTGGTGCCGGCGCAGATGGTGGAAGCTGGCGGAGCGGCGCCACCACCACCTGCTGGCACAGCAACGACAAGGAAAAAGAAGGAGAGGCATCACGGCGGAAACCAACTCATGGATGACTACTTCAAGGAGCAGGAGAAGAAGAGCAGAGAATTGGACAACGCGCCTAGCGGAAGAGGGACACCAGTTGCGCCGCCTCCAAAGACAGGAGGTCCACCGCCCCCGCCTAGGGCGGGCACTACATCGCCACCTAAGGAGAAAGAAGAGGGGGGTGGTGAGTGAGAATAAGTCGCGATTTGAGAGATGTGTGCGAGGTTCATAGACTAGACTCTGTTTCCCATGATGATTCCCAGAATTGCATTTCTTTGCTTTTCGACGTTTACCGTGCTGTTATGCAACGCCTGCTTCTGTATTGTACAGTTTGTTCGTTCGTTTTGCATGTGCATGCTCATGCGCTCGTCAAGCCGCAATGGCGTGGCTTTGCTCTATCCTCCACACGCCTTGTTCCCCTTTATCGACCCCTTTGCTTTGGTACCACTGATGTTACCCCACAATCAATCGAAGGCCTTAGTTTATGAAGTTAACGCAGAAAAAGTGAAGGATCAGACTGCATGCGATGTAATCGGCGAATGCTCTATGATATCGTTAGTATTTTGCAACTGATAGAACCAGGAATTGAAAAGCATACCTCTCGGGCGATACGGAGGGGAAGTCGGCCTTGTTGGCCTCGGTAGTTTGGATACGAAGAGATGCTGGCGACTCTGTTAGAATTGGCATTACGAATTTTATGCCGGATCGACTTACCAGTGAGGACGAATTGACCAACGGTCGCAGAGAAGCCGGAGAGGAAAGCATTGAAGGGCTGTTCACATTTAAGTTAGCCAGTGTCTTTTGGAAACCCTTCACATGTCGGCTTTCACAACGAATCCTCCACTGGGATTGACCACTCAATGGTTACCCAGGGATCTCATAACCAGTGACACCGGTGAAGAAGAGTCAAAAAGAGCCCTGAACGTACATAATTGCCAGCAAGGATACAGTACAAGAACTGCAGCGCACCCACAGCAACAAGGAAGACCATGAAGACGTCAATCAACTTGGTGCGCTGCGGAGTCTTGCTGATGTAGTGGTTGTAGATATTGGCGAGTACCTGGTCCCAGTTCTGGGCGCCGCCTGAGATCTTCGTGTTGGGGACCGCCTTAGGTTGCGAGGTCATGGTGCCCGGGATGGCAGCTGCGGCAGTTGGTCCCGAAGGAGCAGCTGGAGGAGCAGCAGCTGCGGCTTGTGCGTTCTTCTTCGGTGCCATAGCTGCGCAAAATATCTCGTTCGGGGGATTCGTCAAATCGTGTGAGGTTCAGCGTCGTAAAAAATCGTGGTGGGGGTTGAACCGGGACTGCTGTCGAAGTTACGAATGCGCTGCGATGCGGTCTACTGGGAGCTGGGAGCTGTCCTTTGGAGGACACGACAGCTTGAAGCCACGTTATCAGGTGATGTGGCTGGTGCGTGCTCTTCGCGGCAAGAGCCAAGCCACGAATCTGGGGTAGCAAGTGGTCCCTTGGTCAGTATCCGCAGAACACGTTGATTAGTCAGGGGGCTTTTGAGAATGAATGAGATCATCCTTCCAGCTTGTCCTGGTTGGTGGGTAGGAGGCCGAAGCTTGGACTCCCGAGGCACCGAGCCACGTCGGAACTTTCCCCCATCTTCTCTTCCGCGACGATCTACGGCAGTTCTGCAGCTCGATTTAAACCATTTGCACTCCTAAGTACACTAGCTTTCTTGGTTAAACGACTTTTTAGACAATTTAGCTACTTGTCGAAGAAAATCTTCAAAATGGTACGGAAACAATACTTGGATTGGCGTTAGGTGCGGGACGGAAGCTGACAAAGACACCCTTGCACAGGCATCCCAAGACCTCCAGATCCCCTCTTACGCCCTTGCCGTCCTGACTGCGGGCGGTGGCATCGCCGGCTACGCCCGGACGCGCTCTGTCCCATCCATCGTTGCCGGATGCGCTGTCGGCCTTCTCTGTACGACGCCTATCTCTTGTTCCCTCTAAGATACCTGAACTGACCCGGGACAGATGGCCTTGGTGGCTACCGCATCCAGAACCACGAGTCGTACGGTGTTGAACTGAGTCTTCTCGCGTCCGCCGTCCTCGGTGGTTCCGCCATTCCCCGCGCTATCCGTCTTCGCAAGCCCGTGCCCATCCTGCTGAGTGTGCTGTCCCTCTTTGGTCTTTACACTTTTGGCAGCGAGTTCCGCCGTGGCTTGTAAGAGTGGACAATGGGAGTGTAAAGGATTTATGCAAGTTTTTCAAATGTAACTGTATATCAGTAGCACCATGGGAAGGGAATAGAATTGCCCGTTGTCCAAACTTGGAGGGGTTTAATCGTATCGTACAACGTTTCCTTGTGACGCTCAATCCATTCCTCGTCTTCGTTTTCTTTTGGTATCCGTAGCCGTTGCCCTTGCCAAATTCAAATTAAGCTGTGAGTTTTATCGTATAATACACTTTTGCCCGCCCTATTGATCATATTGCCAATCAGTTGGGGGGGATCGATGTACCCCTCCACTGCCGGCATGTTCGTTGCCCGTCCGCTCGTTCGTGCAAATCGTCTAATCGAGGCCGAGAGACTTGTTCAGCTCTTTTATCCTGTTCTCGCGCTCCTCCCGCTTCGCCCGCGCCGCAGCGCGGTTGGCCTCCGTGCGCCTCGCGCGCGCACCCTTGAGGCACTCTGTGACCTTGTCTTTGGCATCGTTGCAGCCACCGAGGGACTTGAACATGAAGCCCTTGGCGTGGCATTCTTCGAGGGCGACCATGATGTCTTCGCATTCTGTTTTCAACCGACACCATCAGCAGATTGTTCCCGTCGAAGTGGTTGTCGCGAGACTACGGGAAGTGGCGTGGGAAAAGATTGACGACGCTACTGACCGAAATTGTCCTTGGTGTGCAAGTGGGGATGCATGGTGACTATGAGGTGGTCTGGACGATTGAGAAGTTGAGAAATGCGTCGATTTTCTTGTGGGAAAGATTTTGCTCGCAGATTTAGAGGCGTGATATGGTGAGGCGCAAAAAGAATTCCGATGGTTCAATGCAAAGGGTGAAATGTACAGCGAGGGATTGGATGAGACCACCGCCAGTGGGGAGCGCCGTGCCGGGCTTTGATTTACGGTCGCCGCGACCGGGGGGGGGGGCGGCAAAAGCTCGGACCACTGTCTTCTAGAACTTCCATCGCAGTTGGGTCACTCGCCTGCAGTTCGGGCTCATTCTCACTGGCATTTCACTCCTTCACGACAACTTCCCACATCTCATATATCGACATCTCCTAGATCGAGTCGAGGTCAAAATGTCGGCGCCAGCAGCGAGCCAGCGGAAGCAGCAAGGTCAGTCAGCTCATGGACAGCTTTTCGCTGGCCCAAAGCCCGACATTTTCATGTCACAAACCCCGCCATTCATACTAAACTGTTTTCAGATCTGCAAACCCAGTATGGCATTTACAAGAACACGCTTCAACAAATTGCCCAGAAAATCGGCGATGTCGAGCAGGAAGCCGAGGAGCACAAGTGCGTTTCCTATTTCCCTCTTGTCTCCTCTCTCTTTCCCTCCTCCCCTTGCCTCCCCCCTTTTTGTCTCTGTCGCCTTTGACTGGTACATGAGGAGATCGCGGGGTGCTCTATCGTCCAGGGGCATGAACTCTCTTGGAAGCCGGGCCCGGGAGCCTTTCGCTTTGACTCACCGCTATTACCCACACCGCTTATTGTGTAGATACGACTGACACTGAAAGCAGGCTTGTGCTGGAGACGTTGCAGCCGCTGTCCGGGGACCGCAAATGCTTCCGTCTGATCAACGGAGTGCTGATGGAGCAGACGGTCAAGGACGTCATGCCTGCTCTGACGACGAACTCGGAGGGATTGAAGAAGGTTCTGGAAGACTTGGTCAAGCAGTACAAGGCCAAGCAGGATGAGTTGGAGAAGTGGAAGGTTCGCACGCCAGAGCTTGTCCATAATGTCCTTCAGAGGCTGTTGCTGACGATTCGGGATAACAGAAGAAGAACAACGTTCAAGTTGTCCAGAACTGAGAGGTCGGAGTTCCTGACTTTCGGATGTGGACTCAGCCGGCGTAGTGTGGTTTGGAACATGACCTCGTATGTCTGACGACCGCCCTTCAAAAAAAAAAGTGACACCTTACTACCTCGGGACCATTCGGACCAGAGATTCCGGGTCTCTTTTCTTGCCGTTTGGATTACCGTATGCTGAGGTGTCTTTGCATGCCACGGGAAATCTTGAGACAGTAGATGTCTTGAAGCGTCTGCAAAGGCAGAGCGATGAGGTTGCATCGCACGTACTCACAGGCGAGGTTCCGATAAAAGTATGGAAGTACTCGAAGAGGTCATCGCGATGGAGGCCATGATGAGAGGGTGTAGTGGTTATGATGTGTTGTACAACGCAATAGGCACGCAGGCGCAGCAAATACAGCCTGGCGGCAAGGGCGTTTCAATGCCCAACCGAATCTTGCACCAACGTCGTCAGAAGAACATACTATTCCTGTGAAGTTAAAGGGCATAGCCGGTTGTATGGCTGGCTGAGAACGACCCGATTGACGAGGCGTGCTGACTGGCTACCTGTCATGCGGCCTAGTGACGATGGAGGGCTGGCTCAGTGACGCTCTGGAACGGCAGTTCGCAGTGCCACAGTCGACCACACATGTTTCCCGCAACCATTACCCACGTGATGACCGGTTCATTAGTATAGCTTTGGTACTACAGCATACTAATCGGAAGAGCGGGCGGAGTGGAGGCAACGGACCGACCCATCCGGCGGTTCGTGGGGTTTTGTTCTTTGATACATCATATGCCAATCAAACGTCATCGCGAACCTGACAGTTAGCGACATCCGACCTGGAACAACAAAGCTACGATGATCGACTGATATCACTTTGACTGCTTCTTCTAGATCCGTGTTCTGAACAAAAACCACGGTTGGCTTTCCGTAGCTGATGCCCAATAGATCAGATTGCATGCCGCTATGCTGCTTGACATCTAGGTGAGGGGCAGAAGTGGGAGGCATCCTGCAGCATACACCCACCCCGCCGATGCATGATTGTCCTCTAGTCAGATGTATCCTGCACGTAGAAGAAGAAGCGTGGTGATAAGTGGGTTCGCAGCATTATGAAATGCCTAAAATGGTCAACGTCGCGGATATGCCGAATAGTGCTGGCTTCCGCCGGCTGACAAGATCACACATCCATAGCGCCCAGAATCGCTTGCGATGTCGCATGTGTGTCACACTTAGCGACGTGCTGAGAGGGGCAATAGGAAAGGTTCCATTCCTCAGCAATCTTATGATGATGATGTTGGGTAGTCACTGTTTGGGGACCAGGCAGGGCAAAGGCACACCGGTGCATCTCGGCGAAGTTGGAGATGACCAGGGTTTATGAAAATGTGGCTCTGAGTTGTCATTGTCTCCAGGATAAGAGAAGCGCAGCCAGCTCATGCAACCATTACGGCTGTGGCAGAGTCGAATTCACCCGCGGCGGCAAGAGAAGCCCGAATGTTGTACCCCTCTTATAAAATAAAAAAATAAAATAAAAAGGGTGTTGGAGGGGTGGGAGCTGCATCATCCGGACCAGGATTACAGAAAGCGAGGGAAGAAGTCAGCGCATCGGACATGGTGGTCGTTTTGGATGCGGAAGGCAGACGGAGATGCTGCAAAAGTCGTCCAATCCGAGCCCAATCCAATACGAGGGTTATTGGCTCCCGAAGAAATAAAAGAGCCCAACCGGACTCGCAGTTCTGGCTGGGCCGGGCGGGTTGTCTGTCTATTGCTGCATGCAGGGTCAGACGTAAGGCGATGGGCCGCCGATAGGTGACCGGAGAGTCCTCACGGGCATTGGAAGAATTTCTCCGTATTGTCGTTCGCAAAAACACGGCCACCATAGAGGGAGTCTGACGTATCTGGGAGGAATTTATGCCAATCAAGAAAATGGAAAGTTGTTGTATTTTTTCATTGGCCCAGAAAGCTCGATTTGAGCTCGTGTCGCGCAGCCTCGTGTCCAAGGTTAGGTACTCCTTCCATACACCACAATAGGCATGTGTACCTGGTTTGCACCAAGAGTAGCACCAGCCAAGGTGCATGTTTCGGCCCAAACGGCCTTCATTCGGGGCGCTTCTTAGGCTGCCGCCAGCCTTCCTTCGTTGTGCCTGACCGACTTGGTTAGGTTGGGGCCGGACTGGAGGAAGACAGGTGACAGGTTCGACGGCTTGTTTACTCTAGGAGGTGCCATTGTCAAATCAAGCGACGCCGTCCCCCTCCTTCTCAGTTCCTGTCGCGACGGACAGACGATTGCCGAGTATTCGCATAGTCATAAGATAAATAAAATCAATGAAAAAAAAAAGGGCGTAACGACTGGAGTGCTTCTCTTTGCGATGAGGGCTGCATCGCTTCGCTGCATCGACAACGCTCCATTGCGGGTGAAGGCTAAGCTACATCTCGAGCTTGGCCTGACTGCTTTCACACGCTGCTTCTTACCCTTTCGATTCCGTTAGCATGTCTGCAGGAAATGGGAACTTATGTCACCGTCACTGTTGCGTCCTTCGTGCTACCTTGCATGTACTGCTTGGCATCTACTGTCTGATGTAAAGCAAGGTAGTGGTGTTTGCTACCCTTCCTCAAAGCTCTAGTGGCTTCTTGCGGTCTACACCGCTCATATACCGGAGCAAAGGTAGAGAGAACAGAGGGTGTCCGTGTTGATACAGCAAGAACTGCATGCAATGACACATCAAACACTTTCATGGCCAGGAGTACCGGAAAGATTGCAAGTCCTTCCTCTTTCCGTTTTTTCGTAACCCTATTAGCACACGTCTGACTGTCGGATTAATGGTTCATCTCTCTTTCTCTCTCTCTCTCTCTCTCTCTCTCTCGGGGACCTGCGTGGCCTGACGGAACCCCAGGATGACATATGTCGTCAGATACCCGAACTGACGGCCGAAAGACATCCGAGCGCGCGAGAAATGGAGAATGCGAAAGCTGTCGCAGCGCATCTCAGCCGCGCTGTTAGGGAGCAGGATTGGGTGATGGGGGGCTGGAGGTACCACGCTAATTCATGGGTGGAGACCAGGTGCTTACGGGTACTTAGTTTTTCGCTGGCGGGACTTAGCGCGGATAAGTACTGTCCTTGCTATCGATAAAACGGATGGTGGACTTCGCGACTTTGAGGGACTTCGGCCTTGTTATTGTGTTAGTGCGCTGAGTATCTTGTTGACCGCACCTTCTTGCCCACTTCCTTCCATTTCTCCCTTCTGCACCAACCCCACGTTCTTGCAGCCATCAACACGTATAGGTGCATCCGCCAGAACCAGGCGCATTGTTAGGCTCTATTACGACCTCGATCGAACAACTCAGACACCAGAAATCTTGTAAGGAGCTTTACTCTCGAAGCCCTGTCAAACGGCACCTGCTTCGAGTACCCCCTCTCCACGTTGCCCCATCCATCCACCATTCACGCGCCGTCGCCCTCTCTGCTTGCCCTCTCCCACCAGTCACAATCGCGGTCACTGTACCGTCTTTCTCTATCCCGTTCGGGTCAAGCGAAGCTTTCTCTGACGCGCCTTTGCAGCTGTTGCCTCTCGATTCCGCTACCGCTGCCTTCCCGTCCGATACCACGGTGTGTAACCAAGGATCAATTCTTGCGCGCCCAAAGCTCGGCCACAAGTCACGACAACCACAAGCACCCATACTGGTACCAGCCAGGGCGTCCACGCGCCTCCGCAACGCAGCACTCCGCAGCTCCGCCCAGCAGCGACAAAGTACCTCATTCGCCTCAGGGATACTGATTCGACCTCGTCTCACATCTGCTTTCGACTTGTGAACCCCTCTAGTCTACTCTCTACCTGCCCAGCAGGACAACCCCCCGCGCCTCGAGCTTCGAGTACCAACCCTCAGGAGCGCGTATATACCCACACCTGCAGCAGGGCGATCACGAAACATCAACGCTACCCTCATTTGCAATCAATAGGACAGCCGTTCCTGTGGGACCCGCAGACGCAGCCACCCTCTTCCCGCTTTTTTCCCAGTCTCTTGTTCTCAAGTCTGCCCGAACAAGGCAGCAGACAGGCCACCCCCAGGACGATCCGTCATAGCCTGAAGTCAAGACAGGACCTGCCAGGGGATCGCGAGTAAAAATAATACATCCCAAGGACAAGCCGAGTGGTTCAGTGCAGGATTGACGCACGCTTCTGCAGCTAAGCCGCAAAACTTGCAAGCCCTACGGTCCTGCAACGTGTCAGGGGACACATCATCCCAAGCCCGTCGTGTGTGCGAGCTGCAATAACCCAAGCAAATTACAAGAACGCCAGCAGCCGCTGCAGGTAGCCAAATATGTCGGACTCCCCCCAATCTCCTCCCAAGGATGTTGAGCAAGGTGTACAATCACCGGAAGAGGAACAAATGAACGAGCCTCAAGACCCACAGTCTGGTGGCCTGGCCTACGCCGAGTTCGAGGTCAAGGAGCAGGACCGCTGGCTGCCCATAGCCAATGGTAAGTCAAATGTTTCTATTTTCTTAGTGGCGGCAACGAGGACGACGACGAAGACGACGACGACAGCGACGGCGATGAAGCTCAAGCCTTTGAGCTCGTACGCGCCAGCCATATCGTCGAATGCACTCTAGTTTTGGACTGGCTTACCTCTCGCGCTTCAAATCTCTCGGGCTCCTGGCCTTCCTCTTAATTGCGACGACGAGAACAAGCTGTTGCCTCGCGGTTCCTGGGTTGTCATGTCTCATGAATCGTCACCAAAGTCTCCAGATGGAGCCGGTATCTCTGGCGGCGAAAAACATGATGAGCTAGATGCTAACATACGAAACTTTGCTCCAGTTGCTCGCATTATGAAGAATGCGCTCCCTGAAAATGCAAAAATCGCCAAGGAAGCAAAGGAATGCATGCAAGAGTGCGTTAGCGAGTTTATCTCGTTTATCACGAGCGAAGGTAAGTCTTCACTCACAGCTGTTCTTGCGCTGGCGCAAATATTTTTGGTAGAATGGAACCTAACCTATTGCAGCCTCGGAGAAATGTCACCAGGAGAAGCGGAAGACGGTAAATGGCGAAGATATCTTGTTCGCCATGACGTCTCTGGGATTCGAGAACTATGCTGAGGCGTTGAAGATTTACCTTTCCAAATATCGCGAAGTACGTATAGCCTAGACGCGGTCCTGATTACAAACAGGATAGGCCTTGCGAGGTGGTGGACGGGCACAGCTAACGGAATCAGCAGCAATCCCAGTCGAACAGAGGAGAGAGCTCCCATCGCCCGGGCAGCAGCGGCTATGGCGCCAATCCCCCGACCGGAGCTGGAAGCTTTCAGACTGAGCCCCAAAACAACGTCCTCGGAGCTCAGCAAGGAGATGGCGGTGCGGACCAGAACTACATGTACGGCGCTCAGACCGGTCACAACGGCGCCGGGGGCACCGACGGCTACCAGTAATCGGCTCGCTAGCTGTGTTTATAACGTGGGATTGAAAACGCGCACTTCCTTCTCGACATATATGTACAGGTCGCGACTTGACGATGCCCAAGCCCGACCAAAAAAACGATACCGGAACATACGTTCAACAGTGTATAAGTACAGGGCTGGGATGTGTTCGACTAACTCAGAATAGGATATGACGGGGCATACGGGTGTATATGAGGGGCCCCAGGAGTCACGTAAGGGTTGAAGACGAGGCAGTTTTGCCCACAAAAGTGAACTGGAAGGGGCTGTCTTTTTGTTGAACATTTGTCTGTTGATAGATTCCCCCTTTTTTCGTTGCGATTCAGTCAGCCATGCCAGGCTCAGGAGTAGTCGAATGGTATTGGCAGAGAACAGCTTAGCAAGCATCAAAGCTATCAGCACGGACCCGGGCCGTACTCCATAGCATAGTTCGCTTCTCAGTACAGCACTCTTAGATAGCTTCTAATTCCAGTTCAGTCGCGCATCTTTGACACCCTCTTTTTCTTTTTCTTTTTCTCAGGACCCCATGACTCTTGCCGGTAAGAGATCGATGTCGACGATGAGTCTTACGGCGAAGCAGACGAGTTCGTTTGTTGTTTCAACTTGGGCAAGACCAACTTCATCGGGCGCCTCCATCACTGTGATATCCAATGAGAGCTCACTTCGTCATAACTTTCCTTAGTCCTTGCCGCTGCCAATTAGAACGCAACAGGCCATAATGACCGAATACGCACGGGCCACGGCCGCTCCCAGGGGTCTTGAGTGCGGCACGTGCGCAGCCCCTCCAGTCTCAAATTTTTACCCAGTGGATGGACGCTAAACATATTGGTGCCGCCTTTCGTAAGAAAAAAAAAAGTTACGGGTAGCATTTCACCGTCGCCAAACTTCCAGGCAACAAACCGCCGAAGGGAAAAATCGGTCGGCTGCTTTTCAATCCCACCAACGCTCCAGGACGAGAAGCACCCCGGGGTAACCTCTGTAAGGATATCAGATATGCATGATATCTTCTTGCAGATCCTTGCGCAATACATCTACCAGTCTATGGGAATAGCCGGACATCCTGCCACCACTCTGCGAGTCGACATCCCCAGCGCCTAGAAGAGAGCCTTGACCACCTCACACGACCACTCTCATGCGACCCTTTACCCCCATTTCCAGACATCGGTCTGGTCCGCCACCGAGAACGGCGACACCTATTAAAAGCATTTTGCGTCCATCTATCCTGGGTCGCAGGAAAGCTGATGAGGCTCGACTTGATTCGGATGCGATCGACCCTCCCTCCAGTCCGACAAAGCGTCGAAAGGTTTTCATTAACGAAATGAACAATCGAGTTTTTGAGTTTGGCAGTCGATCGATGGATGAGGTGAACGCGGAGGTCCGAAAGGCTCTCGAGGAGCATTTAATGGGAGAGGATGAGGATTACGACAATCTCAAGGAGATTTTCACCAACGATAAGCAACGATATCTGCCTCCTGTTGTGGGGGAGGATGAGGATACCCTTAAGCCGCAGGAGCTGAAGAGTTACGTGTTGGCACTGACTAGCTGCGTCCCATTGCTGAAGAATAAAGCCTGCAACGGACTTGTGAGGACGGTCCTCCAGGTATCGTGGCTTGGCCGAGATGAGGACTTTTTCAAGGTCTATATCCAGTTCCTGGCCGCCTTGATTAGTGCTCAGGGCTCCTACCTCACACATGTGCTGTCCATGATTGTCGAGAAGTTTTGCCACTCCAGGCAGTCCGAATGGAACGTTGCCGACTTTCCTCCCGTCACTCGTTCCACAATGCGCGAGCGTCTGCACACCGGCCTCCAATACATCCTCCAGATGTTCCCGGCCGCGACTCCCGTGCTCCGCAACCTTCTTGACAGCAAGTTCCCCTTCGACGATGACCCCAAGAGAATGTTCGTTGCCTATGTCAACAACCTGTTGAAGTTATCCGAGTATGCAGGGGATCTGGACCTTGACATTACCGATGTACTCCTTTCCCGCCTGGTCAAAATCGATGTTCAAATGCAGACGGATCTGGACGACCTTGATGACGATCTTACGGCCTCAGTCGCCTACGCACTTGGGAAGTCATTAAACACTGGCTCGTGGGAGGGCGATGAAGAGGCCGACGACGAGGATAGCGACGACGAGTCGGTCGACAGTGATGATTCGGACTTTGACGATACGGAGGAAAAGGTCCGCGTTGTCAAGGGCAACGTTGAGAAACTGGATGCCATCCTCGACACTCTGTTCGATCACTACACGCCACTCTTCGAGAACCCAGATTCGGATGAAGCATGGGGTCGATACGCATTGTTGGTTCAGTCGTTCGGAAAGATCATTCTTCCGACTTACAAGTCTCGTCACACACAGTTTCTGCTTTTCCACTTTGGGCAGATGTCGGCCCGGCTCCGGGATACGTTTGTCGGCAGCTTGATGCACATATTCGGCTCACAGAACCGACCGAGCTTTGTACGACAAGCAGCAGCTACATATTTGGCGGGATTTATGGCAAGAGGCGCTCATGTTCCACCGGATCTAGTTCGCACAGTATTCGCCCTCCTGCTAAAGCAGATGCAAATATATCGCCTGAAGCACGACCCCGACGCGCGAGGTCCGGACTTGAGGCGGCATCAGATCTACTACGCGCAGGTTCAGGCTGCACTCTACATGTTCTGCTTCCGCTGGCGCGACTTGATTGTGTCTGCGCCCGAATTCGTGGATAGAGACGACCCCGCCTCTTACCTGGGTCACGAACTGGAGTGGATGCAAGGGATGAGAGAGGAGTTATCAGCCAGTGTCTACTGCAAGATGAATCCGCTAAAGATTTGCGCGCCCGCGATCGTGGAGGAGTTCGCGACACTGGCACACAAACTCGATCTCATGTACATCTTTCCACGAGTCGAAGAGAACAAAAGGATTAGACTGTCCCAGTTTGTGTCGGACACGTACGGCACTGGTGGCGCACTCAGGGACACAGGGTCCGGGGCACAGGATGAGGAGTCCTACCAGCTTGACCCTTATTTTCCTTTTGACCCCTATCAGCTGCCAGTGAGCAAGCGATGGGTTCAAGGAGACTACGTGCATTATCAGGCCGTACCTGGTCTTAATATGACTGCAGATGATGACGATAGTGAGGAAGAGGAGGATGACATCCCAGAGTCTGACGTCGAGGAGGATACTGCCACCGCCAGTGAAGACGAGGATGATGATTGAGGTGTCATGAGAAAGATTCTCGAAGGAAGTGCATCAACAAGGCGTTGGAGGGCAAAAAGAAAAAGAAGCGAATCTTGGCCAATTTGGCATTGGGGATATGATTTCCGCATGGAGTTTGGGCGTGTTTAAGTCTTGGCAACTCATTGATGAAGAGGAGAAAGATGAAGGGAGATGTGGATGAACATTTCAGTTGTCGGAAAGACAGGTGGAGAGTCAAACAAGCTGTTGACGCATGCATCATGCGAGTGCCATCTCGTATTTGATAAATGAAAAAAACTCAGTCTTTTCCAAATTATATCCCATCTGTCTCTTACTCATGTGTGAATTCCTGGCGATGCTGAACTGGGGCTGATTCACCAGTTGACAAATTGTCGTTCACGGCCACTTCGAGACTGAAAGGGATATTGGCTGGTCTCTCAAATACAAATCCTTTGGGGGGTAAGCAGCTGAGGGCAGGTAACTTTTGCACTACAGCTTTAATGAGCCAGGTACAGGAGGCCAGCCTCGGCGCCTTTTTTTTCTACACTTGCCCTACAATTGGATAGGCGTCTTTCTCCCTCTCCGCTTCTGTCACCCCTCTACAGTCAGCGCGTAAAAACAGGCCCCCAACTGAACCCTGATGTCTAGCAAGCGCCGACAAATTCCTCGCCTTACCCTGAGGTAAGGTAGTGTACAATGAGGGGGCGGCCTTTCTTCTCGGCTGGTTAGTGGCTCCCCGAGATTGAGGGGGTCACGGAGGATGGGAATTTGGAATCGCCCGTTTCTTAAGTCTCTACAATCCCCATCCCACCGCTGTGTGCACTGCGAGTCTTTTTTATTGCGTAGATTTTAATTTTCTTACTTTCCACTTCTTGCCGAGCGAATGAACAGTTAAGAGGTTTTTGTAGGCCGCTCATCACTTCGTTCGTTTCGGTCGGTCGTTCCGATCTGCTGCTTGTCCAATTGGCAAATCTCATCATCTCATCATATCCTCATCTTTTTTCTTTTTTCTTTATTTACCTTCTCTTCAGTTCACCGTCTAGATTGATTCCTCATCATAACTGAGGGGGGTCATGGCGGATCATCAAATGCGGATGCCGAGCGAAGCGGCGGTGGGGGAGGGGCAGCAGCAGCAGCAGCAAGAACAACAACAGCAGCAGCATGAGGGCAGCGGTGACAATTCCAACCGGCCGTCGTTTACGAATTACTGGCAAGGCGAAAAGGAGAGTGAAAGGGCGGGACGAGTGCAATTTGTAACTGAGATGCACCCGCCATCGTCGACGTCGGGAGCGATGGCTCCCCCGCCGATGCCGCAACCGCAGAAACAGCAGGGTTCTTGTGAGTCGCTTCTCTCCGCTTCTCCAAACGTCATCAACTTCACTTTCCCCATTTGGATTTCAAGATTCCATCGTCCATTCTCATTCGCGGCCTGAGATCGGCAACTGCCAGGTTTCGGAATTATTCCAAGTGGAGGATGGTGGTTGTGACCCTTTTTATTTTTTTCTGTTTTTCATGTGTCTTACTTGCAGGGGAAAAAAGACCCGTGAATTGATTTGTCACGGGGCGGGATTCTGGAGTGAGCATGGTCCTGCGATGAGGAATCATTGCAGCCCGTGTGGCGTCTCCCGCTGCGAAGGGGATGGTGTGGGATTTTGTGGCGCCCCTCTCACCCCAGATCTTCTGCTCGACCGCACCACACACAAGTGTGTGTAGTGTGTCCCCTGCACTGGAACCGGCCGGACCATGGGGCTCAAATGATTCCAACGTGGTCCCCGGCTTACCCTCCCCCCCCCCCCCCCCCCCGCGATGCGCACACCGCTGCCCATTCCTGCGGATCACTGTCCAAACGCCCCTTGGCTTCTGGAATCATCATTTCTGGATTCGGAGCCTTTGTCCTGCACTTTCCCACTTACCCACGGCCCACTTACACCACTGATTCCATCCGTCAATCTCGAGATGATTCCCCATCATATTCCACATGTTGATACATCGATGTATAAGTCACCCAGTTAGACCTCACTGTGGTATATTTGGACGCTCGTCATGAATGATATAACATCAACAAGTACGGTTGACTAACCCTGACCAGCGGAGTCACCCACCAGCGCAGATACAGCCAAACAAAAGGCCAAGCTTAGACGGCAACAGGTCCGCAAGGCCCAGATTCAGCACCGCACCCGTAAGGCCAATTACATCAAGCAGCTCGAACTTGACATCTGCGAGATCCGAGACATGATTGCGGCTGCTGAAAGGGATATGTCGGTCTATCGGCGGCAGAACGAGGAGATAAAGGGCGCGCTGAGGGCCAGGGGCTTGATAATGCCTTCTGAGATGAAGGAGAAGGGCGTCACCGTGGGCGAAGTAAGGATTTCTGGGGATCCCGACGTTGACGACGGTCTATCGTACGAAGAGGTCCTGCAACAGCCTGTTGAGATCCAACCGCAACCACAGGCACACGTCCCCGAGCCGCAACAGCCTCTGCTACCAGGACAGACGGACACGCAGATATTCAGCGAGCAGCAGCAGCAAATGCTACCACCGGCGCCTCCGCTGCAGCATCCAGCCCAGCCGCTGGACTACGATCCGTACCCTCCTGCCGATCTCTTCGGCGATGCCAACATGGGCGAAATCACTGTTACGATGCGCAAGGACGAGACCCTCGGTACGCCATGCTTCCAGATCAGCGCTTCGCCATCCAACGACGCTTCGTTCGCGAGACCTGCTACTCCGGATCAGCTTTCGACTGAGCAAGAAATTACTGCCATCAACCTCATCCTTGCGTAAGTCATTTGCCCTTTTTTTCCCCCGACCCTCTTCCTAGTCACACAAGAATCTAACAAGTCTTTAAGGATGGAACACATCTGCTGGAATCACTTCCACCCCCGCCAGTTCCCTCGCCACGCCGACCCTTGCAAGGCTGCATCCGGCCACACAATGATGGCTTCCACGATGTGCATGTCCAGCGCCCCCGAACGCGTCTACCGCTCCGTCCGTCGCCGCGAAGTCGAGGCCCAGCACAGTTGGCAAGCCCTGGGAGCAGGCAGCTCTCTGTCCCTTAAATCGCTGCTGTCGCTAGCAAAGACGTTGAACCCGGGCGATATCGAGCTCACACCGGTTCAAGCTTGGTTCGAGCTTGCAGCTCGTTATGGTACTGCGGTGCTGATGGAGGACAGGGTCATCGAGGCGCTGAAGAGGGAGTTTTGTGGCGTGGTTGATTGCATTCACTTTGGCGCCATCATCGAGCGAGATGCGTTTGAGAGCGTTGTGGCGAGGGTCATGGCCGAGGTCGGTGTCTCTGAGCTGGAATACGAAATGGACGTCGATAGGGATATCAGAGCCTCAAGCGGGGCCGGCATGATGATTGGGACTCAGCAGATTGCGGTTTAAGCCATCTTCGAGAAGTCGGTCTTGCTGGCTGAGAAACGTGGTGTTTGGTCTTGGCGGAACTCTCTATTGGGAGGACAACATACGATGGCAGCTGCAACAAAATGGAGAGGATGTTGGTTTCGATGTTTTTGGTTGGGTGGATAAAACGATACGAATCATGACCGTTACGACGTACTTCAGACTCGCAAAAATCCACAACACACGTATCGGTGGTCTGGGACATGCTGGTCGCAACAATTGCATATACAGAACAAGGAGGCATCTAGAGAGGTAGTTTTGAGGCAACATACAATACAGCATGCTACTTGCTAAGTCAGCCAGTGAGCAGATGAAGGCCTGTGAAGAATCGTTGGTGCCAAGAGCCCAGATTGAGGGTCCTTGCCGACGGGTTGACGGACGGGGAGGTGTGTTCCGTATCCGGTCCAACAAGGGCAGGCAGGTATCGAATCTCCTCTTCTCGCATTTTTGCTTGCCTGCCTTTCTGGGGTCGCCAGTGTTGGTTCCCATTTGCAGCGCCGCTCGACTCGAGATCCACATCCCGACGTAACGAGACATGTTGGCCGTCCACGCGCATATGCATGTTTGTTTTTCTGTTGGTCTCTCTCTCGTCTCGCCTCGCCTCGCCTCGCTCACGTCCAGCGCCCCTGGTCGAAGAATGAGGGGGTGGTGGTTCCAACCTCCATGACCTGTTGGTCATAAAAAAGATCATCTGCCCACATACGCCTTGAATTTCCGCAAACTCTTTTTTTTGAGTTCTGTGAATTTCTCACGGATCCAGAACCCGTATCAGATTTTGAATTTTCCAAGAACGGATTCGCAACATTGTTCGAGGCCCGTCACTAACCATGAGTCAAACACTCGCAAACCATATTGACCAGGAGGTCCAGATTGCTGCTGACGACGTATGTATCGGACGAGAAAAACCAATCCCACCATTGCAGCCAGTTTGAATCTGACAGGTTCTCATAGGATTTGGATGACAATCGGTCAGAGCTCGAAGTGAGTTTACCTGTTACCTCTTCTTCCACCAAACGAAAGTCCGTCCTTGATACACTAGCTGACAAGTGCCACATAGAGTGTTGGCTCTGTCGGCTCATCAAGCACCAGCTTGGCCAGTTCTATTCGTGATTATCATTTTGAGAATGGCCGGACGTATCATCGTTACAAGGAAGGCAGTATGTGGAACCCATCATCGCTAGGTATATACCGACTGACCTGAGACCTTTAGAATATAACTTGCCCAACGACGAAAGAGAGAACGATAGATTGGGTACTTGCTTCAGTCCCTTCACTTGCGATTTCTCGTTTGTAGTCTAGTACTCACTCATCATCAACATAGACTTGCAACATCATATCTGCCTCATGACGCTAGGAGGCAGTCTTGGTCTGGCACCGCCATGTCAGCCAGACTTTCAAGTTCAGCGAGCACTTGACCTCGGTACTGGCACAGGAATTTGGGCCATTCAATTCGCCGATGACCATCCTGAATGCGAGGTATATAACCTAGCGCAGCATACTAAGCAATCTCCAGATAATCTTTAGTTCACTGTGCTTACATCCTTTTTACAGGTTCTTGGTGTTGATCTGTCCCCAACCCAGCCAGATTTGTACGATATTTCTGCCCCTCAAGCTTTGGTCTCTTTTCGCCAACTAAACAAGTCAAATGAGGCTAATAATTATTCTAGTGTTGCTCCAAATGTCAAATTTGAAGTTGATGATGTAGAGGACGAATGGACGTTTGCGCATCCATTCGACTACATTCATAGCCGTTTCATGACTTCAAGCATTTCCAACTGGAAAGAGTATATTACGAAATGCTATGAGTATGTTTCTCATTTTCCTGCTAAGGTTCTCTTTGAACATGCGCAAGCAGTCAAGGAGAAGGCTAATTTTGAATTGGCACTTACGCAACGGCAGCAATCTGACACCTGGCGGGTATCTCGAACTTCAAGAGATTGAAATGAGTCATCAATCTGATGATGGAACCTTTCCCTCGGACTGTGCCCTCGCCCGCATGTTTACTCTCTTGAAAGAGGCAGCAATCACTTTTGGGCGTGCATTCGTCGACCCACTCCAACTCAAGTCCATTATGGTGGAGGTGGGCTTTGAGGATGTGGTTGTTGCCCAATACAAGTGGCCTACAAATGGCTGGCCCAAAGATCCTAAATGGAAGGAGCTCGGGCTATGGACCCTAGAAAACTATCTGATCGGGCTTGAGGCCCTTGCTATGGCGCCTCTCACTCGTGGCCACAACTGGACCCGGCAGGAAGTTGACGTTTTCCTTGTTGAAGTCCGCAAAGACCTGAAGAACCGAGCGTTCCATAGCTACTCGCCGATGTGGGTTATATCCATTCTGAGACGAACCATCTCATTTCCATCTTCGTTTCATGCGAGTTATACTGACCAAAGCCTTCAGATACTTCGTATACGGACGAAAGCCATTGAAAGAAGACAGCCCAGCACCTCTGCCGGCTGCGGCTACCCCTCAAGCTGAGTCATAATGGCCACAACAGAGTATCACTCGAACATGTTGAAGCGTAACTCTGCACTATGCAAGAGCTATGGTGGGGTTTTCAGACTAAACAGAGACCAGTCGTCTTATACGCAAACGAATATACGACTTTTATTTTATTATTATTTTACCTAACTAGCATCTAAATCCAAGTCAACTTTGGTCCACAGCAAATGAACGTTGCGTTGAGTTGGATTGAGCATATCTAAGTGACCAATATAAGTCGTCCGCCATGAAAATCGAAGATTTCTACGGCCAGAGCTTGTTGGAACCACAGTTATTCTACCATGTCTCGTCCTGGTGTTTTCCCATTGGAAAGCTTACTTCGGCTGTCGTGCAGTGGTACGGATACCATAACTTGATAAGCCATAAATGTGAATATGTACGCCACATGTAAGGGCAGCATAATGAAAGATGTAGAGAGTCAGCACGTCATCCACAGAACGTTACTCAGGGATGGCCCAGCAAACAGATGTTCTAGCTGAAAAAGTTACTCTTTCACATACAGACCTGCTTGACACAGCATACGTCTTGTTCACGGCGAACAATGTACTGGGCAGGTCACGGTTAGCGTGAAACTAGAAATTTCTCACGGATCTGAACGTATTTTCAAAGTAACCGACGATTTCTTATTTATATCTATGAATGGAAGAAGGAGTAAGGAAACGCTTGACAGGGGTATCGTTATCATCATGAACCAAATACGTCTGCGCCGACGCATAGTGGTTATCCCAAAAAGTGCCCAAGGCACGTCCGAAATCGACGCGCAATGGTTTATGTCCTGAAAGTCTTGTATACATACGTCCGATCCGACGCATCGCGATACGCTCCGAAGTTGTCAAAGGTACGTCCGAACGGCCGACGCACACTGCTCAAGCTCCATTTTTTTCTCAGCACCTCTCGCTCACCCAACATCCCCTTTTAAGCAGAGGTGGAAGAGGGAGCAGCAGGAGGGGCAGAACCGCTGGGAGGCGCGCCGCCGGCGCCAGAACCACCCGAGTTCTCAACGGCCACGCCGCCATTGGCGGTGTACTCGAAGCTGTAGCTCGTCTCGTACGAGGCGGTGCGGTTGATGCCGATTGTGATCCAGCCGAAGAGGCCGTCTTCGACGGAGTCGCCCAGGTAAGCATACTGGAAAAAGGGGTCGGAGTCGGCATTGCTGCCCAGCTCGTCCGAGACGACATGATCATCGGCGTTGAGAGTCTGCTCGACAGTGTTGGTGTTGTACGGCTCGAGAGCTTCGACGGCTTCGACGAGGTCCTGGTCCCAGAAGAGCTGGCCGATGTGGGCGGCGTGGTCAGAGGAGAGAGTGTTATTGGGGAGAATGGTGGCGTCAAGCCAGGCAACCTGTATTTCTGTCAGTGCCGCTCACAATAGAATGGTCACAAAAAAGAAAAGCTGGGGTCATGTAATAAATGCTTACCATGTGGTGATGGGTGGTCCTACCGCCGTAGTGGCCCGGGAAGATGGTCTGGAACTGCACAACACCATCGGCGTCCGTTTTCTGGATGCCGCGGAGGAAAGTCTTGTTCAAGTTCGACGCATCGTCTCCGTTGCCGTTGGAGCTCTCCTGGACTCCGGAGTAAACACCAGTAGAATTGCAGTTCCAGAGATCCCAGTACAGATCGGTGATTGGCTCGCAGGTCTCGACGTCAATGAACTGGCCGTCCAGAACCACATCGACACCAGGCTCGCCGTCGCGGAGGTCAGAGCGAATGTACTCGCCCTTTACCCAGAAAGGCCCGATCTCACCCTCGGGGTTGAGGATGCAGGTGTGGTTGGACCCGAAAATGTCGGCGGACGGAGACGAGGTGTCGATGCCGGCGTGAACGGATGTCTGGTTATGCCCGGTGCCGGCACTATCGACGGCGCGTTTGGCCTTGCGGACGGCGCGGTGGTACTCGATGGTTTGGGCGCGGCGGACCATAGCACGGGCTTGTAGATCCCGATAGGCCTTCGTGTTCTGGCAGCTCTCAAGGCCGCGACGGGCGAGGCCATGGTGTTCATGACGGGCAGCTAGAAGGCTTGGATGCGATTCCTCGTGGTGGCCCGGATGAGCGGCGCCTAGCATGACCGACGTCAAGAGGAGAAAAACGGAGGAATGCATTGTTGCTATTGCGTGTAAACGAACGGTGATGCTTGTTTTTTTGTGTTTCAAGGAAGTAAATCAGATGATAAATGATAGTGTGTTAGTCTGGACTCTTGTTGATTCAGACCGAATTGGGTTGTTTCGTTTCTTCAAGTCTATTTTCAACTGGCTTCAACGACATCTTATATGCACTCTCATCATTCTCCCGTTCAGAGCCTCGTCTCCCCCTTCCGCATCAACAATGCGATCGCGAAGTAGCGGTCCTCTGCTTAGCGTCTCTTGCAGGCTATGCGTAATCTGTTGTCGTCACGCCTTTGTCTCTTCATGTTCTGGGTGTTCATCTATTCTCGTTATGTGGATTGAAGTTGGGTCACGATCCGGATGAATCCCACATGGAGAAGAGGCTCCTCTTGCCGTGGACCAAATGTCTTGGCAATGGCTGTTCAAACTTCTCTTTTTCTGCGTACATCATCAAGAAAAATATGAAGTTTTGTGAAAATCAGAAAATGGTCGAAAATGGTTGGTTCGCATTCGCCCCAGATCACATCTCTTAGCATCGTGGCAGTGCCAATTGGGGCAAATGCGAGCCAACCATCACAGGGCAATTCTCATGATGCGAACCCCCCGTTTTTGGTAAATCTTTGGGAACCTCCACGGCTTCCGCGGTATTACTTCACAAAGTCTCTGATTCGCTCCCGGAAAATATCTCGAGAGATCGGCATTGGATCTGAGGACGTAAGCTTTTTTTTACACACTCCCGCCCGCAATCCCGGTGCCTGGATGCCGATCCTTTCAGTCTTGGCGCTTCAATCCCAGGAGAATGCAACAAATACCTAGCTGAACGGAATGTGGGGTGAGATATAGTGAAGATCTACATCGACCGCCAGGCGACTGTGGTTGAAGCCTCACTTACACGCGTTCAAAGTGAAGGCACAGGAGGCCTGATATTTTCGGGGCCATATTGTCCAACGTCGAGTCGCATTGGTATGTTGAGCTACATCTACAGTCTAGACCCTCAAACGAAGCTGTCTAAGCCGCTGTCTTAGCCTTTCTCTTCTCAATCCTTTCCAACTCCGCATCAATCTTCTTGAAACTCCAGCTCTTCCAGAAGGGGGGGTACAAGAAGGGACGCAAGTCAAATCTGTTGTCATCAGGGGCTATTCCCAGCGGTCAGTAAAAAAAACGGAAAAGACCCTATTGGATAGGGATTCGTGGAACTTACAGTAGTCATTGCAGTGCAGGGCCGGGGTGAGCGTCGTCATCTTGTGACCTGTTCCTCGTCGTCAGTTACCTCGCGACGGTTGCCAATTGTTCATAGACTACTTACGGTTGATGGCGTAAAAGTGGAAGAACTTCTTGACCTTCTCGGCTGTCTGTCTCGGCTCGTACGCGGGCGCGTCATCCTCCGGGCCTCGCTTGCGATCGGCGCTCCAGTCGTGGACGAGGCGTTGGAACATGCCGTAAGGGCCCAGTTTGTTGACCTTGCGGAGACGGCCCATGATTGTGAGCTCTTGGTAGGTCATACCCATGTCGACCTCATCGCTCTGGACGTACGTCTCCGAGATGGGTTCCTGTATGGTTCATTGTGAGTAAAACATTCTACATGTGTGCTGGATACCAGATTCCCGGTGGAAGGAAAGTGGGAGACACATACGAGCTCGGCGGTCGGGACCGCGGTGAGGAAGTCGTGCAGACACGGGATACCAAAGTCCTTCTCGGCCCAGGCGATGAAGCGCTTGAGGTCGGCCTTGTCGATGGAGCCGATGGGGTTAATGTCCGCGCCTATGTAGAGTTAGTATTCATAAGTGTCGTAATGGGAAGGTCACTGATCGAGAGCGCGTGATGCTCAAAAATAGGCTACAAGCCTTGCTGGACCACTCGTGAATACAAATTGACTTACTGGAGCAGTCATATCTTGAGTATAGTCAGTAAGAAGTCACAGTTTATGTTTTCAAGGTTACTCACTTTGTGAAATATCCTCGCAAAGACTTCTATGGTTAGCACATGCCGGAACCAATATCAACAACATAACTCACCTCTCCAACGTTCGCACTGCCCAACACGAGCAAGCCACCACCACCAGGTCTTCCTCTAGCAGTAGGAAGAAGCTGTCCAAACTCATAAGCGGTAACCATGCGGATTCTCGCCTGCAAACACTGCAGCGTCAGGTTCTCCTGAACCGTGCCGCCCTCGACCTTGAACCTAGGCTCAAAGTTGAGTGCGCTGACAGCAAGGCTCTTCTGCGCCTGGTAGACGTCGTCAATGTCGAGGTTGATGTGGTAACTGCCGATAGCTTCGGCGAGGTCCTTGGCACGCTGGCGGGTTTCAGCCGAGCTCTGCGTCTTCATGCCCATGTAGATGGTTGAGAAGACCTGGTTGCAGAGGGCCTGTGGAGTCTTGGGAAGCACACCCTCGCCGTCGTACTTGGCGATCCGCTTCACGTCCTCAATGACCTGGGGGTTGCCTTCTTCGACAGCCTTCATTACAATGCGGCACATGGAGTACACAATTGCTTGGGAGTGTTAGCGGCGTTACATTTAGCGGAGATAGGGGAGAACGGACTTGCGGTGGCGCAGGAGTCAATTCCACCGCTAAGGGGGACAAGATAGCCAGCAGTTCCGGATCGTCGCAGGTACTAAATTGATAATGATCAGTTTTGCTCAAAGAAGAGGTTACCGATGGTCTTACATCCCAGAGATAGCATCCAGCGCACAGAGCAATCTCCTCCTCGACGGAGTAGTACTTGGGCTTGATAGGGGGCGAAGGGCACTTCTCCACATCCGCATCCTCGTCGTCGGTGCTCAACTCGAAAGAGGTTTGGATTCTCTCATACTTGGCATCGCTCTGCGCAGCTTGAAGACCGCGAGAGATGGCAGACCGGTAAGCCCGCACCTCCTCCAAGTCAACGGTAGCCGTAACGACTTCGACATCGTTGAGACTGAACTGTGAGCCCTGCGCAACAACGTCGCCATTGACCAAAATCATGGCGGAGCCGTCGTAGTACAACCTATCACCATCGCAACCCTGTTGGTTTGCGTACAAATAGATACCGCCGCACTTGCGGGTAGCCTCCATGATGAGCTGCAAACGGGTGTCGAGCTTCTGGAGAGTGAAATGAGAGCCGCTGGAGTTGGTGATGATTTCCACACCGTCGAGGCTCATTGCGATATGTGGGGCGTTGGGCGTGAACAGTTCCTCCTTCGCGGGTGTCAGTCTTCTCACTGACGGTCAAATTTACTCAACAAGGCAACTTACACAAGTCTCAGCACCAAAGCACGTGTCGGGTGTCGACACCACTGCATCTCCGAAGATGACATGAGTCGAGCCTTGGATATCCTGCAGGATGCGCGGGAGGTGGTACTGCTCGGTCTGGCGGGGGTGCATCCAGGGTGTGAAGTGACGCATCTCACGATAGTTGCCGTCGTTGGCGAGCCACATCTTGGGGCGAATCATAAGGATCTTGCCGTTGAGACACAGAACTCTGCAGTTAAAGCGCTGGTTACGGTGCTGTACGGGCATGCCGATGTCGAGAAGGATGTCGTGGCAGGACTCGTCGAGCAAAATGCGACGGAGCATCTCGAAGCAATGCAAGTATAGGTCCTGCTCGAGCAGATGATCAAGACAGCCATAACCGCATATTTCGAGTTCCTGTTTGGGTTAGTTGACTGGTCCTATGCGTCATTTGGTAGTTGATAATGCTAAAGACGCGGGAAAGTTTGGCGGATGTGGGCACTTGTGCATGTATATGCGTTTGGGGAGGAGCTGCTTACAGGACCGACACGCAGCCGTGCTCCGGCAGCCTTTGCCTTCTGAATACTCTCAATGATACGGGCCGTATTGCCCTCCCACTAGTTCTCTCAGTTAGCATGCCATACTGTGATCCAACACCACGCATGCAGAACCACTTCTCGCACAGTTGGATTGGCGGGGTTTAAAGACTCACATCCAGAGCCCATTGGTTTAGCGAACAAGTCGCGACAGTAATGAGATGGCCCATGTTGGCGGTCAGTACTGTTCAAATCCTGTTTTTAGGTCAGTCAATTGAACTCTGGATCAGAAATTCCATGAACTCACTTGAGACTTGCAATATTGGTTGAATGTTTCTTAGCGTGAGTAGTGACGATAAGGTTACGTGGGGTGTGATGAGAGGCTGACTCATCCAAGGGCTCGAACTTGAGCAACTTTGGACACAACAGTCTTGACAGAGCCGTTGAACGGTTGATGGGTTTGTCTGTCCTTCCCAACCCAAAGACAGAAGAAGTTCGGAACTAAAGGGCTTGACGGAGCAGTTTCGGCATTGCGGGTAACTGGCTTCAGAGACTCAAGCGACTTATCTAACCCCTCATCAGGTACCGTGTGTTAGTGCATGCTGCTAGAATGGGTGACAACACTAACATCACTCACCAAAAGCTGTCGTGGGGATTCTCTCCCGGAAAGCTCGTAGCATTGCTTTTTCCTCTCTTACCGGAATACAATTTTAAGAATGCGACACTAACAACAGGAAGACCGTTGAGTTTATCCCGACATTAAGTGGCTGTAAGTGACAGTCCACGGGTGTGTCCAGTGGCATGTCTTTACCCCTGTCATCCCCCGCCATCAACCCAGTCTGTCGGCATAAGACTGTCACACGTGCTAATCTACAATTGCCAGAAGAAATGTAAAAAGAGGAAGACCGTCACTAGACATGTCAAAACGTATCAATGAATGATAATGTATATAATAGATCTATAATGTCTGTATAAGATTGTTGAAATAACCATGAAAGGCAAAGCTTTTTTAAAAACCAGGATGTTTATAAACACTGAGCAACCAGCCAGAGTTGGAGCAAGTGAAGTATAATTGAGTGTGACCAGAAAACCATTGAAAGTTATATAAACCCGTACTAAAATAGAATCGCCAATGAAACAGAGCTAATCTACTTTCAATGATTGATGGCCTCACGTTTGCGATCGAAACCATCCTGTAGTTTGGATGTAGTGCATCCACTGCCGACGGAAGTTAGCGATACCACCTCTCTGATAGCGCGTAATTGTGGGGCCAAGGCAAACAGCCCCGGCACCTCCAGAGCCTCGGCTCAAGCTTCCAACCACCAAAACCACAGCGCAGCATCACAACCAGCCGTCCCACGATACCACCTACAATCTGCCGTCTCCCCAACGTATGGTCTCAGTCTCCTTCCCACATAAACCGCAACAAACCGATCGCCGTCGCTTACAGCTGGTCATTAACCAACGTAACCAGCGCCCGCGCGCAATGCGCAATTCGCCAAAATGACCTCTTCACAACCACCACCGCCAACACTCCCCTCGTCACCATACCCATACGCTTCCGCCCCCGACATAATCCGCGCCCACCAGAAAGACGCCTATTACAAGGGCCATCTCTCAAATAATCTCACATCCCTCCACCGCCTTCTCCTCGGCGCCCGTTCCGCACACTCCGCCACTCCCCTCCACCGCCTCCTCGCCGATACGCTCTACTTCTGCCTCACAACCCTCCCGGGAAACAGGACACTGGGAGAAGAATACTGCGACCTTGTCCAGCTCCACGTCGGCTCCGAAGATGACACGGCTGGCGCGCTGCCCACACTCGCGAGAAGAGCATCCTACATAGCAACTTCGGTACTCCTCCCATACTTCCTCGGCGGCCTGCTCCCCTCCGTGCGCGCGCGGATCCGCTCATCACTCCAATCCTCGCTGTCAAAAGCGAAAGCCGGCACGACGAGGCAAAAGCTCGTGTCCTATATCCTTGCGAACCTCCCCTCCATCACATCCGCGGCGCCGATCCACGCGGCGACGCTCGCCGTGTTCTACTTCACAGGTACATACTACGAACTCGCCAAGCGCGTGCTGGGCCTCCGCTACGTCTTCACACGAAAAGTACCAGACAGCCCCGACCGCGCCGGATACGAAGTGCTGGGAGTATTGCTCGTGGCTCAGCTGGCGGTGCAATCATACCTCCATATCCGAAACACCATCTCGGAGCTGTCGACAGCGAGACTCGAACCAGGACGTGAACGCGCAATGCTGGCGGGCCCCGCAGACGTCTCACTGGATTCGAACGCGTTCGCAGAGAACACTGCCATTTTGCTATCGGAGACGGGTACACCAGGGGGCAACGGCGCGGGCTCGAAAGTCGACATCGCCGCCGTCACGCACACGCCTGTCCAGTCGGAGGCTGCGGGAGCGAGATACGACTTGAGCGACGAGAAAATGATGGCGTACATCTCGGGTGCGGCGCAGCGCAAGTGCACGCTCTGCCTGGAGGAACTGAAGGACCCGTCGGCGACGCCGTGCGGGCACGTTTTCTGCTGGGCTTGCATCGGGGACTGGGTACGCGAGAAGCCCGAGTGTCCTTTGTGCAGGAGGGAGGCCTTGGTTCAGCATATCCTCCCGCTGCGAACTGCATGAGTTCGAAGACGCTGCTGTATAAATTCCCCAAGGGATTTTTTTACATGTACATGTATTCATATTGGCAAGTTCAGCGGAGATGGGGGGATCAAGAATTCAGTGGTTGATTTGTATAATGAGATGAGTTGATGATGGGAGTATTTTCTTTTTGTTCTAAACGATGAAGAATTAAAAACAACAACAACAACGGGGCATCTGAACCGTCAAGTTTTGAATGAAGGGAAATAATTTATATATATATATATGCCAATGAAGAATGGGTACGCTCAAAACACATGACTACATACACCTTCGTCTTTGACCTCCCCCCCAAATACCACATTATCTCACTGATACCCACATGCGGCGCAGAAAACATAACGTGGAAACAGTTGCAAGAGAGAAAAAAAAATGCGTTGGTCGGCCTTACTCAATACATTGAACAGTTGAAAAGTTAAAAAGTGAAAAGCTCCTCCCTCCTTCCCATGGTAAGTAAAAACATCCCCCTCGCCATATATACCACAGACCAAATGGGCTCGGTGTATGAGCTCAAAGACCAGCTAGGAGCATGCGGGCTATGGATATGCGGCGCGCGGTGGTTCACCCATGACGGAGAGAGAAAGATGATATAAAAAATAATAAAAAAAAAAGGATGATGATACTGGCGTCGACCAAGACAAAGATCCGAACACCTCCCCCATACACGGTCCGCCTCTCCCCCTTGGGGGCCCCGTTTTCCATTTGGGCTCGATGGCTCTCTATTCCATCATTTAGGTATCATGTGCCAAAGTGTATCCCGAAACACTTGCAGAAAAAAGTAAAAAAAAAGAAAAAAAAAAAAGTTCATCAAACGCTCAAAACTCCGTTATCCTTTATGAAGTCTCCTGCCCCCTCCCAGCCGATTAGTCGTACGTCCCGTGCGATGCGGAGAGTTGGTTACAAAGGAGACGCTCAAGCGGTGAAGAGAACGATTTCTCCGCGCTCGTTACGCCTCATGCGCAGGGAGCGCCAAAGCTCCTTCTCCTCCATGAGTTTGTTGAGGCTGTCCTCGGATGAGCTGCGCTCGCGGTGGAAGCGCTTGAGGGCCTTGTTCATGCTGCAACCGCGCTCGCTTTCGGGTCCCTTGTTGACGAATGACAAGAACAGGTCGGCGCGAGGGCGGTAGACGACCATCTGGTTGCCCTCGCCGTCGTCCTTCTTGCTGTCACGGGAACCAGGACGGTACTCGATGAGCTTGGGCGCCTTCTCACCGTCGCGGTGACGATGAGATGAGTGCTTCTTGGTGGAGGACGAGACCTTGCGCTTCTTCGTCTTGGTCTTGCTGCTGGTGTTGATGTTCATGAGAGCCAGGAGGTTGTTGCCGATGCCGCCCTCGGACTTCTTGTGCTTGGAGTGCTTGGTCTTCTTGAGCGGGCTGGTGGGAGACGGGTCGGCGTCGCCGCCGGAGAAATCGGGCGAAGGCGGGAAGACGGGTCGCATCATGCGGTTCAAGCCGCCGGTAAGGCCAGAGTGTGCCAGCGTGGGAGGAGCATCGACCATCATCTGGTCGGTGTCGACGTGGAGGCGCTTGCGCTTCTTGTCCTTCTTCTCGCTTCCGTCCTTCCTTCTACGCTCATGCTTGGGTACGGGTGTCTCGTAGGGGTCGAGAGGGATGGCTCCAGTGCCGTATTGTACGAGGGCTGCGGGGTCTTCGTCGACCATCGCACCGCTGTCGTCCAGGTAGGCGCTCGCCTCGTAGCGCACTAGTTGCGTTTCCTCGTTGGATTCTCTGTTGCCGAGTTGAAGTGTTGACGCATTAGGGGTTGCTGATGCGTCGAGGAAGTCAAAGACGTTGACATGGCCCTCGTTGGCCGAAGGGGGTGTAGGGGCCTCGGGAAGGAGGTCTGCGGGCGAGTTTCCGTCATCGCTGCCGCCACCCTGGTATTCGTAGGTTTCGAAGACGTCTTCGGGGACGTCTTCTACGTATGCGGGTTGAGCCATGGCGTCGTGTCCGGGAAGGGGTACGTTATGGGGCTGAACGTTGTTCGCCTTGTTGTTCTTCTTGTTGTTGTTGTTCTTTTCCTTGTAGAGGGCTCCTTGGTACTTTTGAGCTTCGCTCATACAACTCTGCCTTTGGAATTAGCACCCTGACTAGCTCGACGCCGGTCCTTGCTGATTGCGCAAAGGATTAATGTGACTTACGGTATGAGAGCGGTATTCAGTGCCCGGGAAGTAAACCATACAATCGATGCAGGTATAAGTGGCACCTCGACAACGGTTTCTGTGCGGGTCGAGCTTCTTCTTGGTCAAGACATCACCACACGACTGTGGTTGAGTAAAGGCAAAGGTCAGTTAATGTTACGCAGGTGGTAAAGGAAGCAGATAATTGGGTTCTTGGAGGACGAAGAGGGGTGTATGGTCTGGGAGGCGAGGGAGGGACGGGACGAGACAATGACTATTAAAGACAGCAGCCAAGGGGAAGTGGAGGGGTGTTTGTTTCTGTTGCTGGAGGGGTGTGTGTCTGGTGTCTTGCTATGTGTGGAAGGCGTGTGCGTGTGTGTGTGTGTGTGTGTGTGTGTGAGGATGTGATGTCAGGCTTGGGAGGTTATAATAAGAAGACATGGGGATCCTCGGGGGGGTTGCCGACGGGGGTAAGTACGGAGAAGTAAAAGAGACTAAAAGGGACCCTGAGGGATGATGGGGGGGAAGGGAATGGTAGAGAAATAGGGCGGCGGCTTACCTCACAAGAGAAGGACACCATGGTGACGGGAGCGACGCTGTACGATGATGTGTTGTCCTTACGATGGGCTTCTATTGGGCGCGAGACGTTGGGCTGAGAATGATTTTGACTGGGTCGCGGTATTTAACGGAAGAGAAAGAAAGGCGATTCTGGGAGGCGACGGAATGGCCGTGGTGTAGCTGTCGGTAGGCGGATTTGCAGAATGCAGATTCAAGGCGCCGCTTTACTGGCCGGAATGGCGGGTTGGGGGGATCGTCGACAAGTGGACTGCAATGCAAGCCGGGACGTGCCTTGTACGAGAAGGACAGGGCAGTTTGGGGGAAGAAACTGAGAGTCGGAAAGCTTTGAAAGCGGAGTGGAAGACGTTTGGCAATCCGTAGCGGCTGTGCGAGTGCTAGCGGGGGGGGAATGATTGACCACAGCCGGGGCGTGGAGAGTGAGATAGCGTTATCCCCTTGTCTAGAGGTGATTTGTGTTGGGTGGAGAGATGTTTATTTGGCGGCAGCAGATAGAGAATGGCGAGACGACAAGATGGTGAGATGGTGAACTCGGGGGAGCACAATAACTCAGAGTTCAGCTCAAGATGTCAGGGGCTACACTCCGTGTTGGTCTCGCGTCTCAAGAACGTAGCTGTGCCGGCGATCTCCAATGTAGGAATCCCTTATTTGGAGGGGTCCAAGGGGGGCGGCGTCCGCAGGGGGGAGGGGGGAATGGAGGGGTGAGAATTTGTTTCGCGCTTCAGGTGTGTTGGAAGAGAAGCAGCTGAGGAACGCGGCACAATCTCTGACGCCCAGACCGTAAAAAAAACAAAAAAGAAGAAGCTCGCACTATACTGAGTGACAGAATGGGAGCGAGTAAGGATTCGAGGACTGGAATCTGAACTGGGCTGTGCTGGGTATTATGAGTGAGCTCAGCAGTGCAAGTTTTGCGATGCGATGTGAGCGAGCTGATGGCGTGTTGAGTAGAGCGACAGTGGCGTGGAAACTGGTCCAAAGCTACCCAAAGTTGACCGTGCTGAGAGGAATTGGGCTGGCTGATGAGATTACTCTCGATCAAAGTGCTGGCGCGTTTAGTTGTCGGTCCCTAAGAGAGGGGAAATTATTACAACGACGTGAAGGTGAAAGAAGCTGTGAAGCTGCAACACTGCAAAAAAATCTATGCAAACAAAGTGGAATCGAGCGAAACTTTTCGCAGTAGGATTTTTTTTTTCTCTCTCTCTCTCTCTTTGCTTGTCGTGGAGACCTGGAGTGCATCTCAGTTGGGCAGCTTGACATGTTATTACTAGATGCACCCCCTAGATTTTCCAATGACAGGCGGTATCCCAGGGGAACGGTGGTCATTCAGAGGCAATCAATAGCGTCGAGTGGCCCAATGAATCCAAAACCCGACTGGCGGACGCGTTTGATTCGTCAGGTGGTCGAGAATGGTAAATCTGAGGCCAGCCAATCATTAAAGGTGAGGCGACAACGGTAGGGGTATCTGCATCGGTGCGCCTCACTCGGGCGGGAAAGACGGACGGTGGACGTTATGGAGACAGACTGCATACAACAGTTAGTGTCCCTTACTGTCAACCATCCTCCTACCTTTTCGTAGCGTAAGATCCCCTCCGATTCCACCGGCCAGCTGCAACGGAATGCAGCCGTGGTGGGTTACGATAGTCTATGGCGCCGCAGACCGCCCCCCGGCGCTTCGCCTATTTTATTTCTTCACAGGCCGACCTGAAGCCAAGTGGGAATGGGAATGCAGAACGGTGGATTCTCTGCGTCGCTGCATATCCATGCCTGCCAACAACCGAAGCCTGGCTGCGTTAGCTGCCCTGAGTTGGTATTTGAACTAGAGACGCCGTTCGGCCCAAAGTCGCCAAAGTTAAATTCATCGAAAAGATATGCCTGGCATCAAATAGACAAGCCCGGGATATTGCCAACATGGGGGGGCAAGAGTGGTAGACCCGCCGCATTCCGGACAGTCGTCGGAAATGGCATGTCTTGTCTTCGTCTTCATCCCGTTCTGCCGCGGTTTCACGGGAGGAGACGAGAAACCCTTGTTGGACATCTTTGGATTCAGGGGTAAACCGCAAAGGATGATGCTTCTGCTGTGCTTCTATTCTGGGGGGGGGGGGGGGGGGGGGGGGGGGACATCCATCCTGCTTCCATGACCAGGGCTGGGTCACGCCCAGGAAGGGAAGGAAAGGCTTTCTGAGGTCAGGTCAGATTATGGATTATGCCATGCCAGACCAAGTTCGGCCACACGAGACGCACCAAACGAGGGCCATGCCCCTATCCGTTGGCAACCGCTGCGAATCAGATGGATGACGACGACGTCCCAGAGGGATGGAACGGCTGCTGCCGCCGCATTGGGCCTCTAGGTCGAGATTTCGGGGGCCGTCACATCGTTTTCTGGAACGCTGATTAGCGGGCTGCATGAGAAAGCCCAGCTACCCCCATTTGCAGTGCATCACCAGCATTTGGGGGTGATGAAGGAGTCTTCTTCAGCGCCCCCAAAGCGCGCGTCTAAATTGACCATCGAGGAGGGCGAGACGACGACCGCCGTTGGGTCCTGGCTGTCGCTATCTGTTGGCAGCTGGCTGCAAGGCCATTATTAGAACAGACGAAAGTTGTTCCTTGCTTGCGGCTGTGGCTTTGCTCTCGTGCCGAGCGTAGCTTTTTCTTAATGGGATGCAGCACCTGGAAATCCTTCGTCTCTTTTTTTTTTTTTCCCTTTTCCCTTTTGCTCTGTATTGGACTGGATTGGACTGGATTGGACTGGATTGGATTGGGATTGGGGGCTTCTGCACACACCCTCCCGTTCCCCTGGCCCACGCCTGTCCCCAACGAACAGACAAAAGCAGAAAATCTAGCTTCCAATCGTAAACGACAACGCATACGTTGTAAGGGGGCCAACGAGTGGGTTACCCATGACTTGCAGAGCACGTTGGCTGTACTACTAGATGCGAGATCACATCTGAGAGGCAGACGACGAAGCCCTTGAGTGGGACGAGGAATGGCGCCGTTGGACAGAAGCACTTGGGGTGACTTGCATACCAACAGTAAACGGAGTTGACCCAAACCCCCGGCAACAGCATCCTACGGGCGCCAAGACAGCACCATTGATTCCCACGGACAAGATGATTCAGATGTCTTACTTTGCAAAGAAAGAAAGAAAAAACTAGATTGGGATGGACCGTCCACGGAGCTCCAGTGACCATTGGAATGAATTCTCCGCCGAGGTGGATGATGGTGGTTGTTGCTAACTTAATCGACGTTCAACAGGAAGCTCCCGACAGCCCGTCCCACACGTTTTCGACCTCACTAAGCTTCACGTCCCCCCCTATTATCGGCCAATGCCAATCACCGTAGTCCGCTAGGTCAGCCCACGGCGCGCTTTGAGGCCCGAGATTGCACTCCGAGAGGGAGGGTCTCCCCACCAGGTCACGCCTTACCCTTTCCTTCCCTGTCACACGCCGCCTTTCATCATCTCGACCACACAACCACACAAGGTAAGTTTCAGTGGCAGGCAGGCAATCTTTCCCTTGGGGGTAAGAGCCACGCTCAGCTTGCTGTGCTGCTCGTAATTATGGAAGGCACGGCATTTCCCCTGAGCTACTCCGCGAGCCACTCCCTCGTTCTCGGTTCTGAAAAAAAAACCAGTCAACATTCCATCATCAAGTACTCTCATCGAAGCAACCATTGCGCATGAAATGTCAGTTTACGGTTTCATGCCGGTAGCCCTTTGGACAAACTAGTGCAATGAAACCACACAAGACTACCAACGCGTCTGGTCGTGTCGCAGCAGGGCAATGCCAGCCAATTAACAGGCCCTCCTTTCTGTGTGCTATTACCCACGTACCTACAACCTCCTATGTGATATGCTCTCTCGCTCCCTCGCTTCATGCAAACTGGATATTGAATTTCGGCAACTGAGGGCCACACATCTCGCCTCAAGCAACCCTCCCTCCTTCAAATTCATTTACCCATCGTATCGTGTCGTATCTTTTGGTTCTCTCACTTTTACGTTGATTGCCTCCGCCTCTAAACTCCGTCCAACAAGCCTTGGCCGCCCTACATCCGAAAGCACCCTACCGGCAACCACCAAATCAGGTCATCTGCCGCATCGACAAGCCTCAGGAGACCCGCTCAGCGCGTCCGCCCCCAACATCATCCCACGACTTGAAATTCAAAGTCACCTTGAAGAAGGTGTGTCTCTGAACGTACACTGCGTTGGATGCTGTAACCCCTCCAAAAAAGAAATCCTGTTCACTCGGCCGTACGCCTCCACTCAGCACGGTTTCTTTCCATTTCGATTTACATTATGCTCTGCTAAAGAAACCCACATCACCGCCTCCCGTCTTCCGCGGTCAATGCAGTAGTACCGTCGCTGGCTTTTCTTGATTTGATCGCAACCCAAAACACGAAAAGGGAGTCCTGTGTGGACAGTGCTCATTTCTCAACAAAGTGAGATCCTCTCCAATCGTCGGTTTCGTTCCGATCAGGGTATTTCTCCCAGCCTTTCCCAGTCAAGGGGGGGAGGCTCAGCACTCCGCTCTGTGGGCGACCCTGTTCGTTTCGCTGCCCACCTCAGTTGGTCCCAGTCCCCCCAATCGCCTCATACCAACCTGCTTAACAATACCGAGGTATTTTTACTGCGTGACGCAAGCCAATCTCCCCCCTCTTGAGTACCTGCGTCGTGCTAGTGTCCACCTCCACCGCCTCCGCGAGGCTCCGCTCTCTCCTGGACTTTGCCTCCTCGCTTCGGGCCTTACCTTCCCCATCAACCCAGGTCACGTCCATTCCTATTGAGGCCGGCTGGTCCAGCAGTCCGAAATATAATCTTTCCTCCGCCTTTCCCTCCTACGTAAACAGGCTCCCACGATGTCTTCTCCCAATTCTCCAGCGCCGTCCTCCAACAGTTACCTCGAGCAGTCGGTCTCTATGCTCAGTACTGTTGGCGCGTATATGCGGCTACCAGCCATAGCCTCGACGGTATGGCAATTCCCGCCTCCTCGTCCTACGGACTGCCCATCTTCTCTCACCGATACTTCAATCTTCCTGTCTGCTACCCCTCCTCTTGGGCGCTCACCCGAGATGGTGGCTCAACCAACATGCTAGTGCCTCGAGCTAACTTTTTCTTCTCCCACACAGGGCATTGCGGCTGTCTTGACCACCCTCCTTTACTTCAAGCAAAAGTACGTCGTTTTTCCAAATCTTCACGTCCATGTGACGCACCTCATCCACCCCCAACCCCACAACCAAGCTAACCATCCTGCGCGCGCTCCAGGGCTTTGATCTACCCATCGCATATGCCCCCAAACTCCCGTACCGATGTCCCACGACCTTCGCAGTACGGCATTAAGGATTTTGAGGAGCTGGTCATACCCACAAACGATGGCGAAAAGCTGTCGGCATTCTACATCCGCGGTCCCCGGGGCGGGAACAACGCCAACGTCACTATTTTAATGTTCCATGGCAATGCCGGCAATATCGGTCACCGCCTACCCATTGCTCGCATGCTGATCAATTTTATCGGCTGCAATGTTTTTATGCTCGAGTATCGCGGCTATGGCTTATCGACTGGCGAACCCGACGAATCCGGTCTGTTCCTTGATGCCCAAACGGCACTTGACTACTTGCGCTCTCGCGCAGAGACGAGCAATCATAAGTTGATTGTGTATGGTCAGAGTTTGGGCGGGGCCGTTAGCATCAAGCTCGTCTCCAAGAACCAAAAGGATGGCGATATCGCGGGCCTAATCCTGGAGAACACATTCCTCTCCATGCGCAAGCTTATCCCTTCCGTTCTACCCCCGGCAAAGTACTTAACTTTACTGTGCCACCAAGTATGGCCGAGCGAATCGGTTATCCCTAGCATCACCTCGGTGCCTATCCTCTTCCTCTCTGGTCTGCAAGATGAGATCGTCCCGTAAGTACTGCACGCGTCATGTTTCTTTCTTACACAGCCTATATGATGATCTGAAGTCACCACCCACAAAATATGAATCCTTCGGGATGCTTGATTTGAATCTACGACGAGAGTCTGATTTGGCTTTTCATAACCTGTTTTTTTTTCGGCCTTGTGGATACCACTGTTCTCTGGCTAACACACATGTCTCAGACCTCGTCACATGCGCCAGCTTTACGAACTGTCCGCCGCACCCACAAAAATCTGGAAGCCCCTGCCAGCAGGCGATCACAACTCCAGTGTTCTGGAGGAGGGTTACTTTGAGGCGATATCTGATTTTTTGACCAGCGTGACTGGTGTCGCTAGCAAGGAAGAGAAGCAGCGCTCTTAGGCAGAGTATCTCGAGGAGGAGGAGCAGTTCAGGAAGCATGTGGCCCAGATTCTGGAAGCGGAGGCGAGTCAGGGTTCCGTTTTCTCCATCGTCTCCAGGCGCTTTTGTTGCCGTTACTGGGATGAGGATGACAAGATGGAGTCTTAAGGGTCTCGGAGCCAAGCTCAGCAGCGGCGAGGGCGGAGGACGAGACAATGTGGAGGACCGTGGCGCCTCCCACCTAATACACCATCTCGATGGTCCCTAGAATGATACCCCCCCGGTGCCCGAAACGGACCGGGGATGCTACATGTCTTAGACGTAGCATGTAATTAATGAAGAAATGAATTCAGTATCCGGCACTGTTCTGATAATTCTGCCAAAGTGAAGCGAGGTGATGTTTTATGTCTACGGCTTGGGGTACAATGATTTGCAGACAGGGTGAGGCCGGGCCACGCGGTCACTCTATCACCGACACGGCTGAGCCATCATAGACCGTAATGCGGGGGAAGAAGGAAAAGTAAAAAAAAAAAAAAAAAGAGAGATAGCACGCAAATACAGATCCAGAATCCCGCATTCGACCGTTTGATACCCCTTCCCCCCCCCCGTTAACCAAACTACCGAGACAAGGGGGGGGGGGGGGGGGGGGGGGGGGGGGACGGAAGAGCAACGAGAATGTCAGCGCAAACCGTCTTGATAAGCCCTTCGTTCGTTCGTTCGCCATGTTCACGACCCACCGAACAAACCCCCCCCCCCTCTCCCCCTACGGGGGCTTCCCTGCCTCGGACATGAACGAGGGTTCCATGGCCAACGATAGCTGAAAGAGAGAGACCCCCGACGGACAGGGAGGGCCCTAATTTTGCCCGTCATCGTATTCTGACGTGGCATCTCGCTATTCCATGTATCGGAGGAGGAGTTACCTACGCGTACGGGATGTTGAGAGGGCGGGGGGCATTTATCGGAAGAAGCACGCAAGATGTACGTTTAGATCGAAGAGGGGGGGATCTACGCCGATGGGAACGTGGGGGAAGCATTGTTTTAAACATTTGGATAGTATGGAAGACTTGATGAATAATTGTTTTTTTTTTTTCTTTTTTCTTTTTCTTTTTTCCTACTGTTATTGCAGAAGCTTATTAACTTGATAAACCCCCCCGAGTCCCGTTTCCTAATCCCAAAAGTTCAAAAGGTTTGCGTAAGCATGATTTGTCGGTCATTTCAGCTACAATGTGTCTCCCGTGGGATGTAAACCTTATCCCCCCCACCGATCGTCAAAAGAAGAGGGATGGATGGAGCGTAGAGAAAGGTAGAAACACAGGGCGAGATATATCCAGCCCTCTACCCTTGTTCGCAACAGACGGCCGAAAGAGAGACTTCCTTGGCCGAGTGAACTTGTCAATCCGCGCCCCTGATCCCTACCGCTTGACCTCGCCTCACTCCTCGCTGTCAGCGGCCGCCTCCCAGTCGTCTGCGACGGAGTCCTCGACGACCTTCTTCCTCGAGAGCTTGGAGAAGCTCACGAAGCCGCTGGAAGGGCGGGAATCGGCAGGTTTAGCCGACGCCAACGTCCTACGCTGTGCCGCTGCTCGGCCGACAACGGCATTCCATCCGCCTGCGTCGGCCGTGGCACCCTCACGGCGGAGCACGTTGAGGTTCGTGTCGGCGTGGACGAGGATCGCGGACGCGGCGAGGCCTTCCTTCGTCACGGTGCGAGTGACGAGCGGTTTTAGGGACGAAAGGGAGGATTCGACTGCCGAGGGAGTCGTACCCCATGAAGTGACGGGAACCGCGCGTATGAGTATTTCGTCGGAGGGAAGGAAGGAGGTTGTGAAGGACAGATTGTTGTAGGATTTCAGATGAGTCGCAATGGTGGCCTCAACCTCGTCAATCGTAAGACCGAAGCGCGGGGCGGTCAGGAGGAGGGCGTTGAAGGGCTCCGGGACGGAGGCGGCCGCTGCCGAAGACGCGGACATCGTAGCGGCAGATTTGGCGGCATCGCTGCGGATCTTGACGCACTGCGCCAGCGTCTTCTTCGGGGCGGAAACGAATCGCGGCGTCTTGAAGACGGAGACGTGGCGGTGGGGCTCCGGGTCCTGGCTCTCCGAGTCGAAACCAAAGTCCTCTGCCAGAGCATGCACGAAGGCGCGCTGGAACGAGGGCATAGGTTTGAAGCGCAGGCGCTTCTCGGACGGCTCTGAGGCAAAGACGCGGAATTCGCGCTCCTGGTTCTGGGCCCAGGTAAGGGGGAGCTCGCGGAAGAGCTTAAGAGTAGTTTCGGAATAGGGGATATGGTCGTCCGTGTGGTCAGGATCGACGTTGAGGGCGGCGGCAAGACGTTGATTACGCTGAAGACGAAGGCACTCGTCGTCGCATTTCAGGGTCTCGCGCTCTGGAGTCGGGTTGGTCTTCGTGGCAAGGCATTTTACCTCTTTCTTGAGATGCTGGCAGTCGCAGGTAATGAAGGTCTTGCTCTGGCATGGGCGGTCTTCCTTGCATGCTGTATAATCGTTAGTAAAGTGGGGATTGAAGAGCTTTGAGAGAGAGCGGACGTACGATAAGGCGCGTGGCAGGAGTCCTGGCAGGCATGCTCGCAGGACTTGCGTGTCTTGCCACACGACTGCGCGCAATGCGAGCCGGGGATATCGGCGTCCTCGCACTCGCCGGGGCGATGGCATTCTTTTCTGCAAGTATGGGTGCTGATCTTCGGTCAGTATGTCTTCATTTCGTATGATGCCAGCTTCACTTACCCGCACTTGAGCTTTTTGCCACAAGGAAGACCACAACGAGTCTCCTCCAGCCAGCATGGCCGGTTCTTCATACGCTGCTTGCCGCAAATACAATCCTTCTCCACGAGGAATGGGCACTTCGGGCAAGGGACATCATCGGGGTGACAGTTGTGCTTGATCGAAGGGTGACCACATGGCGGTGGTCTTGTGCAGTCGAAACGGCACTCAGGGGGTCGAGTTCCGCAGGGCTGAGGGGGTTGAAGGACGGTCCTTCCACACGCGCAGCTGATTTCTTCAAAGACTGCCTCAAGACAGCTTGGGCACAGTCCGGGGTGGCAGATCTGCGTACACTGATGCGTTCCGCACTTCAATGTCCTTCCACAAACGCGAACACAAATGTGCTCCGCCTCCACTTCATCCGTAATCTGTGGCCTATGTTTCCTCCTCGCGGCCTGCCTCTCGATTGCTCTCTTTTCACCAGGGCAGCAGTGCTCGCCGCACTTGTGACGACCGCAATTGAGCTGGGCCTGGCATACCCTCATGCACATTGGCGTAGCGATGTCGCCTTGGTGACAGAGAGAAGAGCTAGTGGTGCGGCCACAACGACACACGATATCCATCTTCTGGAAGCATGGGTTGCATGGACCGGTGTGACAAGTATCGACGCATTTGTGACCGCAAGACAGCTTCTTTCCGCAAGTCTTCTTGCAGTGCGGAATCTTATCCTGGCAAGACTGTCTCGGTTGATCGAGGAGTTCCTCCAAGGGTGTCTTGCCGCAAGGGCAGTTCAAGACGACATCTGGGGAGAATGGGCAGTGCGCCGCCACCTCATCCTGGGGATGGCAAGTCTTCTCGCATGCGTGATGACCGCAATCGTATTTTCTGCCACAGGTCGAGCCGCAGTCGAAAGATCCATCAAACCAGCTCTCCTCAGAAATATCTTCTGAGTCTGAGTTGGAAACTTGCCCATAATTGAATGACAGCTCCAAGTCCCCTCGTTGTTCACAGGGAATCTCCTTGTGCTCCTTTCCGCAATAACATCTCGACTGCATTGGGATTTCGCAACTACCGCACAAGCCAGCGTGACATGGCATCTCGCAGAAGTGTTCGCCACACGGCAGCAGATCTCCACAAATCTCTTTACAGCTCCATCCGTTGCCGTAGTCGGTTTCAATGCATCTTTTCGTAACCTCATGCTTGCCACAGAAGCACGATTGGGTCGGTCCCATCAACGTGCAAGGAGGACAAGGACCGGCGTGACATTCGAGGGAACAAGGATGCGGGCATGTCGATCTAGGCTTCGAACAGGTCTGCCCGCAAGAGTGCGGAGGCAGACCAGGGACGTTTCTGGGGCTAATGTCTTTGCCACACCAACAGTGATATGTGGTAGGCTCCTCCGTCAGGTTGGAATTGCATCCTGGGCAACGCCACGAGTGCGTATCGTCGTCCTTCTTGAGCTGGCTCGTGTACCATTTCTTCACGCAAGACAAGTGCAGCACCGTCCAGCATACTGTACAAGACCAGACTCGAGATGGCCGGAGTACTTCGCTGGAGCAGATGACACATTCATACTGGCCGTTGCTGATATCCTCGTGAATCCTTGTTGGCAAATCCGCGGCGGTGGACTTTGGTGCTAAAGGGTACTGAGGTTTCTTCTGCTTAGGAGCACGCGCGCTGAAACTGAGTCAGTATTGAAAGCCGAGTAAGTGGCAAGGGTGAAACTTACGCTCGCTGAGGAACAGGCTGACCCGGGATGAAATCTGGTGCCTCAGCACTCAAATCTGGTGCGGAACTCCCACCATCGTTGGCGGCTGTGGTTAAGCGGCCTCCAAATGTGCGTTGAGTTCCGGAGATGGGGGCTCCTCCTCCGGGGCCACCACGGCTCGCGCCGCCTCTTCGACCGCCTCGCGAACCGCCACGGCCTCTCCCTCTCCTGCTTGAGCCGGACGCTGAGCTTTCAGGTGCGGTCTGCTGAGTTGAATTCGTCTCAGAGGCTACCGCCGTCTGATTCTGATTCTGATTCTGAGGCTGAGCGGCGGCATTCCTGCCACCACCTCGCCGGCCACCATTACCTTGGCCACGATCGCCTCTTCCTCTTCCCGACCTGCCTCTCCGGCCTCCTCTAGAGGACGAACTCGTTTGATTCTGCGTCTGAACCTGGGTCTGAACCTCTCCACCTTCCGACATAGTTGGTCCGTTTAGTAGTGTCGACGTCTGCTGAGTGAATGAAATGGTGATTGCGCTTTTTGAAATACAGCGGCTTCGTACAGGTGCTACCAGAATGGGCGCGACAAACAAAGGCGATAGCGACTTCGCAAAAAGCGAATGTGTAGGGAAGAAAAGAATAAATTGAGTGAGACCTTAAAGCTTCCTTCGACTTGAGATACGTGGGCCAGGGAGGCGACTTTTAATAATTATCAAAGCACCTTCGAGAGGGCAGAAGTCACTTTGGGAGCGGTTGTCGATGGGCCCCGGACACAATCACTCGGGCTCGGTGGGCCCCGCTAAAATTTTGGTCCCCGACTTTGGTAGGTGTGGCAACTGCCTGCTATATCCGCTCTAAGGCTGCTGACCAAAGGAGGAATCCCTCCAATAAGCTCCGGCCAGTCATTATGAGTCACCAAGTGTCAAGGAGGCTCGGCCGTTCCCGCCGCAGTCTTTGCTGCTCATTTCAGGTTGACTCAACCGCTGCATCGCTCAGTCATGCTATCCTGCAGGCTCCTAGCCGCATAGGGATAATACACAGCTCCATTCAAGGTTTTTCTGCAGGCTTGGCATTCATTTTGTCGCAAAATCTAGCTGGGTGGTTGTCACAGAGCATTGGCCTCAGTGGATGCAAAGGTGGGGGAAGCTGTTAAGCTTGCCCAAGGTTATATCACATTTAGAGCAGCCAATTGGTTTACTCTCATGTTTTAGAAAATTGTTCTTCCGAATCTCTGCCTCCAAAGCTTCGAAAAATGATACTCTCATCTGTAAAACTTGGCTGACGTCGACATCTCTAGCTACATAATGTCACATTCAATCTATTTCTAGCATCCACTAGCGCCGATGGTTTAGTGGTAAAATTCTCCGTTGCCATCCAGCAGCGTCGGGGAGCCGGGGGTTCGATTCCCCCTCGGCGCATTGCTTTTGCTGTTGGTGTAGATTTTGCTCTTTTTGGCGGGTTATCGTTCTTTTTTCACAATACTACGTTTAGAAAACTAGTTGTGAAACCTTAAAGTAGAGAAGAAGTCTTGAATGAATAAGCCATTTTGAAGTATGGTAATTGAGTGGTTTTCTCACTCACTTAGTTGCCTGCAAATCATATATTCATTACTCACCCACTGTGGACGTCCGTCTACCAGCAGTTTCTTGAACATGTCGATTTCGTCTGAAAATTCTCTTACGAGAACTTCTGTACTAGCAAGCTCGAAAGTCAATTACAGTGCCGTTGACTAGAGGATTTCTCCCTCGTTCTGACGATGATACATTTTGCAGAGTAATATGGCAGTGTCCGCCGTCCTTGCAATACTGCAAGCTATCCAATAGGTAAAGCACACTAGACCGTTGCAATGGCTGCCCATATGACAAAGACAGTAAGGTCGTGATTGTTGCTATAAGTTTCAGGCTAAGTCATGACAAGTACCACCCTCTAATGCTGTTGCAGGATTGCATGCACCACATCTGTGCCCCTTTCCCCGGTTCCCGCTAGAGCACTCAGCGGTTTACATCGAATCGTAATCTCTATTTGGATTCCCCGCTTCGCTTTCGAGGGTGGAATGTGACTGAAGAAACTCCATGCCGAGTCCAACCGCCGATGAAGTGCCAGTTGACGTAACCTCCCTCACCAAAGTTGACCACCTGCCCTTCATTGAAGACGAGAACTCGAAATGGAATAGAACCGTTTATGGGGTCCATATATTGGACGACTTTGTCTTCTGCTATTTCGGTGCTGTTAAAGTGATACTCAAGGCTGTTGTTGATAACCAAGACGTTGTAGTTACGCTGGTGCCGGTCTCGGAAGACGTGTTCTACCAGCCGACCAACCCATTGGTCTCGGCGGATGGTATCGTTATCTGAAGCTGTAATGTATGAAGGGATTTCCTCGCTCATCGAGACTTTAGCTTGCTCGGTTGCTGGAGGAGGTTGCTGACGATTCTTCTTCTGCCACGTGTAAACCCGCCATGAGAAGAGAAAGAGACCACCAACGGCAATTATAGCCAAGGTGGGTGACGAGAGCCAATATATCCAGCCCATGGTATCGATTACTTTGGTTATGCTGTAGTTTCAAGCTCTGGGAATCTTTTACGATCGTTGCGTGGTCACCACGATAATCGGGGATGTCGCAGTTATCTTATGGGACACTGACAGGGATTTATATGAACAAGAGTAGCAGAAGTAAAGCTTCTTTTCTAAGTTTATTGAGGTACATCGCTGGAATACATCTGCATGGTACTTTTGCTCCAATACAGGTGGCGTCGTTCATCATATAATCACATGCCAGGATCGACAGCCCGCTAGGTAAGATGATAGTCCTGGTAAGCAGCCTCACTGTAACTGTATGGAAAGTAACCAGTATCGAGGACGACAGAAGGGGCCTGGTAATGGCCAATTGAAAACTAAAGAAGAAAAAAGAAGGCTTCAACAAACTTCTACACCGAAACCCCGCATAAATGAGGCATAAATGGGTGATCATTCATGTGTGAATTTGCACATTGAGGTGCGGGGGATCTATTGGTTCACTTATGTCATAAGACTCTCGAGACAGATCCTGCTCAAACATACTGAAATCACGACCTTTATATGAAGAGTTGCCCAGTCTTAGATTCTAGAATACTCCGACGCAATGGTGCATTGCATGAGCCGTTTCCAATCGTACCCTGGCTACATTTGGCTCCTCTTTGCTTTCAAATATCCGCCGACGCTGAAATCATAGTCACATATCATATACATTTTTGGTTGGACTACCATCATGGAGGTCTTTGCGTTTATTGCAAGCGTCGATAGTTTTGGCGAGCTACTGCTCAAAAGCTTCGGCGCACTATACCGTCTACAAACCCAGCTGTCCGAGGCCCCGGATGAAATCACTCGTCTTTTTCAAGCAATGCAAAGGTTCAAGAGCGTTCTGGATGAGATTCAATCCTTGGGAGCTCCTGAAGTAGAAGCCTTGGGCAGAGTCCCAAGCTTATCGGCATCCTGGCAGGATCACGCTGCCGCCACCAAGGCCGACTTGACAGGTTTACTACAGACGTTGGAGAGACTTCAAGACGAGTTCTCCAAGCCCTCTAGGACCTCAAAAATGGTGAGAGCAAGGTTTCGAAAGGTTTTATCCAACCACGAAGTAGAACGCTTTGAACGGATTCTCTCAGCCCACCAGAGTTCGTTCATGTTTATGCTCAGTGTAATACAGGAGTCTGTCTGTCCATTTGGCACAGGTCCACGAAATTAGACTAACGTCTCGCTGGACTTAGGAGAAGAAATAGGGATTTCACGTACGAGTTGAGGACGCAGGGACGCCGTTTAGCAGCGTTGACGAATACTGGAACAGTCTTTATTCTGCCGGGGCGACATGAAGATCGAGACTTGGAAAGGGGGGTTCGCAATGTTGTCGTCAGAGAGCTTCGTCGTCTATCAAGCTCAACTTTGGGTTCCGAGGAACTGCATGCGATTGCGACCATTCAGTCTGCGGTCAAACATCCAGGGTCACTCGTCATGGGAACAAGCAAGAGTGCAACAGATAATTCGAGCGTTGTCGGCCCCGGTACTGTGAGCCAGACAGACGCCCTCTTCAGCAAGACCAACCTAGTTGCTCGTGAGCTGATCTGCCAGGTTTTCTCAACCTATATTCCCATCGGTGTTGTCTCCGGACGACTTGTCAAGTCCTCCGTGTTTTCACAGGGAAGTGGGCCCAACATCCGGAAGTGTTGGTGTCTAGACGTATCACTCTATCCTTTCGCCTTCTGGGCAAAATCTGTTTTTCGACTCTATCTAAAGAAGGCCTCCTCAGGTGTTTTCACATTTGCCCCAAGACGATATGAGTACAACCATAGCCCAGAGCTGCGCAAATACCTGAATGCTGGAGACGCCTCGGCCATACGTCGCATGTTTACGGAGGGCAAAGCACATCCAACCGATGTTTTTGCCCCATCCGGGAACTCATTGCTCCATGTAAGCTCGCAGTCTTGCAGAAACTTGCGAGTGTTCTGATGATAGTGACACAAGCATAGGAGATTGTTGTAAGACATGGCATGGGAATCCCCAATATGCTCGATCTCTGTGAGACAGTTTTGCAATCGACAAATACCATTGATTATGATCTTTCAAACCGGAGTGGGAGGTATGATAATATCCCCTTGGCCTATAACCAAGTTCGGTATAGTTACTAACCCCCGGTAGAACTCCCCTCATGCAATGCTGTCAGTTCATGCTCGAGAGCGAAGAGGCTTACAATAGGATGCGACCTATGACTAGCCTTCTTGTAGAACGCGGTGCAGATATGGCAATCTCTGACAGAAACGGCCAATCTTCATGTCTTTTGATATTTCAGATGCCGCAAGGTCTTCAATATCTCACAGACTACCTATACAAGTTCATCAATCTCGAAATGCTTCAAAACCTTCAACCGAGAGATTTGTGGCTGGTATCCTCCCTTGCAAGATCCACCAGTGTCTTTGGAAGCAAGTTGAGATCAGAATATCGCGACCTCCGTACACCGGCAGATATCTCATCTGATAACCGCTCGCGACTTGAGATTCTGCCAGAGCTTGATCCCGAAAAGCAGGCAGAATGGGTTAGAAATGCGGGGAACTTTGAGCGAGCCACATTTATGAGAACGCTCTGCTCTTACGGGACTGTAGAGATGGTTCAACAGTTCATCGGTCGCGGTATTGATCTAGAAGAAACAGAGCCATTAGACGGCCGAACCTATATCCGTCACGCCGCCCGGAAAGGGAACCTGGAAGTCGTGGTAGCTCTTGCGGATGCAGGGGCAAGCCTAGAGCAGGAAGAATGGTTCCAACGGAAATACAACTTGTGCGCTTCAGTACTGGAAGAACTCCTTGAGCGTTGGGGATTCATCACTCAGCGCAAGCCTATCTGGGGTAAACAGCTAGCTTCCCCGGATTCAGAACTGTGGATTCTGCCTTGGCTTCTACGGCAACCGAACCACCACAGCCATAATGCCTTGTACATCGCAATGGGATGCATAGACGCCTTGCCCATAGTCAAGGCTGTTCTCGAGTTCGGATGTGGTCGAAGAGACGGCCAACCAGCAAGAACGGACCACGGGAGAAGATGTGGCTCGGAAGTCATTGACGCTGTAAGAAACGGGAATCCTTACCTGAAGCATCTTCTGGATGCCGGCCTAGCGCTCGAGTGTGAAGACTGGCTCGGAATCAGTGCCGTCATATACGCCGTCGATTTTGGGTCTCTCGACTCGCTTGAGCTACTGATACAAGAAGGAGTCGATGTGGAGCGGAGATGCGGCTACGGCTTAACTCCTATCGAGTTGGCAACCGCTAACATGAAGCTCGCCCATCCGCGAGTGACAACAAGAGGATTGGCATATACATTCCCTTTTCCAAAGATATATGTTGACATAGACACAGACCGAAAGCTATATGAGTGTCTGAAACGGGCTTTGAAGTGCCGACGACTCTCCTCTGTCGCACATGGTAAGTAGCCTATAATCTGGACCAAATCCTTCTCCATCTCACCGTTGGTTAATTGGGTTTCCCCAAACAGCTAACCGGTTTATCGTCAGTAGAGCAAGATTCCAGGGAAGAAATGGCCAAAGAAAACGGCTGGAGTTTGTCTACATTTTTGCAATGGTCTTGACGTTTTTCATCGGGCTTCTACTGGGTATATGTGTGTCAACTCAAGCCCACATGTTGATTTAGCTACGGCCATACAGATTAGTTTGTGTTTCTGATCTCCGCCACGATCTTGAATATTGGCAAAAGTCTTGAAATGTTGGCTACCACTCCTGTGACAACCAAGGCTATAACGTCTTATGATATGGTAATTGGCGAAGCTGCTGGTTGATGAGCTGCGACTGACACCTGTTGATGATTTCGTTTCTGTCAGCGTCTTCTAGCTTACAAACTCCTGGTGGGCTCGTATGCAGCTGCCTTGGGAGGGCGAAAATTGCGCTTCCCTTAGGGTCTGGAGATGTATCGGTGTGTTACGACATAACTTTACCAATGTAGTTACAGCGTTGTTGATTAGCTAAGTGTGAGCATTTAACTTGAACAAATGCTCAGGCCCTTGAAGCGATTTTCCTTCCTCCCTTCCTTGGTATCGTGTTCGATACGGTGATGATTTCCCCCCAGGTTCTGGAGCACGCTCGCCAATCCAAAAGTCATTCAAAGCTCAAGAATCCCCAGATAGGGCCCATGATTGTTCTCCATGACTGGATAAGTATTACCATTGGGACAGGCACGTAAAAAACACTCCAGAGCCCTGGCAAGCTGCCCACAGGCGCAAGAAATCAAGCGAAACCGCAACAACTTTTTTGGTGCCGGGAAGATGTATTACTTATACCTCACCCTATTCCGCCGTCAAATACACCCATACGGAACACAATTGCTTGGTTATGAGAGCTGCGAATGTAAGTCTCCACCATCCCACTACCATCTTTCCCTTGACCAGTTTTCCGCATTCCCTTCCAGGGCCCCGCCGGTTTACAATTTGCGTCGATTCCGCCGTATCTTTGAGGTACAAATGTCGTCTCAGTTGCGATTCAGTCGTGGTCTACCTTTACAGACCGAAACACTTCGGCTCTGCACAATAGACAGACATCAACCCTCTGGGCTTTAGTCGCAGAAAAAAAGTCGGTGTTCGATTCACTCGTGATCCTCTTTGAACCAATACAAAAAGTACAGGGGGGGTTCGCCAGCCTTTAAACCCTGCAACCAGCCAAGGAATCACTCAGTCGTAATGGAAACATGCCAAGGCAAAGCTATGAACATCGTCCCCGAACCCAGACCAGTACTCTTCTCACTTCAAGTCATCCTAAACACCCAAACCGATGCCACAAAGCTTGGTATTGTCAAAAACCACGCGTGTGAAGGGAAAAAAAAAGAAACGGCCTCTGTCCGTCTTCTTGGCAGGAATGATGCCCAGACCACAACGCCCTTACGAGAAGCAGGTTGAACCAGACAGCACCAGGGAACACAAACAGAATTCTGGGGGGGCCTCGCTCAACAGCCAATGAGGACACAAACTCTCCTTTCCGAACGATTGGTGATGTGGAAATGAGTCTTCCAAGCCACGTTTCGCGCCGGTGCCGTTGGGTGATTAGAGTGTAGGAGGCTTACGCAAGGTAGGAGATAAACAGAGTCAGAGCTTGTGGAGAGAGCTCGGTCGGCACGCCGTCTGCAAGCCGCGTTTCTCCATGCATTAATTGGTTCGCAAACCCTCATAAACAAACAGCGCTACTATTCTACCACGTAAGCTGCCCCCAAGTCTGTGCAGATGTTGTATAGTTCAGATGGCAAGTAACTGCTGCTTTGCCAAGAAACTCGGCTGGCTGTCAAGATGCATTCTCGTCGTTGTTGAAAAAGCCCAGTTCTGTCAACCGTATAGCCCTGAATTCAAGGGAGAGAGACTTGTGGATGGCAGATTTATTTGTTCTTTAGGCCATTTGAAGTTCAGGATGTCAGCTGCTCAGGAGCTGAAGATACAATGATCTATTCTTAGCTAGTTCATGCTGATGCCTATGGGGAGTGATTGATTCGGTAAACTCCTGATTCAAAATCACATCAGGAATGAGAGGTCTCGCACGAGCTTCCGACAAGACTTTAATTCTGCTGCAGCCGCTGGTAACCGCGTGGCCCCGGGAAACCTTGATGGCGCCAGCTGTGGGATTTCGCAATGGGCGCAAGGGGGAAATGGCAAAATCGACATTGTCGTCTCATAATGTTAAAGTTAGTAAGTCACCTTCCGACTGGAAGCCGGGCATTGATCCTGTTACAGTACTGCCAGCCAAGTGCGAAGCGGAAGCAAGCGAGAACCGATAGATTGGTAGTCCCAAATTGAAAAAACAAAGGCCGCGGCCCGGTCGGCAAGAATTTCCCGCCGGAGCCAAATATTCAGGAGTAAGGTGCATGATAAGGATGAGTGAACAGTTCAATATGAAGCTATACTAGCCTTTAGTTAGTTACTCGAGTGGCGTTCATCGCTGAGACGGCGGCTGTTTGTTGGACTATTCGAGAGGTAAAAATCGTGCATACATTGCACCAGGCTCAGAGCTATCGGAATAGATACCCGCGGCACCGATTTTCCAATGTTGGCTAGTTTCGTTGACAATAAGGGTTGAGGTCTGCGAGAGTGAGTTTTTGAGACTGATACCCATTTCGCGCTGATGACGTGGAGTGCTGAGCGTGGACTGGATGACAATCTTCTAGCGCCAGGACGTCATTGATTCATGTTGTTCCCGTCGGTATGAATCATCTTGAACGGCTCAGGAAATGATGGTCGATACACTATACCTTTTCGATGGGGCGATCTGTGATCTTATCTTGTCTCAGATGATAAAAGGCAAGTTGTTGGGCAAGCCCACGATCTGAACCGGCGAGTACGACTTTGTCCAATAATCTACCTTGCTCATGGGAACAAGTCATGAATATGTCCAGATGCCATGCATCTTGGATACAAGAATATTATGAGGAGATTAGTGTGCAATGCCATGCTTGCTGGTGTCAGATCATATAACCAATGCGCATTCGTCAGAACCCTTGCTCGGCATTGGCTAAGCTGACTGCCTCCCACTTCACGACATCCCTCCAGGAACAGCCGAAGAGTGACAGGTAATGAGTGGGAAGGGTGGTCATTAACCAATGACGTCCGGAAGAGGGAAAGAGGGGATGATGTTCAATAAGGCTAGCGACTTGTCGGTGTTGTGGCGGTTGTCCTCTGGTGCCTTCGCTCCAGCTTACCATTTTCGATGCACTATCGAAGGGCCAGGCTGCTAGTCGGGTCGCATAGAGTTAAGGTCTGTTTCAAGGAGGTTGCAACCCCATAGCCGTTTAAGTCGTCCGTGGCGGTTGAGTTCCGATGTACGAAAGGATTTCCCCGTAGAGATTATGATCATGCATGCTTTGGCAATTTCGATACCTGTGAAAATTGTTGTTCTGTGGTTGTCCGACTGTTCGAGTTCCTCTTGAGAAAAAGGTTTAAGTAGACGTTTAGCTGATCGTCTAGGCTGCTTGCCCTAGGAGGAGGCAGAAGCACTGGGTAGGCGTCGACTGGGATGTGACGAAAATAAGCTGAGCGATGAAGTTATCTCGGCAAGGAGGATTTCCACACAAAAAAGCAATTTGCCGTCGATTGAGGTGCTTGTGAGCTGGGGGATGGTCAGGAGAAATAGGGGAGCGGCCTTGAACGAATGAATGCTCAGGGAGGGTGGTGCATTGTAGTCGAAGTATGAAGTAGTGACAGTATCCTTGACTACCTCCGCCGGGAGCTGATCGGGTGCCTGACCTGGTCCTTGCAGCATCAAATATGGGGCTTTGGGTGGGGTCACAATATTCAATCTCATTCATGTTCAGCCGTAGCTGAGACCAAGCTGTTGGTCTAAGAAATCGGGTTACTTGAGCCGCAGCGAGGGACGTACTCGAGCCCAAGGCAGAAGCATGATGGAAAGACAAAGAATAAAAAGAGAAAATAAAAGCAATGCTTTGTAAAGCGTGGTATGGAGACATGATGGTGGTGATGCGCAAGAATCAATCTACGCAGCTGGCCGAGACGCCATGATAGGACATTGGCATCTTTCTGTTCTCTCGAGGGGCTGAGTGTCGCCAAAGGCGTGGGCTGAACAATTTTGAATCAATTTTTGAACAAGATGAAAAAAGGAGGGGGAAAAGCTAGCTTTCATCGGCTTGTTGCCAGCATCAGGGAGCAGAATAAGGTTGGTGACAAAGGACAAGAGTCGAGACTGGTGTCTCTTGTGTGGTGAGAAGAGCACGCTAGACTTCTTTTACCTTTCAGTATGGAGAGGGTCCTGCTCGCTTAAATTGGGTCCAAGTGGGGGGTGAGGGAAGTTACAGCCGGAAAATGGAAAGCGTAAAGGATACTCTCTGTGTGTACACATCACATAGCAACACCAGTTAGTTGGGAAAGACGGGCTTTTGCCATCCATTCTTCCACCCTTGTACTTAAGCCTGCCTACTTTGGAAAGTGGCCTCAAAGGGTTAGTCAGTACATAGGACGGTGGGTCCCATCACACAGATCACCCAGAGGTCATATGCATTGGACCCTGCAGCCTGCACTCAAACAAGGAAAGAAGTCAATCCTCCTTTGACTCGTCCCATCTTTCTTGACCCAGTATCTTTGATGGCAGCAACTGACATACAACAACTAGACACTATATATCGGCTTAGTGGGTCTAGTCCATGAGCCATCTCGTTTTTACTATTCTGCCCCGCCCACGATGCTAGTCGAGCCGCTTGTGGCCGGCGTGAAGCATCCCATTTCTGCTGACACTTCTTGGCAACCATGGCTGTGTAAAGTATCCATAGAGCTGGGAATCTGGTGGCAGCGCCCTTTGCCACAAGGCTCCGACTGATACTGTGTGAGCTGTGGACAGCCACATCGAAAGCCTGCCCACGCTGGTGCCATACACTTGAGGTGGCCCGACACAATGGATGCGCTTGTTTCCAAGTGACATTTCCATGGAATGGTTGCCCACGTTGACTAAAAAGTAGCAAGCATTCTGCCGAATCTCATTTCTTGGTCTTCAACCAGCGTTAAAGGCACCATAGGGGCAGTCAAACTTGGCTCAACTGATGGCTACCTAGATAGTCTCATCACGCTTTTGTATTGAGCGCCAAGTGCAGGTGTCTCCGGCAAATTCATATTGTGTAAAAGATAAAAGGCTTATCTATCGTCGGAAAAAGGCAAAATCGTCGTTGAATTCATGATATTGTCCACGTAGAATGCCTTCAAAAGTGGCGGATTATGGATATTGTGAGGCCCAGCAGAGAGAATCTTATTGATGGAACCTTTCAGTGGCTTTACTGGGTGTAGCGCCTACCCCAACAGCGGTGAACAGCCATTGGCGCCTCAATCTGGACCGGTGCAAGGGAGAGGCAAAGGAAGAGACGTGTCGTGGGATCTGGTTCTCCACAGCCACTGCACTCGACTCCGGAGGGATAAACGGGTCCTGGAGTGGATGCTGTTTCGGAAAAACAAAGCAGTCGTTGTTGTCGCAAAATTCTGCTTACCTTGTGGCGCAAATTAAAGAGGAAGTGGGATTTTAAACAACCAATTCAGATATGCTGGAGAATTGGCGCGACACGTTCTCTAGCCAAGCCGCGCCCAGAGTGAAAGTATTGTTTGGAGTCAGGCCAGCTCTTGGGAGACAATAGGTCAATAGAGCTGAGGGGTCCGTGATGTTTCTGCGTCCGCGTACTGTTTGTATAGTATTCTTCGATACAGATTGAGTATACTACAGGTTTCTGGTACGGGTTGACAAGAAAGGCGATGTGCTGTACAGAACAATATGAATAGGACAGCCCGAGGATATCATCGACGCTATAGGTGGTAAGCTCAACCTCACAGCTCATTATGAAAAAGCGCTTGATTTGAGCCACTCAAGTCTTTCAGTTGGTACTTTTTACTAGGCGAGTTACTTGTTCTTGGATTTGCTTGGCCAGAGCATGGCCAAGAAGGTCATTGCCAGTTCGGTAACTCCCATCTGGCAATGACCCCTGATGGAAAGAAAATCGTCTAGCCCCGAAGGAGAATTATGTACGTACCCGTACCCCTGCATGAAGCGTCCCACTTATGCAGGTTATGCCACGGCCCCTGTACCAATGGAGATCTTGGAGAAAACATTCGACAGGCGTGCACGCACCTTCTTCTAACCTCCTTTCCTATTTCCCATTGCCGCTTCCAGCTTCGTGTGCTAATTTCCACATGGGCCTGGCGGACAAGGTTGTCATTGGGGTTCAAGACTTGGGCTGTAAGCCCCGGCGTTTCCTCTCTTCGTCTTGCTTTTACGGGAAAACTGCCGCTTAGCTGCAAGCCTCAACCCTCTCAGTCGGATTCCCCTTGTCTCTCACGCACTTCTCTTCTGCTGCGCTTCTGGAGTGGCTCATCGGCATAGGGCGCCTGAGCTGGACTACATCGAGGCAAGGCGACTGTCACGGTGACTGCGATGGCGAACTCGGCACCAATAGAACGCTCCAGGTGTGGGTGCCGACAATATGGATAGCGCTCGAGCACAAAGAGACGCGAGCTATTCATGGCTAGCGTCAAGGTCTTTTCATTGTACTTTAGTCTTTCGCCTTTCTCGACCCGTCCATCCCCATCTCCCTCTTGGCCCCATCTCACACTATGACAGCCAAAGAAGCAGCCAGGTAACCGGCCCGTTCAGTCAATCGTTTCCCACACAAGACGCGTTGCAAGCGCAATCCGCAGCTGTATAGCTTGACCCGCTAGCCTTCTTGGTTTCTTTGCAAGCCCCATGCGAGCGTGGCATCCTCTAGCTTCGCTCTTGGCCGCTTTCCCCGATACTGTTCTCTGTGTACCTTTTGGTCCATCATGGAGGAGATCATCTCTCCCAAGTTGGAGGAGATGGCTGGAGCCTAGCCAAGTCTATCCGCGTCTAAGGATTTTGGTGTTGTGTGTGGCTCCCCACCAACTCTGCACTGGCTGCGCTTTGAATCGAGGCAATATATAGGTTCTTGGTTCCCGGACCATCATGACTTGTTTTCCCTCTCTATCTCATCACCTCATTCTTTACACTCCTTATTTCAAGTTCTGTGTTTGGTTTTGCCTCTTGGGCGCTCGTTTGTCACCATGAGGACCACACAGCTGTCTTTCACTTTCCTTTCCGCACTCTCCTTTGCCAACGCGGCAGCCTACCCTCCCGGTCTTTACAAGCGGGCTCTCCAAGCCCCTGCAAACCTGACGAATGGCTACATCTCTCTGGGCTGCTATGTGTACGGGTCCCTCATCAAATTACAAGCAGACCGTGTAAAAGCTGACGAGATAATAGCGACGTGGGCCGAACAATCGCTGAAGCCGGCACCTCGAGCAACCTGATGACTAACGAAGTTTGCACCAAGTTCTGCTTCGACAAGGGTTTCTCGTACGCCGGTACTGAGTGGTATGGTGAATGTTACTGCGGTAATGCTCTGGCCAAGGGCGGCGTTCTCGCCAACGAGGCCGACTGTGTTACACCTTGCAACGGAAACTCCACTCAGCCCTGCGGTGGCCCTAACCGCCTGACTTTGTACAAGACTTCACTCATTATTGGTCCTTCCGTCAATCCCGGCGTCGGTGATTGGTCTTCCATTGGATGTTACTCGTAAGTAGCCAGCAACTCTACAGCAGCTCCATCGCAACTAGTTTCTTACACACATGACAGCGAGGGCACCACTGGCCGCGCGCTTGAGTATGGCGTCCACAACATCAATGATGGCATGACCGTTGCCAAGTGCACGTCAGCTTGCGAGAAGGCCGGTTACATTCTTGCCGGTCTTGAGTATTCTGGCGAATGCTGTAAGTTATCGTGATACCGATAAAGAGACGAAAATTCTCTGACAATAGGCCTCAGACTGCGGCAACAAGCCAGCCAACGGCGGCCTTCCGGCTGTTGACGGCTGCAACATGCTTTGCAGTGGTAACGCATCCGAGTATTGTGGTGGACCCAACCGTTTGAACGTCTACGACTTCCAGCATCGGTACCAGCCACTTCCTGTTAGCTCTACGTCGACTCCGGCGCCGACTAGCTCTTCGGCGTCCAGCTCAAGGTCGGTAACCAGTTTAACCTCCTCCAGATCATCATCAGCTAGTAGCATCAACCCATCCTCAAACTCCATCAAAGTCTCTTCCTCGTCATCCTCTTCAGTCCCACGATCATCATCCTTTTCACCATCTACCTCCTCATCTATCTCATCTCGCCTATCATCTGCCTCACCATCAAGATCATCATCCGTCTCATCTGCCTCACTCTCTGCTCTATCACGGTCACCATCTGTCTCACCATCTGCCTCACCATCAAGATCATCATCCGTCTCATCTGCCTCACTCTCTGCTCCATCACGGTCATCATCTGCATCGTTATCTGCCTCATCACGATCATCATCCGCCTCCTTGTCATCATCCTCAGCATCACGTCCTTTGAGTTCCACATTGTTAACATCAACTCGCAGCACCCTCTCTAGCTCTAGCAGTTCGGTCATTTCCTCCAGCAGCTCCGACGTCAGCTCCAGCAGCTCTGCCACACCCGCTAGCAGCACCCTTGTTTCAAGCACTTCCACCGTGTCCAGCAGCAGCAGCAGCAATCCTGCCACTTCGTCCTCCAGCTCCGAGATTAGCAGCAGCAGCAGCAGCAGCAGCAGCAGCAGCAGCTCCACTACTTCCTCTAGCACCAGCTCCGACGTTAGCAGTAGCAGCAGCAGCAGCAGTTCCGCTACTTCCGCTACTTCATCTAGCACTAGCTCTGATGTTAGCAGCAGCAGCAGCAGCAGCAGCTCCGCTACTTCCGCTACTTCATCCAGCACCAGTTCCGATGTTAGTAGCAGCAGCAGCAGCAGTTCCGCCATCTCATCCAGCACCAGCTCCGATGTTAGCAGCAGCTCTTCGGTTTCTTCCAGCTCTGACGTCAGCAGCAGCAGCTCTGGCACTTCCTCCAGCAGCATTGTGGTCAGCAGCAGCTCTACGAGCAGCATAATCAGCAGCACTTCGTCCTCCGCTACTCCCACTCCTACTGGACCTAGCCAACCGGCAGTTGTCGGTAGCTGGAAGTGGTACGGATGCCAGACCGAAGCTCAAAATGCCCGAGCTCTCAATGCCGCCATGTTTGGCGACGATGCCATGACCATTGAGAAGTGTGTGGCTTTCTGCGCCGGATACACTTTCGCCGGTGTTGAGTGGTCTCGTGAATGTTGGTGTGGAAACTCATTCATGCCTGGCTCCAAGGTCGCCCCTTCTAGCGATTGTTCCATGACTTGCACTGGCAACAAGTTCCAGTATTGTGGAGAGGGTAACCGCCTGTCTGTCTACACCATTGGTGACGCCAAACAGATTGAGTCCTCTTCCTCATCTTCCTCAGCGTCTACATCCGTCTTGTCGGCCACACGCTCGGCTACTGGCTCTACTTCTTCGACTTCTGCCTCAGCGACACCTTCTGCCGCTGCCAACCTGCTACCTGCCGGTTGGGAAAGAAGAGGCTGCTGGGTTGACAATGCGAACGGCCGCATTCTGCCCTTCCAAGCCCCTGAGGACGCCAAGTTGACCATCGCAAAATGTGCTCAGTACTGCGAGAGCAAGGGATACACGGTTGCTGGCGCTGAATGGTTCACTCAGTGCTTCTGCGGCAATGCCATCTACGGAGGCGGTGTTGAAACCACTGATATTGCCTCCTGCAGCACTCCTTGCGGTGGTAACGACACTGAGACTTGCGGTGGTCCCAACCGCATGAACATCATCTCCAAGGGCGTTCCTGTTACTTATGCCCCCCCTGTACCTCAGAAGAGCGGCCTGAACGGGTCTTGGACCTATGAAGGTTGTGTTGAGGACAACGTCGGCGGCAAGCGAACCTTCGGTCAACAGACAATCTACGCCGGCACACTGACCGCCGGCCTTTGCCTGGACGCTTGCGCCAAATTTGGCTACATGGCTGCTGGTCTTGAGTACGGCGAGGAGTGCTACTGTGGCGACCCTGCCAACATTGCAACGGCCGGCGCAAAGTTTGTCGATGAGTCTCGATGCAGCATTACTTGCGCTGGCAATGCCACCGGAATCTGCGGTGGTCTCGCTGTCATGACTACTTACTTCTGGACTGGCACCCCCCTCTATTCGTGGAACTACGCAACGGGCGACGCCGCCGGAAAGTACGAAGACTTTATCGGTGGTAAGTGCATTCCTCTGATGACGATGGAATCCATTACCGGCAAGGTTACCTTCCTTGAGAAGTGGGGAACTGGGCCGCCGAACTCAACTGGTGCCTACGAGCTTGACGTCTCCCTTGCCCCGGATCTGAACAAGGCCTGGCGAGAGATGCACGTCAAGACCGACGTCTTCTGCTCTGCTGGTTTGACACTCCCTGACAAGGCTGGTCGCCAAATGAACATTGGAGGCTGGTCTGGTGATTCTACCTATGGTGTACGTCTCTACACTCCATCTGGTTCTAAGGGTGTTAATGGTACCACCGATTGGGAGGAAGACCCCCAAACCTTGCGCCTTCAGGATGGCCGCTGGTACCCCTCCGCAATGATCATGGCCAACGGCTCTATCTTTGTTATTGGAGGCGAGGAAGGCTCCAATGGTGCCGCTGTTCCTACCATTGAGGTCCTGCCTTACACCGGCACTGCTCCCCTCTTCCAGCAATGGCTTCTGGACACTGACCCGAACAACCTGTATCCCTTCATTGCCGTCTTGCCTAGCGAGGACATTTTCGTGGCATACTGGAACGAAGCTAGAATTCTGGATAAGGTCACTTTCGAGACCAAGACCCTCTTGCCCAAGATCCCCGGCTCTGTCACCAACCCCGAGGGAGGACGTACCTATCCTCTTGAAGGCACCGGTGTTCTTCTGCCTCAGAGGGCACCATACGATGAGCCTCTCGGTGTCCTCATCTGTGGTGGCTCTGGTGAAGGCGCGGGTATTGCTCTTGACAACTGTGTCACCATTGAGCCTGAAGGTGCCAAACCAACATGGACTATTGAGCGTATGCCCTCTCGCCGCGTCATGTCTTGCATCGCTCCTCTGCCTGATGGAACCTACCTCATCAACAACGGTGCCCAGCAGGGTGTTGCTGGCTTCGGTCTTGCCAACACGCCCAACCACAATGCTCTCTTGTACGACCCCACAAAGCCCCTCGGCTCGCGTATCAGCGTTCTGGCCAACACGACCATCTCACGCCTTTACCACTCCGAGTCCATTACTCTCCTGGACGGTCGTGTGCTTGTCACTGGTTCTGACCCCGAGGATGGTGTCAACCCTCAGGAGTACCGTACCGAGGTCTTCTACCCTCCCTACCTCATGGGCAACAAGTTCCGCCCGACGTTCACCATCACAAACAAGGACTGGGCGTACGGAGGCTCTTACACTTTCAACCTCGGCACCCAGCCCAAGGGCGCCATCACGGCTTCCCTGCTCGGCGCGGTATCCTCAACTCACGGAAACTCTATGGGTGCCCGAACCATCTTCCCTGCCGTTAGCTGCAATGCCTTGTCATGCACTGTTCAGGCGCCACCCCGCGCCGGCGTTGCTCCTCCGGGCTGGTATCAATTCTTCGTCCTTGAAGACGGCATTCCCGCTGTCGGCGTCTACGTCCGCGTCGGTGGTGATCCTGCCGGCCTGGGCGACTGGCCGAAGGTCAAGGGCTTCACGACCCCTGGTGTCTAAAGCTTCTTTTCGTGGCATGGGGATATGTTTTTCTTTCTTTCACTTCATAGACTTGGGTTGGTGTTTGATACCTCTTTTTTGATATTCCAAGCGAACCATTATGCTTCTCGGTGGTATAGACTAGGGACCCAAATTTGGGTGCGGTAGACATACAGGAGATCCTGCTTCTGCGCCTACGGGCATTAGACGGGGGGTTTGACACACACTCTTTTGCGGTTATGGATGTTGTGTTTTTTTGTTGGGAGGAATATGTATACTCAAGGCAATGCGACTTGAGGATATATAGATACTTCCATTACTTGGCCAAACACTGGCAATATATGAAATTTGTACAAAAAAAACCAAAGTCTTGATTTTGGGTAGTTCCTGGTGAATGTTTGGGTGGGTGAAAGCATCAGTTCGGTCCCTTTTTTTTTTTTTTCCTTTCTTTCTGATGGAGCAGGTGGGCAGTGAAGTGAGGGACCAACCAACAACGATCTCGTCGACCAACGGCAATCAGGCGGAAGAGCTTTAGAATTTGACCTGGAGGCTGGGGCGGCACATTACACTCTTGGGCGCGAATGTGGGTGAGAGACACGCCGACGCCAAGGTTGTCGGTGCCGCGCCACAGTAACCCCTCTCGTTGGTTCTGGAGAGATATTAGTTGGTAGGCAGCCGCTGTTTGCACCTGCAGCACGCCACGACAAGGGTGACTGAACGGTGAGCACACATGGTTTCATAAGCTTAATTGCAGTTTAATCGTTTTGCTAACCTTGCATCTCTCGGACTTGGTCTAGGCTCCAACAGTTTGGTAATGAGATGGTCATTTCAAGCATCGCGAAAGAGGAGATTAAGATGGACCATGTTTCCCTCTTCTCGGGAATATTGATTGCCATTTGGCATGGCCCCCCCCCCTGGTTCACCCAACCCAGCTTGACGGGTGCCTAACATCCTCCCAGAGCAAAGCCCCCGCCGAAGAGAGCAATTCGCGGGTACCATCCCCGGCGCCGTCCCCGCTTTTTAACAGCGGTGCAGCGGCGCCAGGTGCTGTACTGCCACTTCCTTTCTTCCCTGTTGTGTATACCTTTACCTACCCACAGGGATCTCCTCGTCGCAACTTTTTCGCAGACGCTGCATGTTTCTAACAATAGACCAACCAACGCGGGATTGCGTCCTGGAGACCGAACACAATGAGAAACACGGCCACGATGGAAACAGGATGATTCACCGGGGCAAGGCAAAGACGGATCTTGCAGCATTTCCAACATCACACGATGGCCCGCAGGAGAGAGAGATATAAGGATGCTGGGTATCCGACATGCTGGGAACAGCGGGTGTTCCGTCTCATTCTCAAATTTCATTGTGATGTGTCTTGGCGCTCATCGATACTTCACGCGATATTCGGTGTTGTGATACCCCGTGTCTATAACTTCGCCATACCGATCCAGATATATATATTCGCAATCCTACGAACCAAGACATTGACCGTCATGGCTTCGCAACCCTGCACGCTCGCAACGTGCGATCTCTCTGACAGCCCCTACGGCTACCGGCCCAGCCAAGCCGCCAGCGCCGTCTTTATCGTCGTCTCTTCGGCTTGTCTCATCGCCAACGCTGCCATCACCGTCAGGACTGCGCAAACTCAACAGCGGCGCGCGACGGCGCCGTTCTCAATCTTTATTACAGTGGCGTGCGTGCTCGAGTTGCTGGGCTGGGCGGGTCGTCTCGCCGGCTGGAAAGACCCGTGGGCCGTGTACCCGTTCGTGCAGAGCAAAGCCTTGCTCACCGCCGCTCCTGTATTCATCACGTCGAGGTACGTTTGTGTCACCAACATCGAGTTGATGACGGGTTCGATTGATGCTGACGAAAATCGAGTAGCATCTACGTCTGTCTTGCGCCCATGATCCGCATCCTAGGGAATGAACACTCCTTCCTAAGACCTCACTTATACACCGCCATCCTTCTGCCTCTGGACGGCCTGTCATTGATATTGCAGATTGCCGGCCTGGCAGTGGGCTTCCAAGACGTCCCTTCCTTCATCGCCTCCAACACATCCTACGAGCCCAACGGCGCCGGCGCAAAGATCGCCCTTGCCGGCCTGGTAATCCAGTTTCTCACCCTCGTAGCCGCGGGCCTACTCCTCGCTTCCGTACTGCTTAGGGCCGCCGTGGCATACAGGAAATACGGGTACACCACGTTCCACCGGGACGTCGGCTACGTTCCCCTCACTGGGAGATTCCGAATCTTCGCGGCGGCAGTGCCGAGCGCCATGGCCGTGCTATTCGGGAGACTGTGCTTCCGGGTTGCGGAGTACGCGGGCGGGTTTCGGGGCCGCTTGGCCACGGGCGAGGAGGGCCTGTTCGTCGGACTCGAGGGGTTCCTGGTGGCGTATGCTCTGGTCGCGGTGGTCGCGTGCCATCCCGCGTTGTTCCTGAGGGACGGGAAGATGGTGACGCGGAGCGAGGCGGAGCCGTTTGTCGGCGGAAACGGGAGCCCTGCCGGCGCGGCCGCCATGCGGGAGCACGAGGCCGGGTTGGAGGAGCTAAGCAAGGTTTACCAGGCTCATGTGGAGCAGGAGGAGAGGTTGTCGAGGTTCGAGCGTGTTTAGAAGATATGGAATGATACCCCCCCGCCGCAAAAGTAGCGATTGTCTTTTTGATTGTTTTTAATTGTTAATTATACCATCTTTTCTTGTTTTGTCAATTACCTTTGCCCTTGATGTGATGCTTCGCATAGCTTCGCATAGTTGAACAGACGAGATTCTTCGTGACAATTTTATTTCTTTTCCTCTCATCCCATCATGAGAAACCGGTATAAATATAATATACACGGGCCATCCGCCCCTCATAATACATATTGATACAAATCCATGCGCAACGATTACTCGCTCTCGTCATCGGTCTCGACCTTTTTCTTCCTGCCCTTAGCAGGCGCCTTCTTCGTCGCCTTGGCCCCCTTCTTCGAATCCTTGGCCGCCTTGCGATCGACCTGGTCCTGGATCTTGCTCCGCTCGCTCTCGCCCTGCTTCTGCAACTCCGCCTCGAGCTCCTTGAACTCGTCGCTCTCGGCGTCCATACCAATCAGCCGCTCCAGCAGCTTGATCTCGTCCGCCCAAACCTGCTTGTCCTCGACCGATTTCCCGTTCTCGTCCTTGCGGTCGATGGGCGTCTCGAGAACCATCGGCATGTCCTGGAACAGCTCCGTGTTCACGAGCGTGTGGAACGCCCGCAGGCCGAGGAAACCCGTACCAATGTTTGCGTGCAAGTCGCGGTGCGAGGCAAAGGGGGCCTTGCTGTCGTTCACTGTATCCAGTCAGTACTTCTGTTCGTTTTCCAAAGCTGAGAGGTTTAGCTTGGGGTGACGACGTACGGTGGAATGCCTTGAGGTACTTGTTCCCAACAACCTCGTCAAACTCCTTCATCACCTCCTCAAACTTCTCCGGCGTGCGCAAGTCGTACCCGGCCGCAAAGGCATGACACGTGTCGATGCAGACGCCAACCCTTTCCTTGTCCTCGACATTGTCAATAATCTGCTTCAGATCCTCAAACTTGGTGCCAATGACGTTTCCCGCGCCCGCCATGTTCTCCAGCACCGTGACCACCGTCTTGGTCGCCTTGTGAGCGGCGTTCAACTGCGCCGCGATCCGCCCGCACGCCTCCTCCCGCGCTTCGCCGCCCGTGTTGCCCGGGTGGAAATTGTACAGCTTGACCCCCAACTGCTCGCAGCGCTGCAGGTCATCCAAGAAGCTGGTGTACGCCTGCTTGGCCTTGGCGGCGTCCGCCTGCGCGAGGTTGACGAGATACGAGCCGTGGGGCAGGACGTGGGCGGCGGCGTCGTAGGAATGCTGCTTCGTGAGAGATAGGAATTGCGTCTTTGCATCGGCTGCCAGCGGCGGACTCTCCCATTTCCGCTGAGACTTGAGGAAGAGCGCAAAGGCGTTGGCGCCGATGTTAACGGCGTTCTGGATCGAGTTTTGTACGCCTGCGATCAGGTATCAGACTGAATATTCTTTCCAAGAGTGAAGTTTGTGAGGATGAGATGTCATACCTCCTGCGCCGCTCACATGGGCACCAATATACATCGCTTTCTTGAGCGAGGAGACCGCCGTCCGGCCTGCAAGCGGCATGTCGCCGTCTTTCTTCGCCTTGCCTCTGGTGGTGGCGGTCTTTCTCTTCTTGGCAGGCTTCTCCTCCTCTTCTTCTTCCTCCTCGGCACAGCTGCCGCACTCGTGCTCGTCTTCAGGCTCGGCCTTGCGCTTTCCAACTGGTTTAGTTGCAGCTGCAGTCTTAGTCTTCGTGACAGCGACAGTTGTGCTCTTGGTTCCGTTCGCCTTGGCAGGAATCTCTTCTTCGACCTTGGTCTCAACGACGGCTTGCACCTTCCTCCGGGCTGATGTACGAGGAGGCATCTTCTTGTCAGTGACTCAAGAAACTAACAAACGAAAGGAAAAAAAAACCCGGGTAAATCAGTTTTGGTCGAGTGGGAAGGATTGCGCAGCTGATTTGTGACCTAGAAAGATCTGCGTATTTCAGCTCCAAAAGCTCGACGTCAGTATCGACGCGTCACACGCGGCAAGGTTCGCGCGCGGTCACGTGCATCAATTAAAGTACATGGTCCGTGCTTCCGGCCCGAACCCTTGTCCCCCTTTCACATCAGCGATAGCTATCCCATGAGCACGACTGGATGAAGGCCTCGGATAACTACGAACTGAGTTGTTTCACGAGTTCGGACGCCGAAGCTTGTTTCGCCAAATATTCGATTATAACATGTGAAATGCTTGTATTTAACCAAGTCTGCCAGCCTTTCCTCTTGTTACTCCCTTCTTTTTTCCCCTACTGATCTCCAGACGCCAAAATTTCAAAACCCCTTGTCTCATGCTGTTCCCAGCCAGCCACACATTGAGACTAGGTTAAGAGGTTGTTACACAATGAAAACGAGAGTCCGTCCAATGTCTTAAAGCTCGGCACGATTTAAGCAATGAACTGAAGCTCGGCCTTACGCTCAGGCGCGAACTGATCTTTATACGTGTCCCAGATCTTTTGCAGCTCGGCGATGTACAGCTCGTGCAGACGGTCAATTTCTTCCTGAGAGGGCTGGGCCGACGGCGGCGTTGTGACCTTGATGGGCTTGCCAACCACAATGTTGAGAGGCCTGCGGTAGGGCATCATTCCCACATCGTAATTGAGAATGCCGCGTCCGTGAAGTGCCGGCAAAGTGAACTTGAAAACGCGCAGGACGAACATTTGGAAGTTGTGAACCCAAGGGTGCGTCTTCGGGCTCAGCTGGTCGTAGAGATCGTTCTCTCCAAATCCCAAGACAGGCACCAGATCAGCCCCGGTTCGCAGGGCCATCTTAATGAAACCCTTGCGACCCTTGAGGATGAGTCTAAGAGTTCCTGGTTGGGCTTCAAGAGATTCTCTAGCTCCGCCAACAACGATTGTGACAGCTCTGCCCATTCCCTCGCCATTGCGGCCGCCCTTGCTCAGGGTGTTCCAGATCGACTCCTTAGAAACGGATCGAACTCCCATGGCCAGTATGTAGTCCCGGTACAAGGGAATGCGGAAGTTATTGTCGAGAGTCAACAAAGAGTTGGTGATGCCAGGGAACTGGTCATCAAATCCCAGGGCATTTGTGGCGAATGCAGCAAAAGCTCCATGCGAGATGATTCCATGGGGGTGGTATCCGAAGATGTACTTTCTGGTAGGTGGAAGGTCGTGGGTTTTGTGAAGCTCAGCGGGATAGTACTCAGCGAAGAGCTTCCAGATGTAAAGAGACCGTAACCTTTCCGAGCGATATTTGAGGTTGCCATCAGAAGCGACGCTGGAAAGTGAGAGGTGGATCAGGTACGGAACCAACAGAGGCCACGTAAAAGGGATGGCGGCAAGGAAGAAGAAGATCGAGACGAATGTGAGAATGGAAAGGCCGTGGAAAAGTACGGCTCCCGTCTGCAATCGGCGTACGAGAGGCACTTGCAGAGGAGCAAACCGAATACCTCCTGCTTTCCAACCATATCGATGGCTGTTCCTTCGGCCATACGCGGCGAGCGAGAGACGGGGGTACTCGTCGTCGTTCATGCTCTTGACCGCGGTTGATTCAGACCTGTCAGCTTCAAAACCGTCGACAAGTGTTTCATCGGCGGTTCCATCACTCCCGAAGCTCTTTTCAGCATCAGGCGAGTGACCGTTCCCATCCTCGTCACCATTGTTCCTTGCGAATGCTGTCCGTCGATCGTTTCGGTTCTGCTTCTTCGGAGTCTCGTCGCGGTCCTGAAAATGCTATGTTAGCACACTGCCTAGCTTAAAAGATATGCTGGGTTTTCTTACAGGAGCGTTGCCCTCCTGCTTCTCGGGGGAAGGCTTCTCGGAGTCGTTCGTCGAAGACTTGGATGGCCCAAGCTCTGGAGCTTCTGCGACAATGTCAACCTTTCGGCTCCCAGGCTCGGCTTCAGCTGGCTGCGACGCTAGCTGGGGATTGCTTGGTTTCCGATCAGCCTGCCTCTTGGTTGGCGATTTGGATCGAGCCGTCTTCTTGTTGCGAGGCATGACTGGTTGTTTTTTGTCGGTGACAGTAATCCCTTTTCTTGAAAACAAGCAAGGTCCAAATCATCGACAATGCAAGTGTTGCGGGGAAGATTTGTTATTTATGTGGGTGTTCTCTTACCTGGAATGACAGCCACCTTAGCTGTGTCCCCAAAGTTAGACATGACTGTGGCGGCGTCGGATGGCGGCAGGGCCGGACCTCGGACGAGCGTGCGGCTGTGGGCGTAGGCCGATGTAGCTTGCCTAGGAATGAGAACGAGGGACGCGCAGGGCGTCTATGATCGAGTCGGTCGATTCAACCAGGAGACCCAGGGCTTGTGTTCCGCAAGGGGTGATGTTTGACCAGCGGTACTCAGAAACCTTGTGTGCACAGGGTCCGAAGTCTAAGGAATGCACAAAGAGTGAGGGCGTAAGGTTGTGCAAGCGGCAGTGATTGAGATGGTGGTGGTAGTGGTGATGGTGGTGGGAGCAGAGTTGCGAAACGATGTTCGGCCGCTTGGCCGCATTTGCTTTACGCCAGGTGCTGACGCAGTGGGCGACTGGCAGATGCAGCTGCCCTGGTCGTAGTATCCGGAGCTGCCGCCAATGACGATGACGTGAGGATCCACATGCCGCATTGCGGCTGCAATGACTGCAGGGCTGTTGGCATAATCTGCTCATAATCTGCACAATACTTGCATTATATTTTACGAGCTACCACGAGTCCCTGGGCCGCTGGATGTGATAAGCTTACCATTTGCATGTGATTGCCTGACTTTTTCTTCTACCGTTCTTCTATCATGATTCTATCCAGACCCTTGTCGACTTAGGGGCTTTTTACCAACAGCTTACAGGGTTACGGGCACATTAAACCAGCGGTCAACAAGAGTCTTTCTCTGTCCCAAAGTATTTCTGCCCTCTGAATAGCTCTGTATAGAGCCTCGCACGCCCTAGAACCAGCCCTTGCAAGAGTCCCTCGAGGGATCTTCGCGGCTGTCTTGAAATAGCGTCGTTGAGCTACTTGCCGAGACTTGCTTTTGTCGCTAATGTAGCAGTTTTCAACTCATGCAAACCTCCTTGGTCGCCTGTCCTGCCCCGATCAATCGTCCCTGCTTTCATTGGCAAGAGCTTTGAGGTGGGCCTCGAGAGCTCTGACATGTGAAAACGACCCTTTTCACGCCATATCGGAGCTTCTGGTATCTACCTAGCTATTTCCGGGGCCCGTGCCAAGATGACTATCATCTAAGGGGTGATGGGGGGTCTATTGAACAGCAAGGGAGGACACGCGACACCAGGACCTCTAAGAGTTCCTGTTTTGCTACAATCACATCTGTTCTTTTTTTTTTTTCCAACTCAAGTTTTACCTCTGAGGGAGACAACACAGTTCTAATGTTGACCCCTCAAATTCCCAATGTTTTCAACACTGAGCAACTCAAGTCTTTCGACACTTTTTGTTAACCTCTTAAATAGCACTCATTACTACTACTCTGATGCATGAATTCGCACTGTCTTGAAAATGCTCAAAACACCAAGCAACACAGTAATTGCGGGGACATGTGAACTGTACACTCAATGTGATTTGCCCCTCACTCATTCGACTTCAAATTTTCCAGCGCAATGAACCCCACCATCATCTCATCCCACCATCCACCCCGCCGAAGTGATCACTCATCCTTATCCGCCAGCGCATATCACGAAACTTTTCTTTGAGATCAAACATGGCTAAGGCTAAGAAGGGAAATAAGGACGAAAAGGCAGCCAAGGCAGTACGTCCACAACTACCTATCAACACCAGAAACTTGTGCCTAACTTGAAGATGGAGTAGGCTGCGAAGAAGGCGAAGCAAGCCAACAAGGGCGAGAAGAAGGCCAAGACTAAGGCCGCGAAGCTCGAGGGTAGTGATGCGGAAGATGTAGACCTTGAGCAAGTGCTCGAGGAATATAGGAAGCAGCAGGAGCAATTCCTCAAGGTCACTGAGACCGTATCTGAGGGGCCCCCTAAGGCTCGCTCTGCCTCCACCATTCTCGCTTCGCCATGTGACCGCAACAACTTGCTGCTCTTTGGTGGCGAGTACTTCAACGGTGCGCTGGCTCAGTTCTTCAACGACCTGCACATATACTACATTGATCGTGATGAGTGGAGGTGCGTGACGTCGCCGAATGCGCCTTTGCCGCGCTCTGGACATGCGTGGACTCGTGCCTCCAACCCGAACCATGTTTACTTGTTCGGAGGTGAATTCTCCTCGCCGAAGCAGGGCACTTTCCACCATTACTCTGATTTCTGGCGTTTGGAGCCCGCCACGAGAGAATGGACGAAGATTGAGTGCAAGGGCAAGACGCCTCCTGCGAGGAGTGGCCACCGTATGACATACTGGAAGCAGTACATCATCTTGTTCGGCGGTTTTCAAGACACTTCGAACCAGACCAGGTACCTGGCTGACTTGTGGATCTTTGACACACAAAACTTTTCTTGGTTCAGCCCGACTCTGCCCCCGGCTCAGCTCAAGCCGGATCCGAGGTCCTCCTTCACGTTGCTCCCTCACGAACAAGGAGCTGTTCTTTACGGAGGCTACTCCAGAGTCAAGGCCACCGTTGCTGCCAACAAACAGGCCAAGGGGTCTTCGCAGGGGCAGAAGAACATCCTGAAGCCGTTGGTGCACGACGATTGCTTCTTCCTCCGTATGTCTCTACCTGCCGAAGGATCACCTGCTACTGCGCCTCCTGTCGTTCGCTGGGAACGGCGCAAGAAGCCTGCCAACGCGCCCAACCCGAAACGTGCGGGTGCTACCATGACTTGGCACAAAGGCCGTGGCATTTTGTTCGGAGGTGTGCACGATGTCGAGCAGAGCGAGGAGGGCATGGACAGCGAGTTCTTCAGAGAGCTGTTCGCGTGGAACATTGAACGAAACCGTTTCTTCCCACTGACCCTCCGTAAAGTTCGTCAGCAGAAGAAGGGTCCCTCTACTGAGCAGCGTGGAGGCCGTCGTGCGAGAGCCCAGGATCGTGAGGAGGAGCTCCTGAGGCAGCTTGCTGCTCTGGAAACCGGCAAGTCGCTAGAGGATGCTGAGGATATTGAGCTTGATAAGAAGGAGGAGCCCGAGGAGGACGTGAAGCCCTTGAGAGAGATGCCAATTACTATGGAGCTGCCTCATCCTCGTTTCAACGCTCAATTGGCCGTGCAAGACGATGTGCTGTACATCTACGGTGGTACATTTGAGCAAAAGGATCGCGAGTTCACTTTTGATGATCTGTATGCAGTTGATCTTGGCAAGATGGACGGCTGCAAGGAGATCTTTAACAGACCTGTCGAGGACTGGATCGTAAGTCGAGCTCAACTTCACAATGAGGTTACTTTACTAACAAAGCCTAGGATTCTGAAGATGAAGACGACGATGATGAGGATGACGAGGACGACGAGGATGAGGATGAAGACGAGGAGGATGTTGAGATGGAGGAAGAAGACAAGCCGCAATTATTCACAGCTAGCAAGCGTAAGAAGAAGGTCGACGAGGCCTCGGTTGCTGGCTCTGAGACCACTGCGGCAACCTCTACAACAGAGGATGACGATACAGAGGCCACAGAAACGGTGGATGACGGCCTTCCTCACCCGAGAGTAAGTTATATGTTTCCATCACTGTATTTGGACACGCTTCTAACAACAATACAGCCATTCGAATCAAGACGCGACTTCTTCGTGCGTACCACGGCTGAGTGGCAGGAGATTCTCATGACCAACCTGCGGTGGAAGAATATCCAACCAGAGTCTCTCACCATCAAGGAAATCAAGGCCAAGGCATTCGAGCTCAGTGAAGAGAAATGGTGGGATTGCAGAGAGGAGATCACTGCTTTGGAGGAGGAGCAAGAGGCTGCTGGCATCCAAGAGGTTGTATCCCTCGCCGAAAGAGGCGATGCTGGCGGTGGCGCGAGGAGACGATGATTGCCCATATTATTCATATATATTGCATATAGACAGCATATCGATCTTTTGGGCAAAAGGCACTTACACAACGGGCGACTGCTGCGTCTGAAAATACACCAGAAACTGACTCTGAATGAGGCACGTGACCGCGCGGTGACTTTTTGCCCCCCATCAAACGTCCCGTTTGGCAGGCAGCCACCCATTACAATCTTGAACGCTATCACTTCACATTAAACCAATTTGATAAAAACAACAAAACCTGTTCGGCGAGTCAAGAAGGTTTGCGTCGTGACTTCAGATCTGCTGGTTTTTTTTTTTCTTTTCTTTCTTTCCTTGTCTAAGTGATCCACCATGCCGATCGGCATTCAGCGTCTCAATGCAAAACGCTCGCACCCAAACGATCGGATTATCTTCATCAAACCTTTGAAAGGCCGCGATGAAAAAGTCGCGCAAGATTTCCTCGAAAGAATAGCGGCGCAATGTTGTTAGTTCCACTCTCAGTGCACACCTTGAAAAGTTAATTGACCTGCCCCAGTGCCCATCATGAAGGAACATCATCTATCGGTGATGTCACTGGAGGAGTACGAGCCAAACCCAGAGTTTGTCGGCAGAAACTTCAACGCTGGCGAGATTGTGCAGTTGGTACTGAAATCGCGGTCAGGGAGATGGCTGCCATTTGAATATGTGCAAATGGTGATGATGCATGAGTATGCAAGGTTCCATGACTTAGTAGCAGCCAACCCTAACTGTGGCATAGGCTAGCACACTGCAAACAGATGAATCACTCGAGGGCATTCTGGGCAGTAAGAAACCAGTACGCCGAGCAGATGAGGGGACTGTGGCAGCGAGGATACTCTGGCGAAGGCATCTGGGGTCGTGGCACATTGCTGCAGACGGGTGAGTTCCAGAACAACGTCGCGCTGCCAGGTGAATCAATACCAGAGCACCTCTGTGGTGGAACCTATCGCTCGCGGGGTCGAAAGAGAAAGGCAAAGCCAAAGCTATCCTACAAGGAGCAAAAAGAGCGAAGAATCCTAAAGAAGTTTGGTGCCAACGGAGTCGCACTTGGCGCGGATGAGGAGACCAAGGTCAAACTAGAGGGCGGGAAACGGACACAGGCCAAGCCTCGTGTAGCTGGAAGTGCAAGAGGCCGCGAGTTGCGTGCAGCCGCAGCTCTCGCTCGTTTTGATCAGCAGAAGAAGGAACCAGAGGACGATATCAAGTCTGAGATCAAAGACGAGGATAGCACCGAGAGCGAATACGAGGATGACCCGGTGGATATCAAGGCAGAAGATGCAGTTGACATTGATGGGAAGCCGATTGTTGATGGCAAGGGCCGTGGCATGATAAAGGTTTGCGAGGATGAAAACCCCAATGACCAGGATGCGCAGAATGAACTTCAAGAACTTCGCGCATCGGTTAAGCAGTGGCAAACACATCTCAACTTCAAACACGAAAACGAACCAACTGCATCATCATCCCAGGACAGGACAAACAACCGGGCTAAAGACCAAAAGCCGACTACAATAACCCAACCTCCAAAGCAAGCCACGACGCCACGAGTAAGAATTAAAAAGGAAGAAGATAGCGAAGACCGAGATGCACCAATCACAGCCATCGCGAGTGCTAGTCCGACAATTAAGAGAGAGGCGGCAGATGAACTCCCGCCATCAGCAGCCCACCAGCCAATCTCGGTGCAAGCGGCACCACCCTTGGATGAGGGTGGAGCGACGACTTCCATCACGGCGTCATCGACAACGGCGACACTGCCGGGAGGAGAAGTTTGCTGCGAAGTGTGCTCTTTTGCAAACCAGGCCCTGTCAATAACGTGTGCCGTATGCTCCCACGTGCTTGACCCAGCAAGCGTGCCGAATGCCTGGCGATGCCGGAGCACGACATGCCAGGGGAGCCAGTATCTCAACCCCGGCGATTTTGGGGTCTGCGGAGTCTGCGGGCAGAGCAAAAAGCAAGGATGAACACCAGTCAAGGACTGTTGACTATATCGCCTCACAAATGGATCATGACAAATCCCCTTTTTTTTTGGTATGCCAAGCAGAAATATCACGTTTACCTTACAGAGAGTATCGACATATAACACGGTAGAGAGTTACTGATCAAGGTAAATGGAAGTAGCAATCCTGACTTATCAGGCTATGCGCACATATTAATATGAGTAACTGTCCATCCCCCTGCGGAACTGACTAAGGGGGATGGCGATCGTGCTCGTATCTTGGCAGCAGGGCGGGTCTACGATGGGGTCCAGCTCTGATGATGGTAATTGTCATGTTATTCTAGGAAACAATATATACCCCCCCCCCCCCCCCCCCCCCCCCCTTTATATGTTTGTGAGCTGTGCAGAGGGTAGCGAGCAATTTAAAAAGAACATTTCGCCCCAAAGTATTATTTTAGGTTTTTGCTTGTCAACCCTTCAAGTAGAGTTTGGGTCAGTGGAACCCGTCCGTGGTGACCGGTAAGCGGGTTCACGTTGACGACCCGGCTCTTAGCGAGAGGGGCAGCTTTAATTAGGACGAAACATGGAGAAAAGAAGAAGAAGGGAACTGCAAGACCCAAAAGCCGATCGATGGTGCAAGGCCAGTCGAAGTGGGATGTTCTAAAATGTTGACCGGCGCTCCGAAACTTCACTCAATTTTCGCAGGGTGGTACGAAAATTTGATTTGTTTGCAGGCCCTACCCCCAAACAATGTTGGGCTGAGAGCGGAATAATTTTGAAGTAGGTATGAAGGGGAGGAAGAAAAAGAAATCGGACTTGGGATATGTTTGTGGCGGTCGTCAGGGTCATTACTTGTTTGTGACAGCCGAGCAGCACGAGCCTGGCGAGGCGAACAGTTCGGGACTTTAGGTAGGTTTGCTATAGAGTATCTGATAAACAAATATTACCAAGCATGGACGAGGCAGCTGGAGAGGAGGCGACGATCTAGAATTTAGCTTTATTGTCGCAGATGGATTGCACTCTTCAGTTAACTTCGAGGATCTGCCGTATATCAAGCACATTTTATAGACAAGCTTGTAGCTTATCAGCCACTCAGGCATAGGGCAGACGGAATAAATAGTAGTAGTATAAGGCAAAGCGAATAGAATAATGATCATATGGAGCTCAGCAAACCATCAAGTTGTCGCTTCATCGAACTGCGGAATCTTTTTTCTCCCAGAGCTGCTTGTTTGGCGGACCCAAAAGAGGAATGTCGAGAGCATTCGCCGGAACAATGGCACGACTGCGGTAGGTGGTATCCGTAGTCGCTACCGCGCTGCCGGCGGTGGAGATTTACGGGCTTACCGGGATAGATCCCCACCCGCTCGAGTTTCAGAAGGGCTTAAAATGGTACCTTGTCGTCTGAACCGAACCTGCAGGCCGGGGGCTGGCCTTGTTTCACTTTGCGACTCCGGATGAGCGCGGCTGATGTCGACTGGCCCGCCTGTAGAGAGAGGCCTGCAAGCGATCACCGAAACTTGTTCCCTTCTATCCCCCTTTTTGTCTTCATGAGCGATACTACCCTGTGCCAACTCCCATAGTGTCGTGCTCGACTCGGCTGCGCTCATCACCGTCTACAGATAGGTATAGATGGACAGTTTTTCCACACCCCGTGCAACCACACTCAAGTATCGAACCTCATGCGCCGAGGCCACCCTGGCCAGCGCCAACCGACGATCTGAGGGGCGGGAGGCGGTTGACCCCCCTGACCTAGATTAGCCGCACTTGGCACCCTCTTTTTCTGGCCCAGTGTGACTGAAGTTTAGCCTACCGATGATGCTAAAGGTTTAACAGGAACAACCCCGGAGCCCTACCTGTTGCCAGAGAAGAACGGACCGTGAACATGAAGCTGCCCAAGCCACCGCAAGTCAAGTCACATCACTGTCAAACTGCTTGGTATCCACAATGCGCGCAGTGCTGCTTGTCGTCAGAAGAAGTTGGATCCTCGCGCGGTTCGATTTTTCCGCTGGCTGTTCCCTGCGCTTTTGCGCTTGCCTTATGAGGCGTCGCGAAGCTCATTCGCTGTGAGTGTACATGTTGTATCCGTACTTTACAGTACAACATGACAATGTCCGTCAATGGGGCTCCTCCATCCACTGGGATCCATCGACTGTCCATCCAAAAGACCCTTTCATTGTAGCATGGAGAATCCCGGCTTTCAGAGTTAGCTGGGGCGTGGGGATGGATAGGTAACCCGGCAATCAAGCCATCGACTCAGCCAAGGTGTGAGCGGGAAGGAAGAAGGATTTTCTGAACACTCGAGCGTGTTACAAGCTACCACCACAACTGCTTGGTGGCTTGTTCTCCTCCTCCTGCATATAGTACCTTGGATCCCCTTTCCTCCTTCTCTCCTTCCAGCTTGATTTGTTTCTTGACTTGTTCACTTCTTTTTTATACACTCTCTTTCCAAACACACGCAAAGACAGTCTGTTGACCGTCGCTTTCTTTCTTTTCTGTCAACTTTTTTTCAACCCCCCAAGACGATCTGTGATCTGTTCCATTCTTTTCCTTGCAATAGTTTTCTGGTTTTCTCTCGAGAAACAACACGCCAAACCAAACAAACGACTCCCCTGCACCGCGATATCGAGTCTTCATTCATTACCGGTTTACGTTGTTCGTCGAGTCTGAGAAGGAAGAGATAGTCACGTTGTGATTGAAAAGAATCGAACCGATATCGCGAGAAGAATCCCGTGGTCGTAGTTTTAAGAACAAAACAAAACCACTTACACCAAATCCACCACCACCACCACAACATCATCCAAACATGTTCACCATGCTCATCCACACCTTTGTCCTCCTCCTCACTGCCACCGCGGCCCTCGCCGCCCCGGCCGGACGCAGGTGGCCCCGTTTCACTGTTCCTCAGCAGCACTTTGAGGTCCTCGGCATGCGTGCCCAGACGGAGGTGAATCCGTCTGCCGTGCTTGAGGCCACCTGCATCGACCGTAATGCGTACGTCTTTCCACATCCCCACTTACACCACACCAATGTTGCACCTTTGTTTTATTTTATTTATCCTATAATCTTTCCATACTCTGCAATCTTTGTTTCCAAAGAAAACCAAAACTAACACTCACCAGCCACATCGTCTTCCATGACACCGATGTCGCCGAGCTCGCCATCTGTGGCGGCATCTCGGGCTCCGTCTCCGCCTGCAAGGGCAACCCCGTCACGACCATCGGCCAATCCGGCTCCGCCCGCTTCACTCTGAAGGCCACCACCGAGGGCGCCACCATCAACATCACCAAGAACAAGTGGGAGCAGTGCGTCCGTGCCGCCCGCGAAAAGTGCCCCACCGGCAGCGTCCACGCCGTCTGCTCCGGCGGCGCAACCTCTGGAGACGTCGAGTTCACCTTGGACGGCTTGCCTCCTTCGGCCGACCTGTAAGGGCTGCTAGAGTCAAAAACAAAAACCTGTCGGCGGTGGATGAGGGGTTGGCCGGTGATGTGTATTTTTTTTTTTCTTTCCGCTTGGAATTTTCTTCAACGGGATTTTCCAGAGTTGGGATTCCCTTTGCTGGGCATGCCCATGCCTCGGCTTTTAAATATGGAGGGTAAACGACCTATGGGGATAATTCAAGGCCAATGGCAGATCTGGGCTATGCGAAGCCAAGACTTTCTTTGGCAGTATATATATTTGTAGTTACAGGATGTATCTCCCATATATGCAGTATCCGCTAGGGAAACTATGAACAAAGCCACAAAGGCACCCAGCTTCCTCTATTCAAACAACTTCATCGCAAATCTCTTACTTCGTTTTTTCCCCAAGTGAATCCGTAGGGGTATCATAAAAACGCCAAATAACAAATGACCTGCCGCCTCAAAGCTTTTGGGGGCCTCCCAAAAAACCACACACACCCATCTCGCAACACCAGCAAAACCGACAAAAAAAAAAAATCAATAACCGTATCTCGTAGCGCATTCCTCACGATGCGTCTCCAAACAATTCAGCGCGCAGACCCTCGTCCCGCACTTCATACACTTGACCCGACCCCAATACCCGCAGACCTCGCAGAACGACCGGACAGGGTACCGCGTGTCCTCGTCGTCCCACTCCGCCCTCGCGTCCCAGAAACTCAGCATCGGCTGCGCGAGCAACCACCGCAGCTCCTCGTCCGTCGGGGCTGCGGGCACCTTGGACACCAACAGCGGATCGTCGTCGCCGGGGTGTGATGGCGGCGGGGGTTTCTCGTACGGCGCGAGCACGGGACCTGCGTTCTTTTCCTCTTCGGCGGTGGCGGCAGCAGCACCAGCACCAGCTACGGACGGCGCGGGGGTCATTTCCACGTCTTCTGGCTCCGCCGGTTTCGGGGTGGACGTCTTGGAGCGCTTCGCGGCGTTGCGCTTGGTGTGCTGGTTCGGGTGCGGCGGCTTGTTGGCGGGTTTGGCGGTGTGCTGGTTCGGGTGAGGGGCGGGCGCGTTCTCTGCGTGGGAGATCTGCGCGAGGTAGTCGTCGAGGTGGTTGTGGAAGGTCTTTTGGGACTGGAGGATTTTGCGGACGTTGGGTGTGCTTTTGGTTTGGTCTTTTTTGGTACACTCGTTAGCTTTCTTGCGGTCTTCTAGGGTCTCCTAAGACGAATGGGTGTGAAGCTCACTTCTTGATCCCTTGGCAGGGATGGGAATCGATGCGTCCCTCCCGCAGTCGCGGTCTAGCACTTCCAGTTCCTTGCGGATCTTGGCCTCTTGCCTGACTGTAAGGTCCGACGCGGAGGGGTTCGCCTTGTTTCGCGCGGCACGTTTGCGGTTCGTGGGTTGTAGGGCTGCGGCGGCCGGGTTGACGCCCGTGTCCGGGACGTAAGCCCAGCCCGGGGCAGACGTCGTTTTTGTGCTGGCGAGTTCGTAGACGCCAAAGTTGTTCATGGTGGCGGGATGGTGTGTAGAGTTGAGAAAGTGGTAAATGCTAGGCGTCACGGACTATCTTGGTTTGGAGCTTCAATTATTTTTTTGCAGCGAATCAGAGGCGAGCTGATACCAAATGGGGGAATTTTGACCAATGAGATGCAACTGGCGACAGAGGACTGTGAGAGCTCTACCGATTTACTGGTTGAAATAGCTATAGGCAAGCACCACACCGGTATTAGTAACACTCCGGTAAGGCGAGCACAATTAAGATGCTTATACTTAGAAGCTTCAGCTTTTGTTGTCGTCCAAAATATGCCATCATGGCCGTTCCCTGACTGTGAAGCCGACTAAAACCCGGGGGGCGCTGACAAAGGTAGCCGCATTCCCGAACTTCAGTGGACCAGGGAAACCACCCCAGACACAATGCCCCAGAGCAAGCCCCCTTAGTGCCATCACCTAAGTTCTGACCAATGGGACGTCTCCAATGGCAACCCGGCTAATCCCGCCGCACCGGTGCTGGCGGAGGGCAACGGTACCTGAGGTAATGCACCTATGCAGCATAAACGACACAACAGGAGAGCTTCCCGCCTTCGCCCAATCTATTACCGACCCATTCGACACCTTGATCAACGCATCCCATCACAACTAACCTCCACGACCCCCAATCAAGGGCGCCTTTTTTTTTTCGTCTTCTTTGACACATAAAACTTCCAAGCGACATACCCTCCGTCGCTTTTACTTCCCACGCACCTCTCTCCCTTCGACGACACAAACACAGAGACGACACAATGGCTTCCCGCATTCTCGCCCGCGCAGTCCCCCGCGCCTCCGGCCTCCCCATCCGCGCCGCCCGCTCTTTCCAGACCTCTTCCGCCCTGCGCGACGCCGTTGCCGCTCCTCTGCCGGCTCGCAAGCCCGTCGGCGCCTTCCGTGGAGGGTATGTTTGAACCACCTAGCACCTCGGGCTGTTGATGAAGGCTCGCTCCCCGACGCCTCTACACTACGTCATGCCTCCAAACTCAATTGGCCTCGTGTGCTATGCGAGAAGGGAGCATGGGACAGGCTTCTCTGTGGTCTTTGAGAGAACTGGTTGGCTAACCAATTGCGCAATACAGTCTTTTCGGCTTCTTCCTCGGCAGCACCCTCGCCGGCGCCAGCGTCTACTCCTACCTCCTCCAAGAATACAAGACCTCAAACGAGCTCCTGACGGAGGATATCTACGTGCGTCTTTGCATTTGATACTGTCTCTACCTACCGATGACTGCGGCTCTCCCCTCTGACCTACCATGTCTTCTCTTTTGTATTCTTCTCGAGGGTCAGAGGATGGGTCGGTTACATGTTTCTCGCACAAGTGCAGAAGCTATTTCATATCTTTCAGTAGACTGCCCTTCCAGCGCGGCGCACTTTTGTTTTTCTTTCCGAAATCTCTGTTATTTCTTCTTCACCATACTTGAGATCGACACCAGCTAATCAAGTCTTGGTCACACAGGCACTCCAGGCCGCCGTTCAGCGCGTGACCACTTACGTCCAGGCATTGGAGGACAAGATGGACGCCCTCGAGCGCAAGAGGAAATAAGCAGCCAACATCTCTTGACCTTTTGGAGGGAAAGTCAGTGAAGCGAAGGGTACATCGTGGTAATCGGGCCGAGCGAAAGGCGGGGGTTTGGTAGGGCGAAAACACAGCGCAGCACACAATACAGCAGCAGCAGCAGCAGCAGCAGCAGCATCACAATGGTCACGATCGACGTCTCCTCCCCCCAAAGAAAAAAAGCAATCTTCTATTTTTTTTATTCAGTCTCTGAAGTTAACCTTGAATCCGCATCACCCGATGGTTTGTCGATATGCATAATCATGGCTGTTCAAAGGATCAAGAGGGGGGTTTCAAATGTGTGTGTATACCAAAGGTTGTAACAACATGCGCGGACCGGGGGGTGGAAGGGCAATATCACGCAATGCATACCCTAGCAGTTCCTGTCCAGCCATTATTTGCCATGGGGTGGTGATTGTTTTTGCTTGCTCCGTTAGCTTCGGGTAATGGTGAATGACAAGTACGTGTGGTCTACATCAGGGTACCCCGTCCAATCCGAGCAGTCGAAATACTCAAACAACATGAAGCTTATGTTCCGCGGATACAATGAGAGTTATTCTGAAGCTGACAGACCGAGAGAGGGCCATTACTATGCCTGCGTACCGAGAGTTCTGGTAGAAGACATATGAATATGTGCCACCATCATTCACTCGATTATTAACCACAATACATTCATGTCAGTTACCAGAAGGCAGAATGAAACGCCACTGATCCCTCCCTAGCCTTGGCTATGGGGGCCTGGACTCTGCTCCTGGTCCGGTTGATAAGTGATTTCCGTGGCTTGTAACAGCTCATGCTGACTTTTCTACTTTCAATATACTATATCATCCCCCCCCCCCCAAATAATCAATTACAAGTCTCGTACATAACTACAGTAACAGCACCTTCAGGATCAAGTTAAGGGAAATTGGTATCACAACTAAGAACCAAGCTTGTAAAGTGATGGAGCCGAAATGACATCCCGATCCTCCGACTTCGTGTAGATCAACGCATCTAAAACGTGATGATGTATATTAAGGTAACAATTCAAAGCGCACAGTGGTATAGTTCAAACAAGTGACAACCTTCCATAACCCCCAAACGCCACCCCTTCGTCAAGTCATATGCCGAAACCAAGTTTCACTTTCTACCTCTAGAAAACGCCTCAACCTTCCCCATAAGACTCTTCAGCCCGACGCCCCTTTCGCAGTTCGACGTCAACCAGGCCTCCATCTTCTCCCTGACGCCCCGCATGCTCTTGAGCACAGGCATACTGCCGCCCTCCTCGTCCGCAACGAAGGAGCCGGGGTTCAGCAGCAAGTCGAAGCACTCGCCCCAAATCTCCGTCTGCCAGTAGCGCTTGAGACTCTCGCGGATACGGTACTTGCGTCCAGCAAGACCGATGCCTCCCTGGTCGCAGCGGACCGTCTCGATGTACTTGCCGAACAGCAGGCAGTAGACGATACCGGCGAGGCCATGGTAGTCAATCTGCCACGTCCACGGGCGACCCTCGCGCATCTCAGCACAGTCCTGCGCGCTGGTCTTCCAGTCCGCGACGAAAGCCACATCGGCCTGGAAGTTGCGCATGTCAATGCCGCGACCAAAGTCGATGAGCGTCACGCCCCTCGTGTCCCAGCCGCCGGAGCCGTCAGCGCGATACTGCGTCTCGAGCGGGTGACTGTTGGCGTTGCCGTCCAGGCGGAGCAGGCAGTTGTCGACCTTCAGATCGCCATGGAGGACGCCGCGGGCATGCAGAGCCTCAACGGTGCGGAAAAGCTCAATGGTGAAGAACATGGCCAGCTGCTCGTCCATAACCGCAGATGGCTCGGCGCGGAAGAAGTTGACAACATCAAGGAGACTTCCATGGGAGTGATAGGGGAGGAAAAGGAAGCCCTCATCCTCGTACAGGTGGAATTCATGCGCGTACGAAATGGAGGCGGACGCGCGGTGCTGGGGACCGAGACGGTTATGAGCGACGCGCATCATGTGGAACTCCCACGGCGACGGGGGAAGTTCCATCTTGAGCGCCTCCAAGGCTGAACGGTGGCTGACGGCAAACGCGCCCTTGCCCATGGCCACGACCCCATCCTCGTCATCCTCATCGACGGTCGAGTTCTCCACGAGGTAGACGGGAGCAAAAGCACCGGCACCTAGCTCCTTCCTAATGACGTACTGGGTTGAGACATCGGGAAACTGAACGGTCACCATCGCACAGGCGTTGCTGGTGCGCTCGCCCTTGGCTGCCTTTGACATGGCCTTGGCGAACTTGCGGATCTCGTTGCCCTTCTCGTACTTCTCGTCACGGTGATCGTAGAAGCCAGGGTAAGAGGTCAAAGGAGGCTGCATGTTGGAGAGAATTTCTTCCCGGACCGCATCATCAACAGGATTGCACTGAAGCTCCTTGATAATAGGGCCCTTTTGAGGCGGCGGCTTGGAGGCAACCTTTGGCTTGCTAAGAAGAGGCTGAGGGATCTTGACAGGACTGAACCCACTCAAAACTTCCCTCAGAGGACTGCTGCCGGGCTCCTGCATGTCGTCCTCTTCTTCGTCAATGGTAGACGCAGCATAGTCGCGGCTCGGTGTCTCAAACTTCGCCTTGCGTTCGGTAAACGCCAGGGAAGACTCAGTCCTCTCCGTAATCGGGGTCATGAACGGAAGTCGGTTGTTAGCAATCTCGGCCGCATCCCTAAACGGCCGTGTCCTAGGCTCATAATCCTCAGGCGGTATCGGCACAAACATTGTCTTCGTTCTGGGCAGGTAGTCGTCGTCTTCTTCATCTTCTTCATCCTCTTCCTCTCCTTCCGAGTCCCTAGGTTCTTGAGAGATTGTGTTTTCATCTAAGACAGGGCCAGAAGGCTCGGCATAATTAGGATCCATCAGGTCAGAGGCTTGAGTGTTGTCAACATCAGCTTCAGTGGCATCCCCGCTAACATCTGGGACGTGCTTGCGAGTTGAGAAATCCGACCATTCGCTGATGCTCTTGGCGTCCGACGCAGCGTCGTCACCTTCGTCATCTTCATCAGCGTCATCGCCCATGTCAACTTGGCGAGTGGTCATGGTGCTCTCCGCTTCGGTATAATCGCCGTCCGACTCATAGTCATCGTCTTCGTCGCTCTCTTCCTCCTCCTCCTCCTCTTCTTGAGGGGTAGACTGAAGAGGCTGGTTGAAAATCTCGTAAATCTCATCCGTTGCAGCTCTGGTGTGGATGGTCATTGTTGGCTCGGCTGTGTTTCTCTTCTTCAACTTGGGCCTAGACGGCGAATCCAGGTTTGCTTTGACTGGGGGCTTATTAGTGGTGGGGTCAGAGGCCAAAACACGTAGACTTACTTATTTGTGTCTCGTTGACCTCCATCACCTTCTTCTTCTTACTCTTGCTCTTCTCCTTCATGATGGCACCGTTTTCGTCCATCATGACTGTTTCGGTGTGAACCACCAGCTTCTCCTGCACCATCTGGCCAAGGTCATCAATAACAGGGGGTTCGACATTCATCACTTCGGGCTGAGTGTTCTCTGTCAACGGCTCATCATCCCAGTTACGCCCAAGCCAGCCCCGGTTCATGGCCCAGATCTCCTCGAAAGCCAATTCAGATCCAGGCTCCTCGGGAGTGGGATACACGGCCTCTAGCTTGACAAAGATGCGCTCCCTCTTGCCACTAGCTGGGTTCACTACTATCTGATTCTTGGAAGGCACAAGTGTGATATGAGATTTCGACATTTGCGCTCGTGATTGTGATCGTGATTGAAGTTGCGCTTTAGGCTGCAACTGAGACTGAAATACAAAAACGCCATAAAGCCACCCATTAGTCCTAAAATCATCAACATCTGGGCAATGGGAGGTGCAAGTGAACGCAGAACTTACCGTATCCCTGAAAATCGCCATCTTGGGAGCAGTGCTCTTCTTTCCTCCCGCCTTCAACGTCTCACCCGCCCACGGCTTGGGCTCCATCACGTTCTCCTTCTTTCGGTCGGCCAGGGAGCCGATGCTGTCCCAGCCCTTGGATCCAGATCCACGCGCCGACAACGCTGGGGGTGCGGCGTCGGCATCTGAAAATATGGCCATCTTGGCCTTTCCAGGCTTTGAGGCAGGGCCACCGACACCCGCACTTGGGCGAGGTGCCTGAGGGTCTGCAGGGGCTGCAGCGGCCGCGCGAGCAGCCGCGAAGGGGTCGATCTTTGCAGCCAGAGCAGGTCGCATGGTGGGGAGCGCCGGTGACGAAGGTCTAACGGCTTCCTCTGGTTGTTGTGCGAGCCTCTCCTCGAACTCTTTGAACTTGCGCAGCAAGCGCTGCACTGGCCTGGCCTCGCGCTCGATTCCCAGCTTGTAGACTTCCTCAGCCTGGTTCCACCTGCCGGCACCCTCAAGCCAAGCAGCGTATTCTTCGTAGAACAGAGCCAGACTCTCGCCGATGCTGTGTCTGGACAGGAAGAGGAAGGTTTCGCGGGGTGAGTCAGCGAAGAACTGAATGTAAAGAACCCAGAGCTTGAGATATCTGGGGTCGTTCTTGTACTGTGCTGAGTTGATGAAGATTTTTGTTGCGCGCTCCAGCAGCGTGTGAAGTTGGGATGCTGGTGTAGCCTGTGCCGAGGGGTATGCGTCTAGGGTCCAGCGCACGTAGCGGTCGAAGATGTCGAGGGGGTCGTCCGACTCTGAAATGTTCTGGATTTCCTCCTCGTACTCTGCGCGGATGCAGTCATTGACATTTTTGGTATCGGATGGTGTGGGTGTGTCGACCTTGTGCAGAGGAGACGGCGAGAACAGTTCAGCCAGCTTTTTGGCAGAGCGTCCGCTGGGTAGCGCCTGGATGTTTTCTTTTTGCGCTTCGATGATGTCGAAGTTGATGAGGTCGTCGGAAGCTGCCATGGTTAGTATCGTCGCGGCAAATAGCCGGAACTTCCTCAGATTAATTGTTGCTGAAGTTTTGTGTTTGAATTGTCGAATTCTGTAGCGGGGGGAGGAAGACTGAAATGGTTGTTTAATGTTGTGATGTTGATCTCGATAACGATAACAGGGGTAGACAGGGGCTTGTGTGGCGCGTTGTCGTAGCAACGGTCACTGCCGATTATGTAAAGTAGACCCCACTATTGAGGCAAATCGACCACTCGAAGCAAGTCAGTGTTATGGCGGCAGAACCGACTGTCATAGGCAAGCAATTAAAATGACTCGAGGTCACTCTAGGCAGGTTCCTCAAAGGATGGATTCATGAAGCAGTTTGATATTATTGGCGATTGATTGGCCGCCTTCAATCTCACCCAGGGTTAGCACCTCAGCTTCAACTTTCCGTTTTCTTTTCTTTTCTTTTCTTTTTTCACATTAATTGACAAGCATTACTTGAATGTCTTTCGAACGAATCAATAAATGGTCTAACTATGCTACCCTTATCCATCAACATGCAACTCCACTGGCTAAACGTCATTGTTTGAGAGGTAGTGCAGCACGGACGGAGCAGCAGCTCTTATCTTTTCCCGGAGACCGGAGGAAAGACTTCGGCGATGTGGACCCCAAAGGACCGGAGCACCATGCCGGCTCATCGGACCACTAAGGCCTCCAAGGAGACGATGAAGGCAGGATCACAGAATTGGGTGCGGTAAAGACGTCTCAACTATGTTTCGCACCATTTTGGGTTTAGGCTATGCCACCCACGAGGCCGATCATAGGTGGAACAGAAGATCGTTGGGACGAGCGCTGTACCTTCGGATGGTCCTGAAACCGGGTTACGTGCGTCCATTGTCGCGTAGCTTTCGCAAAACACTCGCATGCTACATAAAACGTGGGCACGCTTAGGCACATGTATTGAATTAGAGACCACTAAAAGGTTGGGTCTTGTGTGACTTTCCCGTTTCCTCGGTTGGGATTTGGGCTTTATTGTGTGTTTCTTCCCCAGACAAACGGATCGACGAAGCGTTTATGGCGGCCACCATCCATCAGCATTTGCAATGATGAAGCCAGAAACCGACGACAACCAGCCTTTCTTGGGCTTTCGAGACGACCCAACAAAGGGAAGCTCTTCAGAAGATGAAGAGAACGGAGGCAGTGACAATACTATTCGACACCAGCAGCACGCTCTGAAAACATCACGCAGCCGGAGATATCTTCGAGATTTCCTCGTGTTTCTAGCAACATCTCTGGTCTGGGTTCTCGCCATCTCCTTCATACCTGGGCTTCAAACTCCGGCAGATACTCCGAGTCCCTCGATGCCTTCACCCTCGTCTAATGTGTCGTTGCCACTACCACAAGTTGGACAAGATGGCAAGGCAGGAAGTAACCTACCTGGAACAATAGCAGGAGTCGCCACGGCTCAGATGCACAACATTACCTCAGGCGCGAAACTAGTCTCCTGTGGAAATTCCACTCAGGAGGCGAAGAAGAATGGATGCAAGTACGACACGCTGCTAAACCACTGGGTACCATCTCAGTGTTACGACAAAGAATTCGAGCTGGAATACATGGACGATGATAGCTGGTTTGCCTATGCCGAGTAAGTCAGACCATAACATCTATCTTGAACCCCTTGTCAAAGAAGACTTGCATGCTAAAGGCACATTTCCCGCACAGCAAGAACCTGTCACAGCGACTTACCCGCGAGGCGATGGGCGACAGAGACTCGTACTATACTTCAATCGCGGATCACGTTAACCACTGTTCAATGCTGTGGAAGAAGCAATTCTGGACCATATTTGAGGACAGACGAGTGTTCGACACGGTGATTGTCAACTCTTATCATACGGAACACTGCGCCGATTTCCTCAAGGACTTGTGGGGGTCGAATCGTACCGAGCCGACATTTGTCAGAGTAGCGTACTCAGGCTGCTGGGTGCGGTGAGGAACTGGGTAGCCGCGATAAAACAGGGGTTGTGACAAGATGGGCCTTGATGGCCAAGCTCGCACGCAGCAAAACTTGGGCGTGGCCCTCTCTGTTTCTGCTAGAAGTGGCCATTTTGGACTGACCGACTTGGCGAAAATACAAGCTTGGCTGAGCGAGGTGTAATTGACCGTACCTATATAGCCTTGGCAACCTTGCTCAAAGTCCTCACAGCGTTGGCGTTCATATTAGTTGTTTTCTTAGCGTTTTGAACTTTGGTAAACATCAAATGAAGGGTAGGTAGTCTAAAAATTTCATCTATAAGCATATCATAAGCTGGAGCATTCTCCAAAAATTTACCAACTGTGTAAGAAACCCTGAAAGACTAATGTGGTCAGACAACCACCCTTACCCAAGATGAACTTAGTCTGTTCTAAAGGGACAAACTTTTAGTTTAGATGGCGGTCCCAGCTTCATTTTGGCAGTCTTTGACCATTTGGTGATTGGATTGTATTTAACTGCCTATTGTTTGTGCTAGCACAGGGTATGATGACATCTTAAGCCGTATATTGTCTCAAGAGACTGTGTAGCGATCAGTATATTTAGTTTATTTTGTATCCTCAGCTTATATGAGGTTTATTTGATCCAGATAAATGACACCGCATGAGGGATCAAGGTTCTCGAATTGATCCAGCCCTAAACTTGAGGTTGCCTTCGTGATAATCGGAAACAGCACGTAAGGGGTATGCCAATATTACCGCGTTTGACAATCATTTACCAAGGAAAAATTATGGATGAACGAAAATAATCAACTTTCGAACTAACTGATTATTTTTTTGGTAAAAAGTTCGATAGTTGAAGTTGCCCTTGCGTCCTAGGTGCTGATTTTGGATATCTTGGGCTCCCCGTTTTAAGTACCCCAAGACACCTGCCCTAAGTACCACTCTCACCAGCCACGACCTGGAGAACCTAGAACCACAGAGTCCATTTTAAGGAGGATAGTTTAGATTGTTTCTATAAACTACTGATTCTATTATTGATCGTTTAGATAATAAACTTGATTTCAGGCCACGCTGGCTATCTCGTGACCTCCCAAAGAGCCTGTCTTCAGTAGTAGCCTTCGTGACAACCAACAAACCATACAATCTGAAGTTCAAAATACTAAAAAAAGCTGTTATTTATACTGCAATTGTGTGTGTTTCTGATAGTCCTGCCATTATGGCTTTTACCGTCGCTTTCCCAACATGGCTGACAAAGTGGCACCACTTTGAAGCAGATACTTTCTTCTTCCTGCCTTATGATGAGAGATGGGGCTGTGATGTTGGCACAGCTATCAGAACGGCCGGTAACAAAACGATGGAGCGACAACAGAAGCAGCATACGCAGAGCGTTCTCTTATCGTTTCTGAGGTTGTCGATGTACAAGAGCTCTTGATACATTGAGAGGCAGTGACTTATTGTAACTACCTAGCTAGAATTGAGGCCATATGGGATCCACGTCCCTCAACTATCGTCTAGTGTGCGATGACGTACCAAAAACTCGTGGAACGGATTTCTATCTCAGTCCGCTCCAAATATTACAATCAATAGGTAAGTCTTTTTTGTAAGGTGATAGGTGCGTTTCCGAAATGGATCTTTGCCGCTTATTCCCTAATCCCTGTTAGCCAGGGTACTTTTGCTTTTTCCTTTTTTTGTTGGAAGCACTCCATTCCAATTTACTGCTCCAACAGAAGCCAATTTATAAAAATCTAGGTTAAGAGGAAAGAGACCGCCCCTTCTGTTGCGACGACATAACACTACAACTAGGGGCCGCTGCATGCCCCACAACCTATTTCGTGCATAACCAGAGTAAAAATAAAACAGATAATCTCTCTGCATTGGCTTTTCTAGCCTATCCCTTTCACACAACATCTCAACATACCATGGCCAGCATCTCCATCATCGGTCGAAGCCGCCACGCCTCGCTCAACAACCCAAGGGGTAACACTCTCTCCCACCGTCTCTTAAGAGTCATCAATGGACCGCCACTACACTTTTCCTCATTGAAACTGAACCCCCTACCTCTTCAACTTCCGCTAATTCGCCCATCCCCATTCACCTACCTCGCACATTACCATTCTAGCCCTCGATGCGCAATTAAAAGCGTTTCGGCTTGTGGGAGCTGGGAGACCTGGGAGGCCCGGGATCTTTCTGAGTTGCCAGACAGTGTAGCTGGCTATCGCAACGACGAGCTCCGGTTCATCTCCTTAGGCATGATCAGGACTGGGTACCATCGCTGGGGCTTTGTTGTTTACCGCTGTACCTACGATGATCAGGACCTGTGGGACCGCTACCTAAGTCAGCTTAAGGAGAACTCCTACAACCAGCTGGTTGACGGCCGTCGAGCCGAGTTACTGGAACAGTATCTTGACTGGGTTGTGATTGAGGACCGCGACACTTTGAACAATGCTTCTAAAGCTGATGTTAGAAAGCATTTTAACCAGTGGGTTTCCGAGCACGCTGCTGAGACATCTGCCCACCCCGATATCATCGACCTTCCCCGTTTTAGATACTGTCTCTATGTCGACCAAAAGTGCCTCAATACTCTTGAGCCCTTTCAAAAGTCAGAACTCCCTCCAATTTCTAAGAAGCGAAAAACCAAAGACACCGAAAAGCCAATGGTAGTTGCTTTTATCGACCGCCTTTGGACGCCGAATCAAGAATATGAGCAAAAAGTCGGTTTTAGAGACGAGGTGGAAGATGATGAGAATGATATTGAGTCCGAGGAAGATGAAGAGAATGACTACATTTACGACCCTATGGCAGAGGGAGGCTACCCACCCGTTGAAGGTTGTGATAAGAAGTATGTTGGATGGGAGTATAGATCGGCTGTTTATATAACGTCGGCTTACAATGAGCTTTACGGCTTTAGACTAGACGATGTTTTGGACTATGTCAGGCCTCCTGCAATTTATCCCCTTGGGATGGAGGTTATGCCAGAATAGCAGAGGATATTAAAACGGAGACTATCTACTGTTTTACAACTTAGTAAAGCTAAGAAATATGTATCACTGCTGCTAGTGGACCCTCCTAGGGGTTTGCGATGTGATAAGACGGGCATATCTTTTCAAGTGCTTCCTGAAAAATGAATGAATTAGTCTTCCTCTTTTCTTCTTATTGTAGGAGAGGGACACAAGCTGTAACTGCCTAATTGTCTATAGAGGCCAGCTCAGCGCAGACTAAGAGCCATACGGATTAAGATACCAACGTCTTTTTAGTCCGATCAGCACGCCAGAGGAACCTTCAGCCTACAGAGTCTTTGGACATGGAAGAACCCAGGTAGACTACTAATCAAGAGAAAATTATCGAACTTGAAGCTGAAGACCCTCCGATTAGACATACGAAATAGGCGATCCTCCTCCTGAAGCTGGTTTTATCTACAGACCTCTGATCAGAAGACTTTGGGGTCGAACTGGGTGGCATATAATAATGCCTTTGCTGCCTAAATGTTGTCAGCCTCCATGCTAACCCTGCTTCACACTAAGGAGCGCTTTCACTGCCCTTACTGCTCTAGTAATGAATCATACTAATGTCGAGGATTGGAAACGCATCCCTTGTGTCTTACATAGTTTCAACATATACAAAAGCATAACCAGGATATTAAGAAGCCAAGACTGGCATTTAGTTGTAGTAGTTTGATAATTATCGTTTAGCTAACGTCTCAGCTCCCACACCATGTTTCTTTTAGATGCTGCGTACGGTGGTGGTGGGGCGGCTTCTTCATTGTTATGGTATTTGCTTGATGCACGTATCCGAGAAATTACATGGGTTGAGGAGCAACTCCATCGAGTTATAAAGAATTTCGAGTAACTAAGTATGCTGCCTGAGCATGCAATTTCTTCTCTTCTCGCAGAACTGACTGTCAACCCTAAACCCCTTGACCTAAGTGGGTATCACCAACTTCATATCCACCTTCGCTTGTGCTTCCAACATCTCAATATCCGAGATTAAATCCTCGATAGTCTAGTGGTGAGGATGCGAGCTTGTCACGCTCGAGACCGGGGTTCAATTCCCCGTCGAGGAGTTCATCTTTTGACTCTGGCGTTGATTTTTGTTGATATTGACGTTGACACAATCTTGATGTTTGGAGGTTGGTGGGACGGAGCTTCTAGGCCCCGCTGACGAGTGAGAAGGGCGTCTTGTTGTGTTGAAGCTAACTGATGCTGTGAAGGTTGCTCAGAACTAGACATTGGGGTTGTGATGGGTTGTGAGTGTTGGTTAACATGCGATATTGCTGTCTAGAGTGCTGTCTTCGTTGAAGCAACTTGCAAATTGATGGTCGAGATTCTTCGAGGCGTTGTTAATAGCCAAATATATGGATGACTAAAAGGGTTGATTGTTATCTACATCTAGGACTAAAAACTGATAGGCTACAGCCGGGAAGTTACACAGCATGTCACCACTAGGTCTCATCCTATCTTCATACCGAGTAATAGCAACTAATCGTACCTAAAATCATCCGCTAGGGTCTTCACTAATCTGACTACTGGAACGGTGTGTGGGAAACGGCCACACAGCTGGGGTAACAGTTTTGGGGAATGAGGATGTGCGAAGCCCAATGAACTTAAAAACTACAGGGAGACCAAATTCTAGTTTATAGAAAATGGTTTACTTGATTTGTGATTGTAGGTTTCACAGGGGGTGAAACAGGGGGTGAAACGGAATTCCGTTCGTCAATAACAAATAACAGTAAATTGGTTCTAATCGATGGTTCATGATGATAGTTGAAAGTGGTGTTGTTGACTAGAAGGTGGGGATATTCCCCCTTGGCCTGTCACGTGGGTCTGGGAGGCTTGGGCCTCTCAGCCTGGCGGGCGTGTGGCTGGAAGTGCCACACGGCTCCGTATTCCAACTATCGCAACACTGGAAACTCTCTTTTTATGGTGTTGAAGCGGTTGGAATACGTTGTCCCTATACAGTTCCGTCTCCTCGTCAATTCGGCCTCCTATCCCTACTTTCTCCCGTAGTTACGGTCTTGTTACCCATCCCTCCATACGTATCGTTATCGTGTTGCTATCAACGAATCTCTCGAGGGCTCGATTTGGTTTGCTCTTCGTGAGGGCATCAGCAGGGTTGTCTTCGCCGTTAATCCAACGAATTTCTTGTAGTTCTCGTCTTTCGTACGATTGTCTCAACGCCATGATATCGATCATGAGTCGCTTTTCTTTGGTAGTGCCCAGCTTCACGAGACACTCGTACAGCGAATAGGAATCGGTACAGACAACTGTCTGAATCGTTGGTAGGTTGAGGTGGTCAGTGATTGTCGCCAGGGTTGTGGCGAGGGCGTAGGCCATATCGACGCCAGCGACCATCCCGTAGATCTCTGACGCTAATACGCTGCGGGTGACTCGTTTACTCTTCGTAGAGCTGTAATGAACGAGGTTACCGTGAATCGTGAATTCTCCGTTGTTGCTGTCAGAGGAAGTGTCGTTGGCTAGGATGATCAGAAACCCTAATTGGGAGGAGAGGTCGTGGTTATTAGCGAACGACCCGTCAACGAAAACGAATAGCTTGGCTGTTGTAAGGTCGAGTGGGATAAACGTTATTCCTCGGTTAGGCGATTCTATTTGCCATCGAATCCGTTGATTCAGTGCTTTTATCGCTTCTGGCGAGGGGTCTTGGTGTTGGGCAGCAGTGGATAAATCGAAACAGGCCTCGGGTTGGCAAATTGACGCGATGTACGCCCCTCTGGCGCGTTGTTCGACATATTGCTGTTTTGGGTTGGGTTTAGTAGTCTCAATACATCGTAACTTCTTGGCTTGTCCCTTTTGCCTCAAATTGATCGAATTGTCGGTTGACAGCGCGATTATCCCTCCGTTGAATTGGAGGGGTTCGTCAATTGTGAGGATATTCTTCGCTTTTGCCGTAAAAGCCGCTTTTTCTAACTGTTCGTCTTCTAATTGTGAGAACGCCTTGTCTGACAAACCGAGGGTATCGTCGGTTTGCATGCCGATACAGCCAAAGTGTGGATTTTCGGTAGATGAGATCAATAGGCATGGATCGTACGAAGAAGTAACCATCTGGAGATTCTCTCTGTGATGCTTGTGATACGTTGCCCACCAGTGGGTTCCAGCTTCTGCGATTCCGTACAGAGGCTTCACAACCTCCATAATGGTCCCTTTTGGGTACTGGTCTTGAATTTGCTTCGGTGGGTAGGCGAGAATAGTACGATTGAGCCTTGTGGAGGATTGAACGTAGGCTTGTGTGATATCTCGAAGCCATAGTTGTTTCCCTTCTCGTAGGAGTGACGGGGTAATTGACAGAATTAGCCGTTGACTCGCCCGCTGAATCGTTGGCGATTGGGTCAATATAGCCTTCTTGCCATCGTCGGCGTAACCCTGTATTACAAGTCTCGATTTCTCGTAGGGTTCGGTTGTTTTACCCTTGACTTCGTTGACGATACGAGATCGGAAGATTCGTACGTTCTGGTGCCTTCTCTTATTGAACTGGGTGAATTTGAACACTCCTCTAGCGATGAGGCTGTTGATCTCTTGTTTAGTTGACTGTTCGAACGGTTCGCCTGGTGTAGTAATAACACCTTCTCGTCGTAGTTTGATTGCCAATTCTTCGTCTGCTTGCTCCTTAATCGATAGGAATATTTGTTGATAATCCGGGTCATCGTTGAATTCCTCTGTGAAGTGGGCGATTGGCAGTGGTCTCTTCCGGGGTCTGCCCGGGCGTCTTCTCGGTGGCTCCGGTGCCTCTTGCGGTTCGTCCGGTTCACTGCCTCCGCCGGCGACGATAATTTCGTCGCGTACTACTTCCTGCTGCGGTATCTCAGCTTCGGGTTCTTCTTCTTCTGGCGCGGCGATGGAATTAGGTGGTTGATCGGGATCTTCGTAGTATGGTTTGACTACGGTAGACCGGAAGGTCTTCGGACCACGTGGCGTATCGACAGTACAGGTTTCGCCGTTTATGGCTGCTAAAGTAAACGGTCCGGTCCAGCCCTTCTTTTCGCGTACATCGTACATATCGCCGCTGTATTTCATATCGTCGGGGTATAGTTTCGCGAATTCTGTTAATTGCTTTCCGATACGGTCTGTTGACTCGTATGGTTGGAAGTCTGTTAACGGAGAGACCGTGGGATGTGGCGGTCGGTACGGTAGTTGCCACTGTTGTTGTTCTTGTGGAGGAGGTGGCTGTAGGGTTGGTTCGACTCTTCCTCCTGTGCTGTTGGCTACTGTTGCCGGTCTCGTGATCTCTTCGTGGAATTCGGGGTCTTTTATCAGAGCCTTCAGGTTGCGATATCTCTTGACGCCTTGTTCGAGTTCTTGGGGTGACCAGTAGTGGAATTCTTCCTTTTTGAGGGCTAATGCCACGTTTTTCGAGATTTTCTTGCCATCCATTTCGACGTAGACGCCGTTACCGATTAAATAGTCTCTGAAGAATCGTAGGATTGGGGGAGGTACGTTCTGGAAGTCTTCTTCTGACCAGTCGGCGAAATCGGGAGAAACTTCGTTCCATAGCTCGAGGCCCGTGAGATTCCTCTTCTCATAGGTCTCAAGTAGGAAACCCATATAGGAACCCAGTTGCTGTGGGCTAGCGTTTGTAAGGTCGATTGCCCAGTTGCCCCATACTGCTGGATCGATCATACTTTCGATTCTCTGTGGGATGGGGACTGTTGATTGGCTTTTGGCAGTGACGCCGCTCGCGGGCGATCCTTCTCGTGAATTTCGCTCCATTCTGACAGTATAAAAGGATTACTTCTGTTCAGAATCTTGAATTCTAATCCTCAACAGCGTCAGCTGCGATTGGTGCAAGATGCAGGCCTGGAAGTGGGAGTCAAAAGACGATTCGGGATATTACGATTCTAAGGGGAAAGAATCGTGAAATCGGGGATTTTCGTCGGTTCGTCGTTTGTTTCCGTCGGCGCCGTTCTCGCTGATGTTCTCGAGGGGTGTGAGGGTATACACAGGTCTCGAATTGGTAGGGAGAGAGTTCTACCGTAGATTCTCTCGTGAATCTCTCTTTCTCGCTTCGGGCTTCGCTCCTCACTGTTGGGAAGTTTAGAATCTAGCGGACAGTTGGCCTTATGACGCCCACAACCACGTGCGTTTCTCCTAAGCCGCAGCCTCGGAGGCGTATACGTATAGCTGTATAGGCGGATTACCGCCGGTAGTCTCCGCTCGCCTTTCGGCGTGTTCTTCTTCTAGTGGGGAGGTCTCTTGTGGCAGGCGCCTCGCGGTTGGCACCTCGTCTGGGGATTTATTGAGAAACTAGCGGGCGCCTCGTGATTGGCACCGCGCGTGGGGGATAGTTGTAGTTGGGGAAGTTGTTATCCCTTGTGGGATTCGTGAATCTTCGCCCTTGTGGCGTGAAGAGGTTGGAAGACCGTCGATTCGGTAGGTCTCTTCTTCTGGTGATTGAAAACGCGTGATGGAACGCTCTTGCCAGCGATAATTGGCTGCGATTAACCTTATCCCGCCTAGGGTGAGCGTAGCAGTCCCTAGGTTACTCGAATAATCGGATTGCTGGTAGATTCGAGGAAAAGAAGCTTTCTTCTGCTGGTTTCCGTAGATCCCAGTTACTCTCGCTTCTTCTCTCGTTAGCACGAAATCCCTACTTTTACCTGGGCTTGGGTATCCAGTTCAAGAAGTCGTCTCTTCTGGTGTTGACCTTGCTGATCTGCGGTTTGTCCGTAGCAGAGTGGTAATTGTGAAGTTAACCAAATTAATGGCAACTGTGAGGTTTACCACTGATCAGTGTAGGTTTCACAGGGGGTGAAACAGGGGGTGAAACGGAATTCCGTTCGTCAATAACAAATAACAGTAAATTGGTTCTAATCGATGGTTCATGATGATAGTTGAAAGTGGTGTTGTTGACTAGAAGGTGGGGATATTCCCCCTTGGCCTGTCACGTGGGTCTGGGAGGCTTGGGCCTCTCAGCCTGGCGGGCGTGTGGCTGGAAGTGCCACACGGCTCCGTATTCCAACTATCGCAACAGTGATACAAACCTTGGCACCTGGGTAATCTATTAGCAAAGGCGGGTGATATGGATCATCCTATGTTTTGGTGCTTCTGATTTCGATTCTTTCTGTAGCCTAATTCTTATCTTTTTCTTTTCCCTCACTCTAACGGAAAATTTACCGTTTCTTGGGACTTCTTGGTGTGAAGTACAGCTGCTTTGGAGCCATTCTAAGGGAGAAACAAGGTTAGCCCAATACTGAATAGGCCTTCGCCATGCTCATCTAACATTCAAGATGATTCAAGTTTCGACTCAGCTTCATTAATGGCCGTAGGCGTCTGTCTTATGTTCGATCCAAAAGAAACTAAATTATCGAATACCATCAGTATCAATCCTACACCTTGCTTGATTGATTCATGTGGGGTGGCTGCTCTTTCAATAGAGAATGTTCACAACCTTGTTCTGGCCTGTATGAATACGAATATAGTCACTTTTGAAAATTTCTGCAATAACGCCAACCATTTTGATAAAAAAATTTACTATTTCGAGTCTGGCAGACTTCCCTTCAAGAGTTGTCTATAGCGGCCACTTTCCTCTCTTTTTCAAGTCATCCCTTGTTGCTCTCCAAGTCTCCGCATCAATCCTGTACACCCACCCAATAATCTTTTCATCATAGCTAACAGGTCCCTTCGTCTCAAGAGGCGCCAGGCCAAGAGAAGCCATAAGAGCTCTCCACGGTTGATTATCATCAGCCGTCTCGACACGCACAACACTGCACCCAAGCGCTTCAACTGCGTAATCAACCTTGGCACACAATGTCTCCCGTCCATATCCCTTGCCCCAGTACCGGTGATCGAGCACAACGCCCGTATCGGTGAGGTACGGGCGGCCTCGGGGTTCCGTGTCCCCCTCCTGCCGAGCGACGGAGTTACCTTCCGCGTCCTCGAAGCAGTTATACCCGCCGTTGCCGATGACCTGGCCTGTCTCGCGGAGAGTCACCATCATGAACGCGTTCACGCCGGCGACGGTCATGGGTTTCCAGCGCCCAATGCGGGCGCTCATGCTCTCTGGCGAGATATCGGGTTGCACTGTACCAAAGGGTTGGTTCTCAGGCGTTGAGAGGAGGTTGTAGAGTGCCTCGCCATCTTCAGGCACAGCACTGCGGATGATGAGACGCGGGGTTGTGATTTCGTAAGCTTCTTGCGGGAATGGGGCCGTCATATCGAAGATTTGGTTTTTGTAACAGTCAGGAATTGTTTGAAGTGGTTTGCTCAATTCACGGCGATACTAAAGGCAGCAGAATATTACGACGACGATGTGTACCGCTTATAAAGCTTATTGGTACCCGCTCTTGCAACTCTTTTGATAGCGATAGAAAAATGCTTAGTTACCTGAACTCTTGGTGACTCACACTGATAAGTAGTTGTTAGAGTGAGTAGGTCGTGGTAGCCCCTGAAAGCTTGTTGGAACTTTTGCTCCTCACCTTCCCGATTCGTTGAAGAGAGGCGTTCTAGAATGGGTAAACGGCCTGCTGTATGATTGAAGAGTCAGCGACAACAAAGCTGCATGCAGCATGCATTCCTGAATCAGCAGTTGTAGACGTGAGATTTCATTTGGCCTCAATTATGCAAAGGCCCACGGCCTTTGCAGGGGCACCCTCTCGCCTACTACGCCCTCACCATGATTACTTCATCTTATTCTCATTCCGATTCAATTGCAAGATGATTCAAAATAGACTAGAGTTATTTAAGCGTACAACAAGGCAAATAAGATATTCATTAGCCCGTGAATATGGGAGACAGATTCTGTAAGCAGGAGAATTGGGGTGTCCTGAATGCGGCTCTGTTGAAACTGGCAGCTGGCCAAGTTTAAGTTGCGTAATACCTGTCTCGGTTTGATTGCCGTTGATGTGAGCCTGTGGCATGGGTGTTGCGACTAGTCTCAGAGCCTTAGACGGCGTACCGCAGTCTTGAGGCAATAGAAAGCTGTTTGTTCAACTCGACATTTTAGAACTTGGATTCTGTGCACTTTTGTTATCCAGTCATGTCACCCTCTAACCACAATTTGGTGAGGAGGCCTGCAAACCTTTATACGATTCAGAGAGCTTAAAGTATGTACTGACAGAACTCAAAAAGAACAAGGTTTTTGCCAACCACCATCAAGACAGAAGATAACTCTGATTGCAAGTGTGCAGTTGTTTCTGGTCCGTGTGTGCTGAACTCAACTACGATAAACCATGCTTGAGAGCCTTGGGCCAGCCACAGCTCAGTCTGACTGGGCCCGCTCGTAAGAGATTGCAAGAGAAGAAGTGCCGGCCATCGCTGTGGCCGTCGAGTTTGAAGCCTCAGCTCTCGAGCCACACCAGTATGAGAATAGTATCACATTGATTAAACATCACTTAGAAAGCAGACAGCATAATAACAGTCGTAGCAATATCTGCATGTACAATTGTTGTGCGAATAGGCATGAATATTACATTTGGAAGCAAGGAATTCAAAAATCTTGTACTGTAAGTAGACAGGGCATCATCAGTTTCTTTTTGTTTCTGGCGTCTTTGTGAGAATACGTGCCAATGCTTTCCACATGCCGAGGTGCAAGATCGACAGTATTTTTAGGCCGGTTCATGGCTGCGAAAGGTGACGCCCGGAGTCCCCGCAGGCAGGCTGAGAAATAGCCAAGGGCAGGTTTAGAAAAGCGAAAAGAGGGACAGGCTTTCGACAGGCAACGCATGACGGCGTCGGCACGTGGTATTTAAGTGTGCATTCAAGAGAACATGAGAATGGCCAGCGGGTTGGCCAACAGGACAACAGCGATGTTGACTGGGTCAAACGCTGGCCAGATGGGTTGTTTCAGTGTCATGCGATGACGACGTCGCGGCCGTATCCAGCGGCAGTTGGTGCCGGGCCTTGCGTTCCCATTCGCCCGAGCAGCCCTGAAAGCGTCCACAAATGCGAGATTCACTTCACTTTCTACAGGGCTGCGGATTTACCTGCCTCCACCTCCACACGGCCGCTAAACCTGCCTTCCGCTGCCCTTTTATTGCCTTTTCTCGCCCACATCGGCCCAAGTCAACCCCGCTGCAATATGGCACCTCCCGCCATCAATCTATTAATTCCCCTTAGTCCCATCCTTATTCACGAAGCTTGTCTCAAAGTTGAGTACCGACGAAGCGAAAGGGGGCCGGTCTTCCGATGTCGTCGTTGACGAGGCCTCCCGATCCACTGTCCAGGGCCGACGAAGCTTGTGTTGAGGAGCAGCGGAAACAGGAACCTCGTCAACTCCAATCTCAGTGAACCAACTTTTTTTTCCACAAGTTCCAGCCTGAGATGATGGGGCAACGGTCTGGAACGACTCCATTTCAACTGGCTTGATATCGTGGAGCAGTTGCTTGTCTAAATACGCGAAGAGGCGGAGCGAGAGGAAGAGGGTAAAAAAGAAAGCCTGTCACTGGACTCCTGAGCGTTACGCACTCGTCTCAGAACCTATGGACCGTCTGAACTTTTCAAAGGGGGGAACAAGCTGCCATCGGAGGTTCGCCGCCGTCTGCAGGCGTGCACTAATAGGGCGGCGACTGGGTGACGGCTTTCAAAGTCGCACGATAAGGTCTTGGTAAGGGGGGGGGGAGGCCTTATGTTGCGTAGTATTGCCTGTTATGGGCCATCTCATAAGGGGCCTGAAACGAGGTTGCAGCCCCATTTTCGTCTGGACTCCCAGCAGCGCTTGTCCACTGCCCTACAACGGGACGGATGCCCTGTCCATTTTGTCGCCTCGAGCCTAAACATCCCTTGCTTTTGCGGCTGCTGCAGGCACCACCTCACTCAGGCTAGGCGAGTGGTCGCGAGACTAGGGACTAGGCCACCCCCCACGGAGAAGATTCGGTCTTGGACACCACCATTGTAAGGAAACTCCACCTACCTACGCCTCCGTCTCCACTGACAGATCCACCTGCGCGACGGCATCCGTTCCAGATGATCGTCGGAGCTGCGTAGGGGATCTGTGCTTGATGTCTTTTCCCAACTTTACTCCCACGAGGGAAACAGTCGAGGTTCAACATCGGAGAAAAAAAAAAGAAACTGCCACACAAGGAAGAGTGAAGAGTGGGGGTTGCGTTCCTGGCTCCCCCAGAAGCCTGGCCGAAGCTTCACCAAAGCGCTTACACACTTCTCAACCATAAACCATGCTCACCACCCTTTTCCCCTTGTCGAAACAAGCTATTCCCTGGAAGCATCATCTTCTTGCCCATATGGTCAGGGGTGAGGGAAGGCCAAAAGAGCCCCAACAACCATGTTGACACCGTTATATAACTTATTAGGCTCGCTCATCGGGTAAAACGTAGTCCTCCCTGTGCTCTTCCCGTTTGGATCGCTCACTCACTTTCCTTTCGTCGAATTATCCCCAGCCGGTCTGTTTCTCTTCGGCTTCTTCCTCTTTCGTTTCCTTCAACAAGGTGCTGGACACAATTCCATTCCTACTAATCCAATTTTTTTGACTTTCTTTTGCTCTCTTCTTTTTATCGCAAATCGAATCAGCCATGTCTTCTTCCATGAAGGCTTTGGTCACCTCCGCCTTGTTGGCGGTGGCTCACGCCCAGGGTGTTATCCTCAAGGCTCAGGGCCCAAAGGGTCCTGCATCTCTACCTCTTCAAGGTTAGTCACCTATCTCCAACATGGAACAACAAGTCAAGACATGGTAGCCAAGGGAAAGGCAAGAACAAGGGGCAATAATCTAACACATGCTGTAGTCGACACTAAGAAGGCCGACGCCAACATTATCAACACCAAGGAGGTTACTGATAACGCCGTCAATGAATGCGGCCGCACCATCCTTGGAGGCAACATTGACATTGGCGAGAACACCGAAAACCAGTTGATTGCGAAGACCGTCACACAGGTTACCCAGGGTAGCACCGTCGATGTTCAAATCGCACAAATCAGCCAGGATGGTGTCGGGCCTTACACCTGCGATATGGATCTCACCAGCAATGCCAACGGTGCGACGGGACAGACTCCTCTTCAGGTCCAGGAGAGCAAAGCGCAGAACGGCATTATCAATCTCAAGGTTACGATGCCTAGTAACATGACCTGTGTCGGAGGTAGGCTACACTGACCTCTCTTCAGTAAAAGAATGAGAAATTAACGCGGCTTAGCTTCCACCGGTGACGTTTGCACCGTCCGCTGCTTCAACTCTGCTGCAAAGGGCCCCTTTGGTGGCTGCTTCGCTGTACAGCAAACCGATACCACACCCAAGCAGAACACCCCCGACAACATCCCGACTGCTCAGACCTTGGACGGAATCCTCACTCAAGTTCAGCAAAACGCCAAGGATCTCCCGGCCGCTGTCAAGTCTAACCAGGAGGCCGCGACACAGGACGAGCAAGGTGTTGCTGCTATCAAGGAGATTCTCGGCAACAATGCGACGCAGGAGGCTGCTGGCCCTGCCGGTAATGCCAACACTGGCAACAATAACAACAACAACAACGCTGGTAACCGTAATGGTGGCAACAGAGGCAATGGCAATAACAATAATGCTAACAACGGCAACCGTAATGGCAATAACAACAATGCTAACAATGGCAATGGTAACCGTAACGGCGCGAACAACAACGCCAACAACGGTAACGGTAGAAACAACAATGCCAACAACGGCAACGGCAATGGCAGAAACAATAACGCCAACAACAACAACAACAACAACAACAACAACAACAACAACAACGCCAACACCAATACCAACAATGGCAACGGCAGAAACAACAATGCCAACAATAACAACAACAACAATAATGCCAACACCAATAATGCCAACACCAACAACGCCGCCAACACTAATGCCAACAACAACAACGGCAACGGCAATGGAAACCGTATTCAGCCTGCCCAGCTGGCTAACAACAACAATAACGGCAACGGCAACGGTAACAATGGCAATGGCAGGAACAACAACAACAAGCGGGACATCCCCCGTTCGCGCTTCGCCAGAAGGAACCGCGTTCCCCAGTACTAAAGGAGACTTGGTCACGAATAGAAGACCGGCTTTACTCTGGTTCCCGTCTAATGGCCATCCCCCTCGAGGCACTGTTGGGAGCCTTTTTCCATGGCAGTTATACTACATTCACATTGGTTGTTAGTTTTTTCTTGTAGCGAAAATAAATGTTGAGAGCCAATCAAGCATAGCGTGTTAAAAAGGGAGCATCATTTTGATGGGGCCATGCGGCTGAGATCTTGTGTGTTGTCCTATTGCGTTGAAGAAATTGCATTTGTTCAAAAGCCACATTTAAAAGAAAGAAAGAAAAGATAAAAAAAAAGGACCAAAAACTTAATGGAAGACGAAACCTCCGTGTCCGTAGTCTGTGTGGTGATGTGATGAAGATGGGATGATGTATCGTCGGGGAAGATCAGATGCCGACTTGAGTGCTTTCTTGGGATTGAAGCCGCTTGGATGTAATAGGGCTGGGGATTTCAATTGATGTTCTCGTTTCGGTTGACAAATGTGCTGAGTAAAGATTGAGATTTTAAAATATTTCTGGATTGTGTTCCTGCGTGACATTTGAAAGAAGTTGGCGTTGGTTATACATGGTTGTTGAGCTCAGAGCAACTGGTTTTGTGACGTTAAAGTTTTTCAATAAGTGGTTCAAGGTGCGGCAAGAGGCGCGTCGATGGAGGCGTAACCAAAGACTGCAAAGTGGCTGCAGTGGCTGTGTATGTAACGATAGTGGCCAAAGTGCCTATGGAAATGATGGATTCACGGCGAAACATGTTGGCTTAGAGGTCTTGTCTGAGACTGATACTTTCCCTTCTGTATTATGAAGAGAAGATAAATACGCAATCTACATAAATAAGAATCCTACCATGGTTGAAAGACAGAATTATACCCCACTAACCCATGTGAATACACGTTAGTAGTAGACTAAACAACCTTATATTGAACTACCGTAGAATGTCTAACACTCTTAACTACAGCCGTTAAAGTGATAAATACATTAGAACTACGATATATTATACCCGTATAGAGACGATTCTCTTGCATTAATGTGCTGTTCCCCTGCATTCTTGTATCGACTATGTGGCCGCATCTCCTGCTCCAATATGTCTAACATCTCATCTCCCATCACGCCTGACAAATCGGGTCTCTTTTCAATAGTAATAATGTGCCATATAAAGACCATATCAAAATCTATCAAGTTGTGTCTATCAACTAATGTTTAGATCATTTCCCACCGAAAAGTTTCCTGAGCCAGTGTGCTGAATCCCTCTCCCGTAAAAGTTATGTCTACCCGGAGCATTGTCAAGCTCAGACGGTGGGGAAAAGGTCGGAGCTTTTTCAGTACGTGCAGCCTCAGGATCAATGTAGCTCAGAAGTTCTTTGGCGTACGCAGCGGCAGCGGCCGCGGCGTAGTGCTGCCAGTCATCACTCTTATGCGAGTCGGCGTAGTCCGAAATGCCGCGGATGACGATGCAAGGAAACTCGGTCATGATGCCAGCTGCTTCCATCTCAAAGCAAAGTATGTCGCCGACGCTACGGATAATTTCATTCCTCTTCGACGTGCTTTTGATCACGCGATCGCCAGAGGCTATGAGACCGTAGTGTATTTCAGGGCCTTCGAACTCACGAGGGGCTCTGATTGTCAGCCTTCCCTTGTCACATCCTTCGCAGGTGGATCTCGAAGGATCATGAGGATAGTCTTCTTCAAACAAGATGTCAAGGTCAGTAGACGGCCTCTTGTAGGTAACAAGGCGCCGTCCCCTTCGCAGCATCGCCGAAACGAATTCATCGATTTTGTTGTCGTTAACATAGTGATCGGATTTCATCTTTACCACAGCACTCCTTAAAAGAGTCGGCGGAGGCACAAGGAAACCCTTGAGGGAAAACCCGCCGTCTGTCTCCTTTCCAAGGTCGTACTGGACAACGCCTCCGTGCTGCCCCTCGGGCATGCTCACAACTACATCCCCCAGACGGATGTTGTGCTTCTTGCTTGGGACGCCCCCGCCGATTCCAACGAAAAATCGCCATTTAATTGATGGAAAGGTGCGCGCCATATTCGTGGCGACAGTTGCAGCAGCGCCTTTCCCTTGGTTGCCAGGGAGGCACGCGAGAACCACATTGTGGCCGTGTAGGTCGCCCAAGGTATAAATGTTGGAGTCGCCATCTTTCGTCGGTAGGTTTTTGTGCTCCCGATCCAGCATGAACCGGAATGCGCTCATCTCAAAGTCGATTGCACAAACAACCGCGACGGTATAGTCCTCATAAGTTCTGTGATCATCTTGCATCTTGACGCTCTTGAAACTTCAACTCAGGTTTAACAGCAAAAATTGAAATGAAACCTGTTGATGTAGCTCTGTTGGGAATGCTAGTTGACACCAAGGTAGGCAGCCTGATTTTGAGGTTTTTGTCTAGCTGCCAAGATCCTGCTTACATTATTGCTCTGCAGCGAGCCTGGTGAGTTGGAACCCACGTGATGTAAATGGCAATGCAAGCAGGCTCTGAGTTAGTGAACGAAATGGAAGTATTCATGTGCTGCGCCCTGTTGGCTGGAGAGGCCTGAATACGATGGGTTTAATGTGGTTTAGTGAGGGGCGCAGCACATTGTTCTGGCCTAACAGAACTGCAATACCACAAACCCATCACCGCTTGTTGGCGTCTTTCTTTAATATGACGTACCAAACGACATGCGTTTGGTGCCTTATTGAGGTATAACAGGATCTACGTTACATATTTGTCTCTAAGGTTCAGCCGCAACACTTGCCCTCATGTTTTAACAGTTACCCTGCAATACCGCTCCTGCATGTGTAAACGGCCGGCTAAAACCTCCCACATCCAACTTGGCAAATCAACCATCGACCAATAGACCCAGCAAGAACACTCCCAACAGGGCAACTACGGTAGGGTTCCATTGGGCTTCCATCAGACTGCGCAAGTACAATTGCTCCCTGCCTGTAGCTGCACGCGCCCAGTGGCTCGCCTCGGGCGTTGGTGTACAGGTTGAGCCTAGGGTTCATACCAGGGATACGGACGTTTCCTGCGTAAGTAATCGCGGGCTGGTCGATACCAATTTCAAATCCTCTGTCGCCCCGGCTAGTGGCTGGACCGAGATTCATAATGTACGTTGAGGCGCCAGTAATCGCACCATTATCTCCTCTGACTGGGACGTCGTACGTGCCAGTCCCACCAGATGCCTGTACACAATAGACGTTGCGCAGATCGGCTTCGGGTGCGGTAGTGGGATTGGAGGAGTTGATGTACACCTGGACCCTCGCGTGGCAGACGTAATTGCCAGCGCCATAGGTGATCGTGTAGCTGTAGGTGGTAGCCGAGGCGAAGGACACGAGCTGTGTCCATGCCAGAAGAAGAGCTAAAAGCCCGTGCTGCACAGAAAATGCCATGATGATCTTGATATTGATTTGTTGGGATGAAAGATGGAGCTTGATATGTGAAGCGTCAAATCCAACATTAGATGGTTGCTGTTCCGTTGACTTTATACTGCAGTTCGCTTTGGGGCTTGCGGGCAACTTGGGGCTGAAGGACAGTTCGAAACTTCAGTTCTATTCCCAAAATGTGATTAGAGGCATTTCTGAGTTTAACGGCATCAGTTGTCCTTTCTGAGATAGATTATTTTGGGTAGCAAAGCTTTTAGAATGACATTGTTACTTTGGACAACCTTTTGACCTACAAGGTTTTCAATCCGGAGATATGAACCTAAGGCTCCATTTTCATCAGCCATTTTACTGCCTTTGATATGTTAACAAAACGCATATTTACTGAAACTAGTAGTCAAGTAAAAGGAAGGAGCCATGATTGCCGATACATACAGCCTTGGGCATCGGGCTCTGCTCAACCGATCGCTGCAATCGCAGTGGGATAGAATCCACGTCATGAATCAAGCCGTTCGACCTAGTGTCATTGACTTCACAAATATTTGGACATACAAGAACACCAAGACAGTTATGGCAGTGAACTGTATTTAGGTTTAAGCCTAGTAGCAGGTCATTTCCCAAGTTCGGCAACTGACAAGTTCCTGCAACTCAAAGTTTAAAAACACCTAACAGCCATCGCGCGCGCTTAATATACTTACCTTTGGTAGTTACATGCTAGTTGAAGTATAAGTTATAGGGCATTTTGGGTTGCCGAGCTTACCGATCATTTCTATTGCCAGTTACATGCTAAATCTATTTCCACAACTCTGGTGTTCTCCCCACGGAGTAGAGAACTTGTCTCGTCACATTTGCACCTTTAATTATCCCAATCAAGGTGTGTGTCAACCGGACTTACAGGTTGCAAGTTATCTGCGGTAGGGTGATGTGTCAATCCGCACTCAAGCTAGAGACTAGTAAACGTCTGGGTTGTTTCAATCAATCGACTTTTCAAATGAGAGACAACACTGGACACAGGTCTTTCAGTAGGGTTGTTTTCGAGAGCAGTTCATTACACATGAGATACGTCAATATGAGGGTGATATGGCATGAAACCCAAAATCAAAAGGAAAAAGCAGGCGGCCGAAAGGCCACACCCGTTTGGATGTTGGCACCTTGGCGTAGTGACATGCAGCAACATTCGCTGGCCAATGGTTGAGGAAATCATTCAAGAGGGCGCTTAACCTGCAGGTATTCTAGCCGCAGTAAGCACTCATGATGACAATCATCCGTTGGTCGCACATCCTCAGCCTGATCATTATTTTTTCAGAAAACATTCGTGGATACATAACTCTTGTTGGAATTGTTCCTCTCTTATCCCGACAACGCTTCTACTAGGGATAGATCCAGGCGACGACCGTACCATAAACAAGTCTTGGCCATAGAAAGCACGCCATCGAAGCAACCATTCAGGTACGAGGCTCGTGTCTCCAGTCCTTATGGCGACAGGGGGTCAAGCCACAGACCATCACCGGTCTGAATTCCACGGACAGGGGATTTCACTCTCAGGCTCTGGAAATGTAAACGCCGGCAGGGATATAATCATAGGTGGGCATGTTCGTATTTCCATAAGGTTTGTACTGACAGGCTGGGTGTCACGCAGTCAATTTGCCCACCACTTATGGGGTAAAAAAAGATGCTTCCATTCATTAGAGACTGTCTAGGGGTTATTGGGTTGATTATATAACCGTCTATTCGGTAATTACCGATTTGAAGGTTTTCATGCACAAAATGACATCCCCGTTAGTTTTATATGGGAAACAATAGCCGGGTGCATGGGTTGAATGCATGCCCCGATATATGCAGTGGTCCGTGTGACACACCCCCTCAGAGAGGCAACCTGTTGTAGGTTGATTCTCTGTATTCTCATTCAAATACAGAAATGATACTATTCAGAACTCCGTATACTTACTACCAAATTCCAGATTCATACTGCGTTCTTCTCGATCAAATGTTCAATATTCGCCATACCCAATTGGGCGATAAAGTGGTTGTGTTTTTGGGCTGGCATTGCTTTAGTCATACCGTCTGCCACCATTTCGTTGGTTGGAACCCATTGAAAGTCAATTGATCCCTTCTGTAATTCCTGGCGAAGCCATAAGTTGTTGATATTGATATGGCGTAATTTGCTAGTCGCTTGGGGTCTTTCAGCAATCAATAGTCGAAGAGTTTGCTTATTGTCGCATTGCATGATGTATTTATCATCTAATTGGAGATTCAATTGTTCCATGAGTCGAATGGTTGCCATATATTCTCTTGTGGCTGCTGTCAAAGCAGCAAGCTCAGCTTCTGTGCTTGAAGTGACTACTCTTCGTTGTTTGACTGCTTTCCAATGAATTGGACCTCCGAATAGCATCATCACATATCCTTGAGTGCTTTTTCGAGTGACAGAGTCATCAGCGAATGAAGCGTCTGAGGCGCAGTAGAGGACTCCTTTCCCTTTGCAGTTGAACTCGATAGCGAGGTATTTGTTGTCCTCAAGATATTGTAAGCATTCATATGCTGCTTTCTGGTGTTCAGAAGATGGATTTGATAGGAATTCTGCTAGTCTCGAGCTTGTTCGAGCTATATCTGGTCTGCCAATCACTCCAGCATAGTTGATTGATCCAACCTTCCGTTGATAGTAGTTGATTTCCTCTGGCGTAGCCTGACCAGGACTTAGGACCAGGTTATCTATTGCCATAGGTGTTTGGCGTCGCTTGGTTGAGGTTCTGATCTTGAATTCTTCAGTGACCTTAGATATATAGTTGTCGAGACTCATCCATAGTTGACGGGTTTTTCGTTCTCTTATTATTCTGACTCCTAGGAAGATACTCAATTCTCCCATATCTTTCATTTCATACTCCTTTTTGAGTTGTTGAACTGCTTCTTTTACTTTGGTTTCATGCTTTTTATGGTATATAAGCCCAATATCGTCCACAAAGTGGAATACTATGAAGTATTGATTGGTGTAGATACAGTCATCTTCTTGGAGTGGGATAAGGCCAAGCTTCTTGAATGATCTCTCCAGATTCTTTTGCCATAGCAGTGGGCTTCGTCTCAATCCATATAGTGCTTTTCGCAGGGCAAGACAGTATCCCTCTTGTCTGAATCCTGGAGGAAACCAAACATAGACTTCCTCATCAATTGTGGCATGTGTAAATGCGTTGACTGCGTCCAATTGAAGAGTCTCTAAGTCAAATCTCGCCACAATTGCCATGAGACTTCGCAGCGATATACCAGCAAGCGTTGAGGCATAGGTCTCTAGTTCATTTGTCGGTTGGAGATCTCCTCGAACACAGATCCTCGCTTTGAACTTCTTGAGATATCCTTTGCTGCCCTTATATGTAAATACCCACTTCAATAGGATAATTCGCTAAGTGTCTTGATCAATATTGCCAAGATCAATCATTTCAAACGTGCCCATTTGCCATAGTGATCTGTTCTCAATATTCATTGCAGCAATCCATTTGTGACTGTATTGGTGTTTGATCGCTTCACTGTAATTCTTTGGAACTGGTGGAAGTGTCTTTTGGTGTGGATTGCCTAAATCATCTGCTGATGCATCCCATTGATCTCTTCCTTTTACTGTATCCGTAGATTGCAGTGTGAAGTGGGATTCTCTTGCTCTTCTCAGTCTTTGTGATGATCTTGTTGCTTCTGGTGGCTGTTGATTTGTTTGACCAAGAGGGGCTGATCGATTGTAGATGTTGTGATTTCTGCTGCCACGAGGTCTTCCCCTTCTCGCTATGTTTGGGATTACTGTGGAGGAATCTTGTGGTATGATTTCTTCTGGTTCCAATTCTATGACTGGTGTCTGTTGTAGTTCGAGTCGGTCTGTTGAGGTTTCCTCTATGGTCTCACTTTGATCCGATTGTTCTGGAGTTGGCGATACTTCTGGAGTTTCTGGAGTCTCCCTCACCCCCTCAGTTGTTTGAGAATCTGACAGCTGTACTGTTGGTGATAGAGAAGTGGGTGTAGGTAATTGAAAATCCCCTGATTCTTTCTCCTGCATCGGTGTTGCCGGTGTTGTTTCTTGAGCGGCTGGATTCGAGGCGGGTAGTGGCCCGGTAATATTATCGCTGAAATCTTCTCCATCCTAGCTAGCTGTGTCTAGGTCTTGTTCAATTGGATTTGTGAATGGGATATCTATTTCTGTGAACTGGAATTCAAGTTCTATTTGGCTTAACTTGCTGGTATCCTTAATCCTTGGATCATACAGCGTGTTTTCGTCGAAAGTAACGTCTCTAGTTCTCATGACTTTTCCTATTGCTGGGATCCAGATTCTGTAGATATTTGTGCTGTCATAACTACATAGATAGCCAATATGAGCTCTTGGCGCAGTTTTGTTTGACTTTTCTATTCCTCTCTTGTAGTTTTGTGTCAAGGGGTAAGCTCTGCAGCCATATCGCCTCAAGTGTGCTAGTTGTGGCTTTTCAGCCCTCTTGTGGGTAGACTGTTGATGAGAGTTCAGCCAAGTGTTGACCAACCCCAATGGTGTCTGCCACTTGTGGCGTCTTCGAGGCAATCTGTTTGACAGATAAACTGCTGCTTTTGCTAGCTCTGGTGCCATCAATTCAGGAAAGCGAGATTGAAATCGAAGTGCTCTCATGATCATAAACACAGCACCTCCAGCTCTTTCTGCTGGGTTTTGAGCACCAGTGTACTCAGCTGATCTTTCAATCATATATCCATTCACAGCTGCCCATAGTTCAAACGCATTGCGTAAAGCAACCTCCCAATCTAGGCGTAGAATAGAGATTTTGATAAAGCACTGTCTCTCGAGGTATGCTGCTAATTCTGTCATAGCTTATAGTCCCTCCTTTCGAGTACGAAGAGTTCTTATCCAGAAGAACCCTGACCAGCCATCGCTGACCAGCAGGATCACCTTCTCCCTATTATATGCTTTGCTAAGTGTAAAGAAGTCGAGAGATAGATAATCTCCTACAGCAGTTGGCCAATGGTCTAGGTTTCTGTAGGAAATTTGGCGAGTTGCCTTCCCAACAGCACAGGCATTACATTCCACTTTTGTGATTCCTTTTATCTGTATCCCAAGAGCTGTTTTAAGTAGCTGTTCCAGTCCCTTAGCGCCTGGATGACCAAGTCTCTCATGCCATAACTTGGCTTCTGCTGATGATGTTGGGAGTGGTTGTCTTGTTGACTGAAAACCTTTGGTTGGTTTCCTTTCTACGGTTAGGCTGAATCTCACAGTCTTCTCGGTATTGCTAAACGAGGTATTGTTCAGCAGAGCTGGGCTAGCTTCAATAATGTATTAACCATATCGGTTTGGTGTTTTGAATAGAAGTCTGCCTTTTGAGTCGATAAGACCCGGTATTCCTGTTGTAAAGATGATCCCTTTTTGCTTCAGCGGTTCTGTCCCAAGGAGCGATGTTGGGTATCCAGGCACAAGCCATACATTTCTGACTTTGATCTCCTTGTTGTTGGATTTGCCGCCTTGGTTTGGTTTGATGATCATTGTGCCTTTCGCAATTGCATGTACATCTCCTCCTCCAGTGGTGAAGTCTTTTGTGACTGTGTAGTCGAGATCATGAAGTCTTGAGGAGTCGTTGCAGATGTGGAATCCTGTTCCTGAGTCTACTATCACACTGTCTGACAGTGGGAATCCTGAATAGAGACTTGCTTCTCCTTGATTGACGATAGTGACGAAAGATGAGAGTGATCCTTCTCCATCAGACACTTCTTAAGTATAGTGGGATGATGATTATGTAGTGTTTCTCCAGTTTGAGGAAGATGTTGCTCGATCTGGGGACTTTTGAGACTGCTGATCGCTTGCCCCTTTTCGTAGTTTTTCAACTATTCTCTTTAAGTGTGGTTTCTTCTGGAGATACTCATTCAATCTTTCTAGTGCTTTCTTATTTTCTGGATTATCTTCATGATAGTTTGGGCCTCGCTTCTTAGGGTTAGCATGTTTGCAATCAACAAATCGGTGACTTTCGTTTAGGCAAGCTGCACACTTTTGCTCTCGTTTTGCCCCCTGTTTTATTCCTTGTTCGTTTTCTCCTTGCCAAGTAGCGAAACTCGTGTCTTTTAATGGAGCAGCATTCAGCCAGTCTGGGTGGAAAGTTCTTACCCAACTGCGGAAATCGTTAGCTTGCTCAATTCCAGCAGTCTTGCTGATCGAACTGTAGGTTGGGTCATCCTTGTATCGCTTTGTGAAGTCGTAAGAGGCAGATGTATAGTAATCTGGTGCAATTTGCTTGACTGCTTTCAAGAACTCAGAGACTTGAGTAACTGGATCGCTGAGAGCAGGGATTCCGATTGTTTGGGCTTCATCCATGATTTCTCGATAGATTATGAGCCATCCTCCAAGTTTTGCTCTTTTGATTGATAGCATATGCTTGTTATATCTTTCCAATACTATTTGTTGTCTCCCAAAGTTGTCTGGCGCTAGCTGTTTTTCAAGAGCTTTTATGATATCCCTGACTGTTTGCTCCTTGCTGACTTGGCTGATATAAGTGGCTGCTACAGTGTTCATGATCCAACTGTGAATTTCTAGAAGACTTCGCCGAACCTGGTTGTATTGGTCTTTTTCTTCTTGATAGATAGCTTTTCTATAGCTGATAACGTTGCTATAGTTTGCTCGTTCTTCTTGTCTGAGGTCTTTTGGGTCTGGGAATTCCAATCTTGGCTTAGTATTAATCTTGGTTCCTTTTGGATTCACATAGTCCCAGACTTCATGAACGTTTGCCAGCATCTGTAAGTTGTTGAACCAGTGGTTCCAGTCGCTGTCAGTCTGTAGCCGCTGTGTGTATTTTGCAGTTTCCGTAGTTGAATTCATGATCTCTCTTGAAAAGAGAACTGGTCTCTCTCTTCTGATCGTTGTGCAGTTGGTTTTTCGCCGTGGCCAAGATTGAGTTCGTGACTAGACACTTCTTGTTTCAAGTTGGTGATTTTGTCGATTGTTGCCTAGAGGTTTGAGGGTATATAGCCAATCTCAACGCCTCAATTCTCAACAAAACGCAAGACGCCCCCCCTGTCTAATGAACCTGCCGTTTAGTGTAGTTGGTCTAGCCACCCAACTTGTAGCTATTCGCAAGGACCGTAAGACTAGCAAGCTCCCCTTCGTGGGTTCAATTCAGGGTTGTGGAGTTTTCGCAATTTGTAAAAAGTCTTATCGGTTCCGTTACACGAAGACTATAAAGTGAACCACCTGTTCGTCTTATCTGCCCGAAGCTTTCAGAGGCATAAAATGAGCAACTAGGTGTCTCTTCCGTTTCGTAATTCCAACCCTCCTGGCTGCGTATCCGTGGTATGGTCGAGCATGAACTTATATAAGGTTCAAGTTAAGAGTCCTGGGTTCAACTCCTCAGATGTGGTAAGTCCCCCTGAGTTGAGATGAACTTTTTGTGATTTTTTGATAAGTGTTGATGATATGAATTGATGACCAGAAGTTCTTTTGTGATTGAATGTTTCAACACTTCAACGTTCAGCCTTGTGTGATTGGAATTGATGTTTTGTTTGGTGGACTTGACTGCCAAAGTCTCATGGGTCGGTAACTTCGTCAATTGAGTGCCCTTGTCTATGGCATAAGTCTGAACTGCTCCCTTCTGGAAGTCGGTTTTTCAATTGGTAATTGTCACCATGAGGTACTGGGCTCATAACTGTCACGCAGTCAATTTGCCCACCACTTATGGGGTAAAAAAAGATGCTTCCATTCATTAGAGACTGTCTAGGGGTTATTGGGTTGATTATATAACCGTCTATTCGGTAATTACCGATTTGAAGGTTTTCATGCACAAATGTTAGATAAACGATATTAGTTTGATGCAATACACCTGGGGTTCATTGAGCAAAGAGTGATTCATGTTGTTGATTGAGTGATTCTACCTATTCCGGTTGAAGCGGGGTTCTGTTTTGTATCTACCCGTTCTTCCCGGTTTTAGCATATTGCAAGAATGCAACTAAGCTAGATTTCCTAGCATTTTATCCGGACGCAGGCGTCAATCTAACACACCCCCCCAGTTGAGGCCGCTTAGGCAGAGACTGATCCGCTGGGTTACTTAGTTTTCCAGTTTTTCCATTTCACCTAGAAGTTCCATTTCTCCCAGTGTGGGCAGCTTTCTCTTCTCTAGGTGGTTAGAGATGTCCACTAGGCCGATTTGTTTGATAAACGTCTTGAATGGCGTATGGCTCATCGGTTTAGTCAGTCCGTCTGCAACCATATCTGCAGTAGGTCTGTATTCCACTTTGATTCTATTCAATTGAGCTTCCTGTCTCAACCAGTGGTTGTGTATATCAACGTGTCGGAGTTTTGTCTGCAACTTGGTGATATCCTTGTTGATCAGTTATATTGTCTGGATGTTATCGCATTGTATTCGTATCCGTGATTCATCCAATTGAAGTCTAAGTTCCTTAAGTAGTCGCGATACGAATATAGCTTCTTTAGCTGCCTGAGCAAGAGCAAGTAGCTCAGCTTCTGTTGTTGAAGTAGTAACGGTTGCTTGCTTATTAGCTCTCCAACCGATAGTGCCTCCAAACAATCGCATTACATAGGCTTGGGAACTCTTGCAGTCCTCTGTATTGTCTGCAAACGAGGCATCGCTTGCTACGAAGAACTCATCGTCTCCGCCGAATTGCAAGGCAAGCGATTTGGTTTTCTTCAGATAAAGCAGAACCTGGTCTGCTGCTTTGTGGTGTTCTGGACCTGGGTTTGCGTTGAACCTGGCTAGTTTTGATGCTGCGAAAGCTATGTCAGGTCTAGTAATAACGGCAGCATATAGAATTGATCCAATCTTGCGTTGGTATCGCCTTATGGACGCTATGCTAGCTTGTTTTTCATACGGTCTTAGCTCTTCGCGTCTCATAGGAATGTCATGTCGCTGATCTCTATCTTCAGATAGGTTAGCAATCTTGTCAATATAGTCTGACTGTAATAGCCAGATAAATTTCTTGTCTCGGTCTCGAATGATTTCGATTCCAAGGAACCACTGTAGTGGTTTTCCCCCCGTTAATTTATATCGTCTCTGTAACTTTCCTGTTACTTCTTTGATTTCATTCTCTTTCTTCCTTTCATATGCCAGGACTATATCATCCACATAGAAGAAGATAATGATAGCTCCTTTGATCATGCAGCAGGGCTCATGTGGAACGGTTTCAAACCCGAGGTCTTTCAGCGTAGCTATAAGGTCCTTTTGCCACAGGAGTGGTGACTCTCTTAGGCCATACAACGCTTTCTGGAGCATCAGGATGATTCCTGGTTTCCGATAGCCTGGAGGCATGCGCATGAATATGTCCTTGTCTAGCTTTGCGTTTACAAACGCGTTAACGGCATCATACTGGATTAGTTCGAGGTCGAAACGTGCAGCAACCGCCATCAGTGTCCGGAAAGACCGTCCTGCTAGTGTTGCGGCATAGGTTTCTTCATGTATTGACTTGATTTGCTAGTCTCCTCTGACCACGAGGCGTGCTTTGCCCTTTTGAAACCGTCCATGCTTGTCGAATTTATATACGTATACCCACATGCAGTCTAGGACCTGACAGTCCTTCGCACGGGTGTCTTTTCGACTTATTTCAATCCAAGATTTCATCTCGGCGTGACTGCGTAGATGTTGTTGTTCCGCCGTCTCGAATAGCGTACCCATGGGGTGGTTTCTAAGATCAGCATGGCTTCGCGGTAACGGAGGCATCTGCCGCCTGTATAAGCAACTTAGATTCTTTAACAGTCGTTAAAGCTTTGCTTTGTCGATCTGCTTTCCTTCAAAGATGCCCACCGGCGTGGCCTGTCGTCCAGCCGCAAACGCTGCCTTCTATGCTTCAAAGACATTATATAAACTTTCACCTTTCTAAGCATTTGCTTATAGGAATTCCGAATCATCCCGAATCGTTATAGCTAGAAGTGCTGTCGGTAGAAGAGACATAGGGGATGGGTACGGACGACTCTAGGCATCAGAATTCTTGGCTTGGTCATCGGTGCCGGCTTCTGCCTGGTCTCCCGTGCCGCCTTCTGGTTTCCCCAGGTCGACTTCCGCGTCCCCGGTTTGTCCAGAGCCTTCGTCGGTACCAGCTGGTTGATCAGACTCAGCCTCCAACTGTTCAGCTCCTGTATCTCTTTCTACTTCATAGAGAACGGCATCTTCCCAACTAAGCTGGGTTCCGACGTCCTCGTCTTCTCTATAAAGGCCCTCCTAATTTGTTTAGGGTATAAAGGCACCGGTATGGTCTTCTTCTGCTATCATATTTCGGTCTGTTTCTAGTTCCTTAACCTGGTTAAGTAAATTGATTAGCTCTTGCTGTCCGACGTGAAGGAGGTCATCTCTTAATTGGTTCAAGTTTCCGTTAAATAATTCGTCTTCGTTAAAAATAACGTCTCTTGCTCCGACGACTCTTCCAGTCTGAGGGTTCTATATTCGATAAATGTTTGTTGACTAGTACCCCATAAGAAAACCGATCCATGCTCTTAGGTTCAACTTTTGCCTTTTCTTCCGTTATAATTAAGCATCCGTCGTCATAGCATATGCCTTGCATCCATAGACACGTAGGTGTGCTTGGTATGGCTTTCGGTCTTGGACCGCAACCCCGTCTCTATGCGCTAGGGCGGTGTAAAATCTATCGTACGGTGTTCGCTAGCTATACATATGCTTTGGCGTCCGGTTGTACAGATATACAGCTGCACGGTAAATCTCGACCCATAGATGCTCTGGCAGCCGAGCTCCTATCCTCATAGCCCGCGCTTTCGCCTTGATAATTCTCCCTGACACCTCAGCTCCTCCGTTCTGTGCTAGGGTGTTCGGAGCTGATGCTTCGACTCTGATATGTTGGGAGTGAAGTAATACAGATACAACTCCTCCCGTCACGATTTCATTATCGCATTCGATAATCTTTGGTTTGATTTAGTATTGTCGTTCGAGTATGCCGGTTATGTTTTTCAATACGATACTAATCGTTCCTATTCTTCTTTCCGCAAGGTAGTAGTCCTAAATCATTCCCGACCAGCGGTCCGTAATTAGCATTACGCTACTTCTGCCTATAGGGTCTTTTAGAAGGTTATGAAAGTCGATTGCTAATCGCTCACCCGGGCTGTAGCCTACGTTCCGTGGTTGACGGCTTATTTGACGCTTTATCTTGGAAAGTGCGCATCCATCACATTCTACCGTGGTTAGTCCTTTTATCCGGACCCCTTGTAAGGTATTAACTAGATGTTCCAGAGCCTGAGGTCCTAGGTGTCTAAGTCGAAGATGCCACCTCCTTGCGTCTGCTTTCATAGCACCTTTCTTTGTCCAGGAGTTCAATTTGTGTCTTCGAGTAACGAATGCAGTATTCGGCGTGTTAGGAGGTATATCTTCGATGACGAATTAGTCATATCGGTCCATAACCTTGCATACGATTAAGTTATCGAATGACCTTATGTAGTTAGAACGAAGACGATTATCCCACCAATATCCGCGTTTTCTTAATTGTCTAAGGGATACCAGATTGCAAGGGAAATTTCTACATAGTGCGACATCGTTCAGTTGGATTATTCTTAGTCCTCTCGGTCCCTGGGTTTGTATGTTCACATTCCCGTATCCTTGGATAGGAATTCTGCTTTCTCTAGCAAGGATAAAATCCCCAGCCTCCGATCGACGGAAGTTGTTAAACCGGTTGAAGTTATTAAAGATATGTATTGTTGACCCTGAGTCAAGAAGAGCCGAATTCTTCAATGGGTAGTATGTAGTGCAGGATATCGAATTAAACGCAGAGACAACGAAGCTAGCTGTGCACTCTCCAATACTTCGTCCTAGTCAATCGGTAGCTTCAACGTGTTTGACTTTCTTGATGCGGTTGATTTCATCCTTGAGAGATGCGTCGTTCTTAAGTCGATATTCAACCGCATCACGGATTAATTTCCTGCCCTTAAAGTAGTCTAGTACATCGTTAGAAAACACATAGTAGCAGTTTTCTAGAGCGTGATTGCCATCACAGGCTTTACACACTATATTAGTGCTCCGTATGGTGACTATGCGTTTTCGCTTTCGGCTGTTGACTTGGTCTTGACTAGGTTGGCTCCCTTCTTCGTTATGCGTTTCAGCCTCCGTCCAAGATGTATTGTCGCGGTCTGCGGCAAAGGTTAGGCCAAATACGCCTTTGGTTATTTGGGAACCTTTCTCTCGCAAGCTAAGAAGATCTCGACGTTCTGCTTCCTTCCTGAGGTCTTTTGCAACCTCTCCGATCGTCAATGATTTTTCCTCAAGTTTGTTTTTATAGATTCCAGCATATATAGCTGCCCAACTTCCCAGAATTGGTTGGATGGCCTTGGTCAAATCGTCGAACCAAATATTGGGGTCTTCCACGCCTCCGGTTTTCCTCACGAGCACATGGTTTGCCGCCATTTCCCAGGAAGTGATCCATCCAGCGAAGTCTTTAGGTACCCTAGTCAATGTTGTTATAGCTGCCTGGTACTTTCGACGAGCCGCAGCTTGTTGTTCTCTTTCAGTAGCGCCTATACTTGTCTATAGGTTGGAGTACCATGTCCTCAAATCCCATATAGCGCGGCAAGAGCTCTGGCGTAAGCCATAGTCAACCGTATCAATAACCCAAGCCTTAAGCTTCTCAGAATTTGCTTCTTGCTCTTTATATTCCTTATAGTCTTGTTCGTAAACCCTCTATTCGAACGTAAAGGAGGCTTTGTCGTCCGCAGTAAGTTCGGATAGATTTCGAGCATAGAGGTGTAGGTCAGTTGACTCAGTTGCTGAGGGTAGGGAGTCGCCCGCAGATGACTGGCTAACTGTCTAACTCGATTGGCCACTGTGGCGGGTCTGTCTCCCCTGTTGGGACAGTTGCTCCGGGTCGGTAGCTCGAGTAATCTTTCGATTATAGGATTCAACTGTCGGTCTCGCAGGTTTTTCCATTAAAGCTCCATCATTTTCAGGATTAATGTAATCCCATAAATGCAAGCCTATAGCTTTTGTTTGGAATTCTTCGTCCCAACGGCCCCAGTCTTCAAAGGTCCGTAGTAGTACCTTCTTAGATAAGGTATTGCTACTCGACATCGTATCTTTCCATGCGCGTAACTAGCTCTCGAGCGATATAAGACTCTTAATTGTTAGATAAACGATATTAGTTTGATGCAATACACCTGGGGTTCATTGAGCAAAGAGTGATTCATGTTGTTGATTGAGTGATTCTACCCATTCCGGTTGAAGCGGGGTTCTGTTTTGTATCTACCCGTTCTTCCCGGTTTCAGCATATTGCAAGAATGCAACTAAGCTAGATTTCCTAGCATTTTATCCGGACGCAGGCGTCAATCTAACAACAAAATGACATCCCCGTTAGTTTTATATGGGAAACAATAGCCGGGTGCATGGGTTGAATGCATGCCCCGATATATGCAGTGGTCCGTGTGACACTGGGCTAGGTGGGCGAGACCGTTCCGAGCAGGATAGCCAGCTTCTCGCCGACCTGCGATCGACCGATCCTCGAGACGACAAAACACGCATCGAACGGACCAAGGGTGGCCTACTGCATGACTCATATCGTTGGATCCTTGACAACAGTGATTTTCAGCGGTGGCGCAATGACGATCAGAGCCGACTTCTTTGGATTAAAGGAGATCCCGGCAAAGGCAAGACGATGCTGCTCTGCGGTATTATCGATGAGCTAGAGAAATTACCAACAGATGCTCGTCTTCTGTCTTACTTCTTCTGCCAGGCGACAGACGCACGACTCAACAATGCTCTAGCTGTGCTTCGTGGCATCGTCTATCTTCTTCTTATCCAAAGACCGTCACTTGCTACGGTCGTGTATGAGAAGTACAATGTTGCAGGCAAAGAGCTATTTACAGACGCAAACAGCTGGGATGCACTTTTCAAAATTTTTATTACCATTCTAGGCGAGGCAAGACTACAGAACACCTTCCTTGTTATTGATGCGCTCGATGAGTGCGAGACAGACCCGATCCAGCTCCTATACATGATCGTTCAAGTATCATCATTGCCGAATGTCAAGGTCATTGTGTCTAGCCGCAATTGGCCAAGTATCGAAGATGCCCTGACTGCTGCTACACAAAAGGTTCGACTTTGTCTAGAGTTGAATTCAGCGGCTATTTCTGTCGCTGTCAGTAAGTATATTGAGTGCAAAGTAGAACAGCTGGCGCAGTCAAAAAAGTACGATATTGCAACGCGCGATGCTGTTCAGCAACATTTGGTATCCAATTCAAACGACACTTTCCTCTGGGTTGCCTTGGTCTGTCAAGAGCTGGCGGATCCAAAGGCCCGAAAATGGCATACACGCGCGAGACTACACACATTCCCGCCAGGGCTTGACTCCATGTACAAACGGATGATGGGCCATATCAACCTTTCGGACGATGCGAGTCTTTGCAAGAAGATCCTTGGAATTGTGTCGGCGGTATACAAACCTCTTACTCTGGCGGAGCTCACATCGCTTATCGAATTCCCGGAAGAGTTTCCCGCTGACCTAGAATCCCTCGAGGAGGTTATCAATCTCTGTGGCTCTTTTATAACAATTCAATATGGCACCATATATTTTGTACATCAGTCAGCGAAAGACTTCCTGCTGCAGAGGGCGTCCACCGACATTCATCCCTGTGGCATAGAGCAGGAACACCGAGTAATTTCCACAAGGTCGTTACAGGCGATGACGAAACTCCTCCAACGTGATATATACAACCTCCAGGCACCAGGGTTCCCTATAGACGAGGTGAAAGTGCCTATCCCCGATCCGCTAGCACCAGTCCGATACTCTTGTGTCCACTGGATCGACCATCTTGTGGAAGGAAGTTCTGCCACGGGGAGTAGCGTTAATGGTAGTGAGCTGGTGTACGAATTCTTGAGACAGAATTATCTCTCCTGGATTGAGGCGGTTACGGTTAGTCTTATGAGAGGTTTATCAAAGGGTATTTTTCAGATGACCCGGATGGCCTATTTAACGCAGGTACGTTCTAATACTAAGTTCTGATTCTTCGGTACTAATACTACACAGACACAGAGACGAGTAACAACGCTAGGGGGGCTATTGTGGGATGGCCTGAGGTTTATGAGGGCCCATCGGACGTGGATTGACCGGATTGCCCGTTTAACGCAGGTATGTTCTAATATTAAGTTCTGATTCTTCGGAACTAATACTACACAGACACAGAGACGAGTAACAACGCTAGGAGGGCTATTGTGGGACGGCCTGAGGTTTATGAGGGCCCATCGGACGTGGATTGAATCCAACCCCCTTCAGATATACCATTCGGCACTTCTTTTCAGTCCTAAAAACAGCATTATAAGGGGGCTCTTTCGTTCGGAGGAGCCAACATGGGTGTTGACAAAGCCTAACATGGAAGCTGACTGGAGTGCACGCTTACAAACGCTTGAAAGCCACTCAGGGACAGTTCTTTCGATGGCCTACTCAAACGACGACACACTACTAGCATCAGGGTCAGAAGACAGGACTATTAAGATCTGGGACACGGCGGCTGGCCAGTGTTTGTACACATTCGAGGGCCATAAGGACGACATCTTATCAGTAGCCTTCTCGAAAAACGACACGCAGCTGGCATCGGCATCAAGCGATAGAACTGTCAAAGTCTGGGATCTGGCTACGGGTCAATGCCTATGTACGCTGAGAGGCCACAATAATAGCGTTACTTTAGCAGCCTTCGGTAACCCCACAGAGCTAATATCGGCGTCCTTCGATAATACTATCAAAGTCTGGGATACAACGACGGGCCGATGCCTCCGGACTTTAGAAGATTATATAGATGTCATCCAAATCGAAGCTTCTACAAAAGGGACGAAAATAGCGTTGGCATCAAGCGAGCATGGTTTCACAATCCAGGACATGACAACAGGAAAGCTTCTTCAGACCATCAACGACCGTCTTTGCAATATATCACGAGAGAAACAAACAATAGCGTTCAGCGATGATATGCACCTTGCTTCAACCATTTCAGGTTCAGTCATCAAATTGTGGGACACAGCTACAGGACAATGCCTCCAGATACTTGAAGGCCATAGAAGCCAAGTCAATTCCGCAGCATTTTCGGGCAACGGCGACCAGCTAGTGTCGGCGTCTTTCGACCACATCATCAAAGTCTGGGACACATCAACGGGAAAGTGCCTAAAGACAATCTATGACGTTACCAGGTCCGCATTGGTAGCCTTTTCAGGTGACGGTTTACAGTTTGTGTCAACTTCAGCATATGGCACCATCAGCATCTGGGATGTACGTGCAGCAACAGAGAAGGACTTTAATGTTCTTGATCAAGATATTACATCCCTCATCTTGTCAGATAATTGTTCAAAGCTAGCATCAACATCATGGGATTGTAATATTAGACTGTGGGATGCCTCGACATGTCAGTGCCTCAGGGTCCTAGAGGGCCATAGGATGCTCATCACCTCAGCGGTTTTCTCAGGCAACAGCATGCAGCTGGCATCTGGATCACTAGATAACAACGTCAGAGTATGGGACGTAGCAACAGGCCGGTGTCTCCACACGCTCAAGGGCCGCAGAGATGGCGTAGTTGAAGTAACATATTCGAACGACAGCACGCAGCTAGCTTCAGCATCATCGGTGGGAGATGTCAAAGTGTGGAACCCAGCAACAGGCGAGTGCCTGCGCGTCATCAAAACCTACAACAGCTTCATTAGGGCCTTGGCCTTCTCAAGTGATGGTAGTCGGATAGCCTGGGCGGCCTCACTGGGTCCCTTTAATGAGGTACGGGACGTAGCAACAGGGGCATTCCTCCAGAAGCTGACCAACTTTCCTGGTGCATCTTTAATCGCATTTTCGGGCAACGATAGACAAGTAGCCACCGCATCGGATGACACTATCGCTTTATGGGATACAACAACAGGCCGACGCCTTCACACCCTTAGAGTCAGCGGGCCAATAAAGAGTTTATCATTTTTGACAACCGATTCCCAACTCTTTACAAACTTTGGAATTATCGACCTAGACAAATTGCCGATGCCCGCTACCACGGATTCATCGTCTCTACACCCAATAGACAGTGTTGTACACATATCTCAATTTCAAGGTTATGGAATCAGGGACCAAACATGGGTCACCAAAGACTCCAAAGACGTACTAAGGCTACCATCGAATTATCGTTTGGGCGCATATGCTATAAATAGGTCTGGAGTGGCGATTGCTTATAGCGCAGCTGACATGGCGTTCCTAAGGTTTTCGTGACTTTTTTGGCGTGTATTCTTTCTATCCAAGCCTGTTACATGTCATTACCTTATACAAGTTGACAGAAGAAAATAGGAGGCGGAACTTTGTAGCCAATTCAACTTAATTGGTGTCCCTAGTATACCCAGCACCAACATCTCCTGTTACATTGTGGTTCAGTACACTCCAAAGTCTTGTCACAATTCAGTCAAGTCGAAGTTGGCTGGTTTGAGATAGATTGTCCGCGAAGCCTGGCAATCTGGCAACACATTTAATGTGTGCTATTGGCATGGAACATTCTTGCCGAAATGCGAAAAAAAAAATAGCCTGGAAAGCATTAAGCCACATCATATCTTCCATTCAACGGTAAAGATATGTTTATGGCTGGCTGTCGATGCGCAGATTGCAGATTGCAGATCCAATCATGCACCGATACGGCACGGTACAAATGCGCGTTCCTGGTAGCCCATGCGTTCATTTCCACCGTACCGGGTGGGCAGGGTTCGAATACCGCATCTCATGCGGCCATATGCCGCGACAACCCACAGCTAATTGGTCGGCATGGGCAGTTTTCTCACATGCTCCTCTTCAACAGGGCCTGATTAGTGGCCAAGACCTTCCAAAAACACACCCTAGCAGATGCAATCCCACTGAAAGAACAGGGTTCTGATTCGCCCAAGGGAGTCGGTGGCCCCTCTGAAACAGCAGTTCGGTGCAGAAACCACGAGCCAGGTGGGTGGGTGACGAAGGGAAGCAGGGTCACTTTCGACTGGTTGTCAAAGGGTGAGAATACCTACTTGGGCCTAGGTCTTTGTAAATTAACTAGCGTATAATCAACACATGTTCTCGCAGGTCTCCATGGCCCTTTTTCGTCACCCCCTGCCCGGGGATTACGGGAGGGGGGATATCCTCTCGCCGCTTCCTGCGGTCCGCTAGAGAATCCCGCGACCTTGTCTTCTTCGTTCTTGGTTCCTGAGATCTTTCAGCCCGTCTTTTTTTCTCACATCAGCCAACTACCACCCACGCGTTTAGATATATAAGGATGCAGGCTGCGGACCAGAACACTGCGGCAGCGACCGGCAATCCGCCCGCTGCTGCTGCTGCTGCTGCTGCTACGACTACTTCTCCACCCGAGGTTGCCGTCGGACCCGTCGTAGAGGCCGTCGACCCAGTGAGACACCCCGCGCCACTTCCGTGTTCTTGTAGCGGCATTTCACAAAGTTTAAACAAAGCAAGTGAACGTGGCATGGTAAACTAACACAAGGTTACTCCTAGGATCCCCATGCTGCGGCTGAGGACGATCATGATTCTTTAGCGGACACAGAGAGGTCAGGATGAGTTCCAACATCTGTGTGATGACTGAAGCTAAAGAGACCAAGCATCATTACGGACTCGACTGCTTCGCTGGCGGAGAGCATCACCGAGTATCGTCGAATCCACGGTCGCACTTACACGCAAAAGACAGATTACTGGGGTCCCAACGATGACCAGCAAAATGAAGGTCTCGATCTTGAGTGAGTGCGTTGGAAAATGTCTCATACTTCCATTCGCTGATCAACCGTAAGGCACTACTGGGAGACCCTCCTCCTAGGCGACAAGCTCTTCCTCTCGCCGCTTGGAGAGAACCCTGGGGTGAGTATACCAACCCTGCCTCTCACACTATCATGTCTAAAAGCAACGTAGAAAGTCCTTGATTTGGGCACCGGAACCGGTATCTGGGCTATGTAAGGCTTGAACCTCCACACATCCGCCCACGCAGCAGCATGAAGCTAACGATAATGCAGGGACTTCGCCGACGAGTTCCCCTCAGCCGAGGTGACTGGCGTCGACATCTCGCCCATCCAACCCGGCTGGGTTCCCCCCAACTGCAAATTCCAAGTCGACGACGTCGAGCAGCCCTGGACATGGACGCCCGACTTCGACTTCATCCACCTGCGCCACATGGAAGCCTGCATTTCCGACTGGCCGGCCTTTTACAAGCAGATTTACGACCACCTGAAGCCCGGAGGCTACTTTGAGATCAAGGATTTCGACATCGAGTTCCGCTCGCAGGCGTACGGCGACGACCTCCCGGAGGACCACATCTACCGGCGGTGGGGCAAAGTGTTCTTCGAGGCGGCGAACCGGCTCGGCAAGTCGATGGACCAGTCGCGCGGCGAGCACAAGATCGCCGACGCCCTGAGGGACGCCGGGTTCGTCGACGTCGTCGAGAAGAGGTGGGCCGTGCCCATCGGCGGCTGGCCCAAGGACCCCCTCCTGAGGGAGGTCGGCATCTGCAACCTCGAGTTCCACGACCAGTCCCTCGAGGGCTTCTCCATGTTCCTGCTGACCCAGGTGATGGACTGGGAGACCATACCGGCCGGGGTCTTCGTGGCCGAGGCACGCAAGGCCCTGAAGGATCCCAAGCTTCAGACGGTCATTTACTTGTGGGTTCTACACCGACCATGTCGGTACTGACATGAGACTAACGTGGATTAGGCAAAATGTGTACGGACGTAAGCCAGAGGAATCCGGGTAAATTTGGTGTGATTTCTCCTATGCAGTAGAGAGAGAGAGAGAGAGAGAGAGAGAGAGAGAGAGAGAGAGAGAGAGACTATGGAAACAGTACCTCATGATGTAAGAGGGCAAAAAGGCTGGAGAAAATAACCACTTTGTGCTCCTTTTATGCTTGATGAAAGCCAATGAGAAACGCCAGTTCTGTTGTGTTCTGTTTGTTCTTGGAAAACCTCAGTTGTTACTTATGTGCACCATCCCGAGCGAACACTAGGGTTAGGGTGAGAATCATAGCTTACCTGGAACCAGTGCGCGAATGGCAAACATATCATTGAAACGTCACAGGGACAACGTGACTAAGGATCGCCTGTGTACTCGCAACACGGAAAACGTGGATGTTGGTCTACATAACGACAAACCTCATCAACTGGGCTTCTAATGACGTAGCGAAACCACTTTGACTTTTTTACATGAGATTTCATACACTTGCACACTACCTGCGCACATACGGCGACTCGAAGGACAACCTTCGAGTCTGTAGTGGCCTTACAGTCAACAACCATGAAGCACCCAATCTACGAAAAAAATGCAGCACACCCACAGAAACCAAAAAAAATTGCTATCCAAAACATTACCCATCATAACACATAATCTACAGCTTCGCCTTTTCCTGCCCCAGACTCCTCCCCACCAACTCCCACGCAAACTCCGCCAGCGGGCCCCTCGTAACAGCGTACACCTTGGCCTGCTCGCTACTCGCCTGGCCCTGCGCCGCGCGCGCCGCGATGCCCTGCAGCACCGCCGACAGCCGGAACACGTTGAACGCCATGCCCCAGTTCAGCTCGGGCGAGGGGTCCCAGCCGGCCTCGGAGGAGTACCACCCGACGATCTCGTCGACGGTCGGCAGGCCCGGCGTGGCGTTGGGCAAGAAGCCCTCGTGCGCGTAGACGCCGCTGCTTCCGCGGGAAGCGGTGAAGTAGGGGGTCAGAAAGTTGCAGAGGTCCGAGAGGGGATGGCCTACTGTTGACATTTCCCAGCTGTGTCGTCTGTCAGTTTCTTCTCTTGTGTTTCTTGGATCGATACCCGGCGAGAGGGGGGTCACTCACTCTAGAATGCCAATGACCCTCGGCTCAGTCTTGTGAAAGACCATATTATCAATCTTGTAATCCCCGTGGACCAACGTGCCCCTATCCTTGGGCTGCCTCGCCTTCTCCTTGAAAAACGCCATCATCTCCTCGAAATGCGGCAGGTCACCCACGAGCTCCCCCGTCTCCTTATCCTTGGTCGCGGCCTGGCTCTTGCAGATGGTAGTCCACGTCTGTATCTGGCGTTCGTAGAACCCGCTGTTCTTCCCGAACGTCTCGAGGCCGACGTCCTTGGGGTTCACGCGGTGCAGTTTGGCGAGGGTCTGCGTCGCGGCCTTCCAGAGGGCCTTGCGTTCCTCGGGCGACGAGACTTCGGGCATGGCGGCGTCCTCGAGGATGCGGCCGTCGAGGAACTCCATGATGTAAAAGGGCGTGCCGATGACGGAGTCATCTTCGCAGAGGCAGTACGCCTTCGGGACCGGCACGTCGGTGGGCCCGAGGGCGTGGATTATTCGGTGCTCGCGCTCGACTTTGTGCGCGGCCTTGGAGAGGAGTTTTCCGGGGGGTTTCTTGCGTAGGACGAAGCGTGTGGAGGTTGCGTCGGTGAGCTGGTATGTCGGGTTCGATTGACCGAAGCCGAACTGGCGGAGGGTTAGCGAGGACGGCCTGTGTTGAAGGGGAGGGCATCATATTCGTAATGAGAAGAAGGGACGAAACACACCTGCTTGATATCAACCGGCGTCTTGATCTCCGGTACGTTCTGCTCGATATACCGCTCCAGCGCCTTCTGGTCAATCGGGTGCCTCACGCGTCCCGCCATTTCGACGATGACGTTGGTTGTCCTGGGCTTTACCTATTTGCTTCTGAACTTCCCCGCGATCTTCTCAGCTACTCAATTGATCTTACAATCGTCAAATCCGTAACCCACTTAAAAATTGGAGGTACCACAGGCCGGAGGGGGAAAAGTCGCTGAGCTTCAAGTATTTCAACACACACCAGAAAACCCGGCCACGGGGGGATAGAGTCTCCCGGGATGTGAAGCTTTTGCCGGGCCCGTTACATATTTCAGCCTCGGTTCGCCCGCAGTTGACGGCTTTTAGCGTGTAGTTTGCGGAGAGGGGTGGCCAGCCAGCAGCCTGCTACCCTGTGCTTAGGGAGCGAATTTGCTTATGCGATGTGGCTTGCCCCGGATCGGATTTCCAGCAGAGACATGCCGAGGTCCACCGGTGAAAGGCCATTGACCAAAAAAAAAATAACCTGGGGGGGCCTAACAGCAAATAGCCTAGGGGTGGCACGGGGGTGGGTGTTGTATGTGTGAGTGAGGAGCGGGGGAGCACCATTTTCCCCAAGGTTGCAAACAGGCAGGTAGGTAGATAGGTAGGCAAGCTTCCCCCCCCCCCCTTCTCATACTGGCCTGCCCCCTCCTCCACCATCCAGAGAATGAACGACTGACTGGTTGCAGCTCCCCTCCAGTCAGTGCGGAGGCGGGGGTCCTCTAGATAGCCGTACCCGACCGAGCAAGCTCACGGAACCACCACCCCCCTCCCTCCTTTGGCGCCTCATTTGTCGACCAAAAACACCTCCCGGCCCCCGGTCCCTTGCGGCAAAAGGGGGTAACGCGAAGTTCGTTCGTCTTAGTCTCAAGCCAATACCATAACACGATGCCCTTCTGTCGAGTCAGGTCATTGTAAATAATTGGTTGTTAACCCACGAGATCCACGGCCCGTCCCTTTTCACGAACAATGCATTCATAAAACACACTCGCTCACTTTATTGGATATCACGTCGCATGGATCAAAACTAGTTTAGGGAATATGGATGTATATATTGCTCGAAAACGAAGATCAATCAGGTCGAAAAAACGTTAAAAGTAAACAAAGAGCCCGTGTTTCTCTCACTCCGGCGACGGATTGCCAGGAAAAGCTGAGTCTAATTCCCCATTCAATCAAAAAGAAAAAAGGCGGACATTTGCAAAAAAGAGAAATAAAATAGTTGTGAAAAAGCGTAAAAATATAATAATCTTCAATCATTCTTCTTTGTCCCGTACAATCAACACACCACTGCTGGCGGTCATTTTTTCGTTTTTGGTTTTTCTTTCTTTTCTCTTCGTATCAACTCCCAAAAGCCCGTTTGGTAACCAGACCATATGCCCCCGTTACAGCAACCCCTTCTTCCCCCCTAAGAAAGTTATAAAAAAACTTGCCCCATCCCAGCAAAGATTGTGACATGAAGTGAAGAAAAATAAAAAAGTAGAAAAAAAAAGTCAATCAAAAACAACAAGGAGAAGGGGGTAATCGAGTAAACACAAGAGGGGTATCCGTCGTTTCGAGTCGTCCATGCATTCTTCCCTCCCATTTCCCTTGCGGCCACCCGTCTAGACGGGTGCCATGCTGTTGCCAGTCAAGTATTTGTATTAGCCGAGAAAACGAAAAGTGAAAAGAAAAGATTTGGTGAAAAAGGTCAATGCTGCGGTGGCATCGACCGGGCCTGGCAACCAGAGGGCAATGAGAGTCCTGTGTACCGGCCCGAATGCTGCATTTAAAGACGTCCATGGAATGATCCAACCCCTTATAAACACACCCGTGGAAGCATCTTGCATCGTGACTTCCGCCGTCATTATAAACCAATTTCGAAAAAAGAGTAGGGATGGTTGTTAGACGTCTCTGCTGGCTGGTCGTGACTTCGTGATCGGAATGCTCAACAAAGAAGATCAAGTTGGCGATGGCGGAGTTCAAGACTCCTCATCCTCCTCCTCTTCTTCCTCGGGGCTTTCCGACGCGGTCTTGGGCTTCTTGTTGGCGTCACCCTCCTCGGCTTCCGACTTTCTCTTCGCGCCGGCCTTGGAGCTTGGCGCGTCGTCTTTGGGGGTTTCGCCGGTACCGGCAGCCTTGTCGCGCTCGATGGCAGCCACCTCCTCGGCGGTGAGGAAGCGACCGCCAGGGCCACGGGGTCTGCGCATGGCGTGGTTGTGTCTTGACTCGTGGAGGTAAGGCTTGCGGCCCTTGGACGTAAGTCGGAGCTGCTCCTCGAGCTTCTGGCGTGCAACGCGGCGCTTCAGGATGCGATGGAATTGTTTGGCATTGACGTAAAGAGGAGATTCCTCAACACCGCCGGCGGGCATCTCAGGGGACTGCGGGTGTTGCATGGCCTGAGCCTGGGTCATCTGCGGCGGGGCAACACCGGGGCGCGCGACGTGGTTCATCATTGCCTGTGCCGGGACGCCAGGGCTGGTGACTTGGCTGAGGCGTCTTTGAGCGCCAGGCAGCTGCGAAACGTTGTTCATCTGGGTTGGTGATCTGGGATCACGGTTGGCCTCCTTCTTCGCTCCGCCCATTCGCGGTGAAGTCTGCGGCAAGCTGGGATCCGACATGTTGTAGGGGTAGTTGGACCCCGAAGCCGCGGCGGTTGCTGCCATTGCGGCGGCCTGGATTTGGGGCATGGCATAGTGCATGCCCTGTTGAGGGACGTTGTACTGTGGTTGGTACATGTTGTGTCCCTGTGCCTGCGTAGGTGATTGTTGCTGAGTAGATAGGATGGGTGACGTCTGTACGCCGTGAGGAGAGGTGATGTTGTTGGCGGCGGAGTTGTTGGTGTATCCCGAGTGCGCGTTCTGTGGTTGTTGTGGGTATTGTGCGTATTCCATCATACTGGGAATAAGCCTGTTGGAAAATGAACGAGCAATGCGATGAAGCTGTTCTTCTTCGTCGCGATTTTGCTCAGAACCAATGAGAAGTCAAGCGATGGTATATCTAGCTTGGCGACGGCTCTGGCGCGGGTGATTTGAAGTAGCGTGACTGTGGTCGAGGGAAAGTAAGGGTTTCACGGTTATGGGTCGCGAGTAGCGAATGAGTAGCGACGAAAGCTGCCCTTTTGATAAGAATTGAGCTTTAAAATGCTGGAATTAACCCGTCTGTTTGGGTAGAGTTGGGCACACGCGTTGGGAGTGGGCGGTAGCCTGGGGTACTCTGCCAGTGTGCTGGGGGGGAGGGGCTCAATCTATTGGCGATGCGTGGATGAGCTGGCAGTGGTGCGCGACGCAAGTAGCCGACCACGGCATATGCGGGCTGATGTAGTCGCGGGGCGGACGTTGCTGGCTGGGTGGCTGAGCCTGGAAGTGAGAATGACAGCCACGTGAGGATGATGAGAGCGGGATAGGATGCTGCTGCCGTACGAGGCGAGGCGAGATGGCAAGGCTTGTGTCTTGTCGCTATCCGTCTTGGGGGACTTCACTCTAGTGGCCTGTTCCGGGTTTGACGAAAGGAGCCGGTCCTGGTCTGGTCTACCGGCTGCACGGCGGGAAGCGGGTAGTTTTGGACGAAACAGAACGGTCGAAGCCTTGTTTCCCCAGAAAATAAGAGATGGACTGGCTTTATTCCACTTCACGACGTAAGATCTGTCCAACCAAAAACATTAGCCTCTCCTTGTATATAAATCAATGCTCGGGAAGATGCGACTGCAATGGTACGGGCTAGTGGGGATGTTGTTCCTCTGCTCGCGCCTCGGTCCACTACTCTGATGCGCTGGCAGACCTCGCATGCATGACGGAATATGCAAAGACAAGGCCCACCATGCCAACCAGCCCGGCGACACCTCTCCCCTGCTGCGGTAGTGGTGGCGGCGCAGAGCCAGAAGGCAGTCCAAGCTGCTGTGACAGTGCCTGTGCGTTTTTTTTTACGCCCCTGAGGGGAAGAGGGGGGGTGCTGGTACAGGCGCTATCTCCAGAGTCTGGTGTCGCTGCCACCCGCCAGACTTTAGGCAAGGCTCACTAAGCGCTTCCACAAGAATGTACGTGCATCCCACTGAGGCTGCCACTTGAGGTGGTTGGTAAGGGTGTTTTATGTTATTGCTGGTGCAGTCCCTTCCAACCAACCCTCGAATGCCAACCGGAGAGGGGTGCTTCCAGAAGGTATAGAAGGCTTTGGTTATGCGGGTGTGCATCCAAACTGGGGGGAAATAGAATGGCAAATGTAATAGCAGCAACAGACAGAAAAAGGGTAACGTCAGAGGACAAAATGGTGAACGAGGTGGGGGTGTCGCCGAAGTCCGTACTCGACAGCACCAGAAACAGATTGACGTGGACATGAACTGGAGAAGGGGGGGTAGAGTAAAGAGGTGGTAACACTTGGAGGGAAAACGAGATGCCGTACAGATACTGCGACGGGCGGTGACAATGCGACATACAAGAAAAGTACAATACACGTACCGTTGAAGCTGAAAATAGAGCGAGTGCGATAGTGAAATCGGCGATGAGTACGAATGAAGTGCCGGAAGAGGGGGATAATGCGCCCTGATTTAGTCAGTAAGCATGGCTCCTCGTCCCGGTTTCAGAAGGGGGGGAGGGGAAAAGGTGGCATGGAAAAGAAGGGGGGAAAAGAAAGGACAGAAAGCGTAGAAAACTCGTAGGAGTTATTCGACTCGTTCTGACAGGAAAAGGATGTCGTCCAAATTCAATGTCGAGAATGTGCCGACACAACGGGTGCCAAGCGCCAACTCGACAGAAAAAGCCAGGCCCTTGATAGCGTGGACTGACAGGCAAATGACAAGACAGGAAGTGAGATGAAGATATATGATGGCGCCCGTCAGGTCCGGCGACAAGGAAGCGCGGCGACGGACAAGGCTGGAGAGGAGGGGCGCCAGACGACTTGTGTCGAATAGCATGCGAAACGTACCTGGTTGGCTAGATTTGATTTTGGCTTTGGGGGGGGATCTTTTTTTTGGGGATTGGTTCCCGGTCTAAGTAAAGGCGAAGCTTTCTGATAGGCTTTGGACTCGAGTGTCACGATGTGAGCTTGAGATCGCCTTCCGAAGGAGCTTTGACGCGTGCGCGTGCTTGCTGTTTGCTGGTTGTGCAAACTGGGGTTGGAAAATGTGCGACGCGGTTGGTCTATCGCGATGCGATGCGATGCCGTGTGCGGTACGGAACGCTCTGTGTGTTGAGCACGAGTAAAAAAAGAATAAAACTGCTGTTTGTTTTTTTCCGCAGGTCGAATCTGTCACCTGACGGGCTGTTGTGGCCAATAGACAGGTGCAAGTTGACGATGGCGATGGTGATAGGGTCTCTTTGTGTGTTCCAGACGCGAATCGAGAGAATCCACGAATGTTTCTGGATGCAGCAAAGCAGACAAGCAGGTGTCCAGTGCGGTGCTGTGGTGGTGCTGGTTTGTCCAATGTCAGGTCAGGACAGAGGAGAAAGGTGCGCGACGGTTGTCAGTGGTCGCAAGAAAAAAAGACGAGCTGATTTGCTGGCTTTTGTGGGAGGGCGGGTTTTTTCTGGCTTTTTGGCTCGTTGGATTCGCTGGAGCTTTTCTTCTGGCAAACCGGGGCTCTCTCGCACTTTGTACGCCTGTTTCGGAGGGCAGGAAAAGAAAATAAAATAAAAATAATAAAAAAAGGTGCGTGGAGCCTGTGGCGTCGGCGGTAAATGGACCACTTGCTGGGATCCGGGAACCTGAAGCCTTACGGCTGCCTTAGGACGGGAAGGAGGGGGTGAAGGAGTAATGGGTAAGTGGGTGGTGGTGGGTGGAAGGAGGAACCGGAGAGAGTGTGAGAAAGAGAGAGGGAGGGGAGTGGGGGGGGGGGGGGGGGGGGGGGTGGTGCTGACGTTGACGTCGCAGTGAAGGGTGAGGGAAGGAGCAAGGAGAGGTGAGGTTAGCCGAACCTGCACCCTAACAGATTACACCCCCTCTTGCCTTTCTTGTGTATGGGTGAGTGACTCTGACAAGAGAGAGGAGCTCTTGCCCAACAATGAAAGGGCAGGTGAAATCGAGACAGGAAGGAAGAAGGCAGGAGAAGCAAGCAGGCGGAACGGAAGAGCCGGTTTCTGTCGTTCGTTGCTCTTTTTTCGAAATGTCGTATCTGTTGGCCGTCACTTCTACTTCTTTTTTTGTCTTTCTCTTTCCCTTGCTGTCTGTCTTCTGGCGGTGTGTATGTGTGTGTGTGTGTGCGCGTATGCGTTACTTTGGATGCTGCAATGCTTCTAATGGCCTGCTGCTGCTTGCTCACTTTTCGATCTGCCGCTTGGGTGGTCGGGCGCTACGTCGTCTTCTTCTTCCTTTTTTTTTTTCCTTCTCTCTCCACACTATCACACAACAATAGTGTTTCTTTATTACTTGGTTTCCCGCGCGTCTTCGCAGATATCTCACACCCGTGATGCAAGATCGATAGAGTGCAAAATGCGGAGCGGATAGGCCTAGCTGATGATTGGCGATTGATTTGATATGATGTCGAGTGTCCAATTGAATGAAAGCAGCCCAGACGTCCCTGGTGTCTGTTTCGAATTGTTGCTGAGGATCGAATCTGATTGAATGGATTTGACTCGCTCTTTTTTTCTGCCCTCGCGTCCGTCACGTTTGTGTGGGCCAGAGCAGACTGATTGGTTGTGGGAGGGAGGAGGTGAAGGACGAGGGAGAATGCTCATCGTTGATTTGAGGGGCGGGATCATTAACCCTTTAACATCTCTGACTGGCTGAATCAGCGGGTCTAAGTGGGTCTCTTGCTGTGGCTGGCGTTGGCCTCGCCGCTTCTGATTTGCTGTCATGACGTGATCTTGACCTTTTGCTACTCGACTCACCCCCTGGGAGCTCCGAAGGAGGGGTGTGTGCTATGTATACTACTTTGACAAACTGGGTGGGGATCTCACATTGCCTAGTCACTTCCACAGTCCCCTTCACTCCATTTTCGCATCCTTCATCCAGACATTGGCTTTTGATGCCAGATGCACACGTACCACAGCTTCATCCGACTTTTGGCCACTTTATTTGAGGGATGTAAGGTCGGAGCGTCCTGTTGGTAATAGACTCTGCCGTTCTCCTGGATATCTGTAACCGTTTACATGTGTGCAGATTTTATTCTTATAGTTTTTTTTTTTTTTTTTTTAAACTGTACAACCCTTGTTTTCCTCATTCTCCGTGCTCTTGCCAGCCAGGCTTTTTTGGTGGCTCGCTTTCCTCGGCCACCCGTCCTGTCAACCTCTCAAATTCCTTTCCCTGGGCCAAGACCTTACCGTATGGGGCAAAGTCTCCATCTGCCACGTTACTTCAACATTTCCCTCTCTTTAAAGCAAGGCTACACGCACCTACCTATACGCGAGCTAGATGAGACGAGAAGATACTCATCATCACGCTGCTATTAATGCTTATCCCGCAAATACCTTGTCATTGCCTAATTACCCAAGCTCTTAAGGACGCGGAGGTGGCAGCGGGAGAGAAGGCTTTCCTGCAACCTGAACTGATATTCCTCCCCCCCTCCCCTCCCCCTCCGGTCCGACGCCAGCACATGCACCACACCTAGGGCTACATAGAGAGTACTCGGGCTGCTCAGGCTGCCTCAGACTATCTCAGGCCCTCCTGTCTCTCAACATCCAGCATCGGTTTCATGGCCTGCCTGCTATATGCGTGCGGGTGACGCCACAAATAAGTCGGTCAGCATCGGCACACAAGCGAAAACCTGATCCCACTACCCAAGGAATGAGGCAGATCGACAGATTCGTGAGCTGGCACTCCAGCAAGGGCTAATTTTAGAGACCGACTCCCTCAGGGCCTGGCAGACTGTTTTCAACTCTGCCTCGTTTTTTGCCCACGTTCGCCGCGACGGAAGTGGGACAACCGGACAGTGCGGAGAAGCACCATGGAAAAAAAAGAAGAGGCG